TGGAGAGAAAAGGAAAAAGTTTATATTCTTTATCAACCCACCACAAAGGTAGCAAAACTCCAGAACTATCCAATTAGCAGCATTATATGTGGGAGAGGCAAAAAATAAATTTGAGTAAAGTTTTGTTATTTGATGACTTGTCACTATCATTATCATCATTCTTATTTTTGTTCCTATTACAATTAATTATGATGGTGGACCATGAAGAGACTCTGAGTACCATCAAGACCCTACTGATCCTGGAATAGTGCAGAAGGTGTGCTAAGATGGCATTCCCTCCTTGAATGTCTAATAATCCAAAGAGAGAAGAAAGGGAACACAAAATAAATTACCTAAAATCCTGCAACAGGTCAGTGGCAGAGCTGGAGCCCATCTTTCCAGATTTGTAGACAAATTCTCTGCCATAGATTATTTACCTCTTCAAGGAGGGACAGTTATTGGGTTGAAATTTGACAACTGGCATAATCTTTCCCAATGTTTTGAGATACTGTTTTATCCAAAACAAAGGATGCAGAGAAAAACATCACAAGCAAAGCTTTAAGAAAAGCTGAACTAAATTATTTTGTTTAAATAATGTGTATAAATAATGCGTGTGGTCTTCTTGCTGTGCTAGTAAGTGTGTACAGAGAGATGAAGGAGCTCAATGTGTATGCATCAGTGAGAAGGATGCAAAGTTTGGTCTAAAATGAGAAAACAACTTTCTGAAAGAGGTATGGTTTGGAAAGTTCTCCGATTATGTCACATTCTCCCTGGTGGTTGCTGCTAACAGAGGGCAAGACTTCGCTGCTGCTACCGGTGGAACTGATCCGCAGTTCCAGCTGAGAGATTTATACTTTAAAGTAGCTGTTCTTGCTAGAGACTCGAAGGAATTTGGCTGCCTAGTGAGGATTACTACTCTTATCTGTACAATTCCCTCTTCCTCCAACCTGCCCAAGAGGAATAAAATAAAATGTGATAGAGCGAACAGGTTTGTTAAACAGGGGCACAGATTTGCTTGTCCACAAATGGGCAAGTTCCAGTCCTCCTTGGACCCAGATAAATTACAGTCCTTACTCATGATAACCTCAAGTGACAGTTTCGCCATAAATGAAGGAAGGAAGAGTCTCCATTCCCAGGAGAAGCGGTTGGAAAAGGCTGGGATACTGTGCAGAGAGGCAATCTATCACTGCAAGCCATTAAGCATGTACATCCCAGTGTTCCCTTACATCAACCCTTTGTGTACGTTAGGCCATAAGTGCTTCTCTAATATAGATCTATCTTTACATTTCCTAAGAGCATGTGGAGCTATCATAAGAAAGATAAGTTTTCTTGCTTTTTTTTTTCTTTTATTTTATTTAACATAGGATATATGCATTTTATAGATAAAATAGCTGAAGTACGAATAATCTGGAAAATGCAATAATATGGCCTTACACCCCAGTAAGAGTATTTTATTTATTATAGCTCAAGAATTTCCACATCAAACCCTTAGATGCTAATTTTATGTTATTTTTAAATACTAATCAAGTAAATACAAAGGATCCCTCTGAAAATGAAAGATCATCTGTAACAAAGACTCTGCAGATGGAGATAAGGCTAACAGCTCTGCTCATGATGTATGAGCCTGTGCAGAAGCCAGTTTCCTTATCCACAATTTTCTAGATATAGTAGTAAACGACTAAGTTTAGCAACAACTTCTGTAACTTAGGTCTGCAGTTATGATTGAGATACACAAGGCTAGCAGTTCCCATGAGTCAGTACATATCATTTTAATTTTGCCTGCTTCCTACGTATGGCCACATTTTAAAAACACTGACTGGTAAAATAACAAATTAATAATATAAATTAAATATCTTATGTGTCAGTTTTCACAGTTGTAACTTTCCCCTACATTTTTCTCAAGAAACCGTCGTGCCCTTTCCTCTTTGGCCTAGCCTTTCCTCACTGCAGGGATTAGTTATGTAAATTGGAGCTTAATCCCCTAAAGGCAAATTTGCAGTTCAAGTCCAAGTGTCTGCTAGCATGGCCAACTGGAACCAAGACCGTCAGGGGATGGCGGATGTTTAGCATTTTGTCCTGTACTCTAAGACAATCTTAAACCGCAAGGATCTCCTTCAGGTTACAAAGGCAACCAGCCAGATTTTCCCCCTTTTCTTTTAAACAAGTTCATAACACAATAGATAAAAGAAAAAGAAGAGGGGGAGAGGAGGGGAAACCCTCCCAGAAAAGTGAGCTAAGGCTGAGTGAATTTCCAGCAATGTGGTGAACGTATTGTCTGCCCCTGTGACTCTCAAAGGAATGTAATAAAAGGAAGACAGCAACCCAGCAGGCAGCTTCTCAGGGAGCCGTCTGCCTTCCAGCCCCTTGATGTAACGCTTGAACAGGTGCAATATAAAGGATGCTAAACTGGTGATTATCAGGGCTGCTGGAATGGGTTTCCTCTCCGCTCTCTGTTGAGAAAATGTTTTTTTTTAAAGAAACTGTATGATGGGATACGCCGACCTTTCAAAGACTACCTGTCGCAAGGGAAACACTTTGAGCAAGAAGAGGGTCGCCAGTCTAAGAGACATTGACACTGTTTCTGGTCTTATTTAAGCTGCTGTAAATCAGGAACAGTTCCCGCGGAGTCACTGCAGCGATGCGCTTGCAAGCGGGAGCAGAACTGCAGAGGTTGTGTTCCAGGGAGGCATCTTTCTGAAGAAGCACTGATGGCTTTGAAGACTGACTTTTGAAAAAAGGTATGACCTCCTGGCTACTCATGTACATGCCAGCATCTGAGAAGTATTTTAAGTGCCTATTCCTGGAAGCAGAGAGAATAGGTTTGGTTTTGTTTGGTTGGTTTGGTTTTTTTTTGTTTGTTTGTTTTGTTTTCCCTTGGTGTTTCCTTCACTACCGTCTCTCTTCAGCACTCACAACCCACAGAGAATACAGAAAAAAGATTTCAGGTAGTTCCATAATCCCATGAACCTCATACATTTCCCAAGCAAGATACAGTACTCTCTCCTTTTGATCTCATTTACAACACTTCTTTTTTAAAACACCAAGGATTTACAGGATCAGAATTGAAAAGTAATAATGCAAATCAAGCACCTTTATGTGCACCTTTTTACTGAAATTCCTGTATACTGTTCCTCCATCAGCCCTACAAAAAGCCCTACTATAAAGGCATAGCAACTCAAGAGGACGTATTTTTCTTTATCAATGAAGGCAAAAAATTGTTCACTGTTACATCTAGCACTGTTTCTTTGCCCAGTCTGGCATCAGGCACTTCCTTTTATTCATGAGGACAGCATGGTCACTGGGTAAGGACCTACAGGAGAGATCCCAAGATCCAGGCTCTGTTCCCTCAGAGCTGCTCTGTGTCCTCGGGCAGATGATTTCAGGTAGAGCTGGAGCCATAGGAACACGCTACATGAATTCTTTGGGTTCCCTCCTCTTTTCTAATATTTAATTATTTATGGGCTCTGCGCTTGGGTGTTCCTCATTTCTTCTTGTCTGGTCTGGGTGATGTGTCCAAGGCAAGGGCTGTCTCTCATGATATACCAGGGGTTTCATGAAATACTATGTGGATTTACAGGACCTGCAGGTGCAATTCCATACAGCAGTACTTACTGGACTGTAGGATTATTTCGTTTTACTGGTTTCCAGCTGATTCCTGGCGCTTGTCCCGCTGGGCATAAATCTCCAAGGGGGCATTTTTCTCCCTACAGAGAACAAAACAGGTGCCAACGGGTTAAAACCTCCTCCAGAAGGAGCCTGGGAGAGCAGGACAGGCGGTGGCGCTCGCGGAGCCCCGAGCTGTCAGAGAGGAATTGCAGAGATAATAGGATTTGCGGAACGGTCCCAACTCATCACTCCGGAGCGATCCATGTTGACTGGCTCGGGCACGCATCCAGCGGTTTGCACACACGGGTGCACACTCGGATTCCTGCTCGGTTTGCTCGGGAGAGGAGCGGGGGGAACAAAAACATAGAGAAAGGAGCGACATAAAGCGGCCGGAGGGGGTGGTGAGGGGGGGGTTAAAAAAAAAAAAAAATAATCTTACACGCCCAGATGCACGCAAGAGAAATGCACCCGACCCAGCCAGCCCGCAATCCCTGAACCTCAAATTTTACAGGAGCATGCGGGCGGCGCAGCCATGACTGTATAGGCGGGGGGGGGGGGGTGGTTTTTGTGTGTCCGTGTGTCCGTGTCCGTGCGTGTGCATGGGCGTGGGGCGGGGGCTCGTCCGTCCCCCCCTTTCCCCGGGTTTCCCCCCCACCCCCCGGGCCCCGCCCGGCTCCGCGCCGCCGCCCCGGGGGGTCGGACACCCCGCGCCCCTTCGCGGGGCGGCCGTGTGAAAGGCGGGCGGCGAGCGGGGAGGGGGGAGCGCGGCGGCGGAGGAGGAGGGACGAGGAGGAGGAGGAGGAGGAGGAGGAGTGTGTGCGTAGAGGGAGGCGGGGGGGGGGGGGGGGAAGGAAACCCTCATGGAAGTATGAAGGAGATGGTGGGAGGCTGCTGTGTCTGTTCTGATGAGCGGGGCTGGGCGGAGAACCCGCTGGTGTACTGCGACGGGCACGGCTGCAATGTGGCGGTGCACCAAGGTAAGGCACCGGGCCGGCCCCGGGGCGCCGACACCCCCCCACCCAAACACACACCCCCCCCCTGCGCCGGGCGCCCCGGGGAGGCCGGGGGCTGGGGGGGAGGGGGGGTGCGGGGGGGGGGGGTGCGGAGGCGGTGGAGGAGGAGGGGGGGGGGGCTTTGTTTTATCCCTATTGTTCAAAATAACGGTGTCGCCGCTGGCCTGGCTCGGCGGAGGAGCCGGGGTGGGGGAGCGCGGTGTGCCCGCGGAGGGAGGGGGGGGGGGGGGGAGAGGAGTTTGCCATCAGCTGCACCCTGGGGCTGGGGGGGGGGGGGGGGGCACAGGCCTCGGGGGGTGCTCGTTACCGGCAGGGCCCGCCGGTCGCTTCCTTCTGCGGCGGGGGGGGGAGGGTGTTCGGCCGGGGCGGTGGAACCGGGTTTCCCCCCCCCCCCCACCAACCGCCCCGGCTCTCCCGGTGCCCCGGGAAGGGCGGGCAGCCCAACCCCGGGCCGGGAAGCGCCGCAGCCGCCCCCGGGGGTCCGGTGCCCCGGCCCCGGCCCGCTGCCGCACATGGCCCCGGGTAACCCCCGGGGGCGGCCGCGGGGCCGAGCCCGGAGCTGCCGCCTCCAAGGGCAGGGAGGAAGGCAGCCCTTCTCCTCCCAGGGAGAGGGGCTATTTGCATTTTAAATGACTTGGAGCACGCCCCTAACGCACGGTATCGGACCGGAAAGTTTGTCCTCGGGTCTCCGAACAACAAAAAAATAAAATTAAACACCCCCCCCGACATATTTGCTTTCATTTAAATCCAGCAGAGAGGCACGGTGATTAGCCTGGGTTGGTTTGTTTTGAATAACACGAAGGTTTCTGGTCTCATCTGGCATGTCTGTTTTTCCATCTATTATTATCCTATCCATCTCGCAGCACATCTCCAGCCTCTTCCTGTATAATCTCTCCCTCGGTGTCTTGATGCACGCTCCTGTCTCCAGCTGCGAATGTGTCCTGCTCTGCCTCTGCCCGCCTGTCAGGCGCAGGTCTCTGGGTCTGTAGGTTGGGCTTTCGTTTGCTTTTTTGTACGTTTGGTGTATCCGTGCTCACGGCTGTAGTAAGAAGTCGCTTACAACCAGGTGACTAAAGGAGAGATAAAATGAGGAAGCGAAGCTCGCGGGGGATTTCTCTTCATTCCGAGGCGATGCTTGGGTGTCTCCTGTCATCAGGCAGCCTCTCCAGGGTGGCTCCGAGTGACCCGACAGCATGTAAGGGTGTCTCTGGAAGAACGCTCCTTTCTGTTTTAATTTTGCTGATCTAAATCTTCCATTCTTCCCATTATTTATCAAGCCCTATGCTAAGGAATAGGTTTCTTCATCGCTCTCTTTTGTGGAGGGAGATAAAGGGCATTGGCATCCTTACGCCCACTCCCAAGATTAATATAAGCACTTCTGTTTGCTGGCAAGAAGAGTTTCAAATGGGCAATGTTTTTATGCTTTTAGGGTGCCTGTTTTTAGGCCCGTGCGGGTATGGAGGCTGGGTGTGTTTGCTGTGGTGGCAGGGAAGTAGGCGCGTAGCGTTGTCTTGGTGGAGTTAGAAAAGTCTTAGAGAGGGCACCAGTTGTGTTTGAAAAGCACAACTGTCTATTTAGATCCTGTAAGAGTCCTTCAGAATATAATAATTCATAAGGAGTGTAGCAGTGTGTGCTGGCTGTTCTTCAACCCTCTTTTTAAAAGCCTGCTCAGAAATTTGTCCATAGTGTGGTGTTTTGGTGGGTGTTTATTTCTTAAATAGGAACAAACCACTGTAGGGGATCATCTGGGTCATCTAGTCTCATTCCATGCAATCACACACTGGGTTTGGTATCACTTTGTACTGCTTGAATATCCACAAAACCAAAGTTACCTTTTGAAATGGTTGTACAGTTAAATAAAGAACCCTGTATTTTTTTAAAACTTACAGCTCCACATTAGGGCTGATTCTTAAAAATATCAGTACCATTTCTGTGATGACTGTTAGAAATCTTAACCTTTCCAGTAAATAATTTAAAATGCTAACAAAATAATCTGTTTGGAAATAAATACTCTACTAAGATAGTTAAGAATGTTTGCAAATTGTATTTTCAACTCTGCCTTACTTATGTTCTGCATTTTTCCTTGTTTTCTTGCTTTTTGAAGCAGTGGGCACAGAAGCTTGCCCTGGCTCCAGCTGAGTGCTTGCTTTTGGCCCTAAGCCCACTGCTAAAGATGGACCCAAGGCTCCTCTGTTGTTGCTTTCATGTAGTTTCTATTTTCTTATGTGTATGCCTTGGCTCATCTTGCAGTCAGCTCTTCTGGTTTAACTCTACAATTGTATTCATGTTCCTGGCTGATGTGGAGTAATAGACATTAGAGAAATGGAGAGAACCTATTGCGGGTTGTGTTTGGTCCACCCCCCAGGGAACATCACAGGATTGCTTCCAGCAGGATATTTTCAGATGCTTTGTCCAACCTAGTTTCAAATGTCTCAAGTGACTGGGATTCCATTCCAACCGTCAGCCTGTATTTGAAGGTGGAATAAGGAAGATATAATTTGTTCTTTCCTAGGAGACTCCTATATCCTTGTCTGAGATGCATAGCCTTACTTCTTACTACTATCTTTACCAGCCTCTGTTGCTTTGAACACACCTGCGTGGTGACTAAGAGCCCTTTCAGGGTCAGAAATGCTTCCTTTGGAACTCACAGAGACCGTCCTTGGATGGTTAGAGGGAGAAAGATCGCTGAAAAAGGTGAACAGTCTTCAAGGAGCATTGCCCCATCAGAGAAGGGAGCTAATTTTAAAGAAGTGGGAGCTGCAGCTTGCAGAGGGAGACCCTGAGAGCAACAGTAGTGGTGTAGAAAGCAAGAGGGATGCATGGTATAGCTGGATAAAACCAGCAGTTTTGTTGGGTTGTCAGCTGGAGACTTGTATTAACACAGAACCTGTTCCCGGGAGTCATCCTAAAAAGCTTGAATTCAGTGATCTTGAGAGTGTGCTGCGAAAGGCTGCTGCTGAATGTGACTTACAGACCTGAAGGCATGCAGGATAAATGGGAGTTTCACTTGATGTCTGTCTGAATTCTCACTGAGATCATTTCCTTCACGATGTTGAGATTTTTTTCTTAGTCCTATTTATGGTTAAGGTGCTTCATAGCCATCCATTTCATAATTTTATATTTAGATCACTAGTGACACTTGAAAAGTTAAGGGGTAAGAAATTGCTCCGTCTGTGTTTGCTAGACCAGAATTAGATGCGGTTTATGAAGCACTTGAGTCCCACTTAGACCAGATTTTCATAGGAATTTTTCATACTGGTCATGAGCTTATTTGAGAACTTGAATAAATGTGTAACACTGGACCTCTTGCAAAAGGCTGTCTGCTGTTGCTGGATGTGGAAACTAGAAAGGGGAATAAAATGCTGTGTAGATTTAATTTTTGGTTTTGTCACCCATCTCACTGTCTCATCAGACTGATAATATCTCTGGCAAACTTCGATATACATCTGAGAAATTAAATGGTCAATTTAAAGATGGTCTAATGAACTCTCTTTGCTTTTCTTCCAGCTTGCTATGGAATTGTCCAGGTTCCTACCGGACCCTGGTTCTGTCGGAAATGTGAATCTCAAGAGAGAGCCGCCAGGGTGGTGAGTACGGAGCACACTTGTACTTACACTAAGTAGGTTTGTTCGATGCCCTTCATGTCTCTGCTGGAAGCAGTGTGGTCCCCTGGCAAAAGTGGTAGAGCCTGGCATTTCAGTGATTGTAATCCCAGCTCTGCCTGTAACCTGCTGTATCTTGTTTAGACAATAGGAATAATTGTATCAAACAATTTTATACAACGCTGTTAGCTATTTTGATGAAGATGCTGCCAGAGGTGCTCTTAAGCAAGTTATCAATGTCAAAATTTTTGAGTTGAGACCTCAATCTTCTAAAGAAATAATGGCATTCTTCTAAAAGGTGTTTTCCCTGCTGATTTTTCTGTTCAACTTCTAAGGAATTTTGGAGTGGGGGAAAGTTGGCATCACCTGAGATGCTGCCATGCTGTCAAAGTTGTTATACTGACTGACAGGATGGATTGGCATTCCTATCTCGCAGCAACAGTCTCCTGCATAAAGTCTTCTGCGTTTGTAAAACAACCGAAAAAATGACAGGAAGCTGGATCAGGGTTCAGTTTCTGTCTAAGTAGCAATTTAGCAGTATAGAACACTTTACAAATGTTCTTAATTAATTCTGGCATTTCCCGGTGAGGCAGGAAAGTGGAAACAATCAGGCCAGGACTGCCTCTTCGGTCTGTCTATGTGGCAAAGTTATTTGTGCAGTAAACTAGGCTGTGAGTTTATTGCACACCAGCTACTCTGCAATAACTTCCCACGTGAGCCCTTATCAGATACGGCTGCACCAACTGACTGCTGAGGTGCTGGTGTGTAGATCTTTAACATGTTAGTTATGCCATGGATGCTGCTTTTGCCATACAGTAAAATCTGGGACAGCTTCCCCCCCTTAGTTTTCCTAAAGATGGATTTAAATTCAACTTTGGCTTTCCTTAAATACAGAAGGCCTCGGTCAGCACAAACAACATTTATTAATGCCTGCACTGCCTTCTGAACTGGTTTAGCTAAATCTTTTTTAAAGTACACACCTAGTGAAGCTGATGTAGGTGACCTCTGAATCTGCGGATCTGTGCAGGCCTGAGCGAACAGCGTGCTCCATCTCAGCTGGGCGCTCTGCTTGCAGCAGTACAAAAGTTTAATCTGTTTCACAGATGGGCGAAGAACTTGGCAAAGATGAGTGAATGGGGGAATTAGGTATCTGTGCCATGCTTTCTACACTGCATTAACTCATTCCTCATTGGAAGTGGGAGTGTAAACAAGACCAGACTTTCAGACCTGAGCTCTTTTCCCATTGTAAGATGCTGCTTTTATGTGCACTGCAGTAAAGAAGATCAAATGTGTCTTTGAGTGGTTTTACATCCTGCAGATAGTTTCATAGCAAAGAAAGGAATTTGGATTTCATGGGCCTCCTTCCCCCGGCTCTCCCAACCGTGCAGACAGAGAGAAGCTCTTCAGCGTTAGCGATAATTCAGTGTAAGCTGTAGTAACACATGTAGGCACAAGTCCTCCTCACCTGTGCTTGTTGCAAGGACTGTAACTTTTTACATGCACATTATACACTTCCAACTGCCTCCAAAGTATCAAGAAAACAATACCCCCGCAGGTGGCTCCTTATTTAACTCACCCTCGGTGAAATCTGTTAGACAATGCATGGTGGGCTTCAGTCATGCCATTCAGTCCTGTGGCATTCAGCCCTGCTACTATAATAACTGAACAGTGATAATCTTCCTTCCTAAGCAGAGCTGGGGATGATTTCCTATCTAAATCCCTCACCTTTTCAGTTAAACACCAGCAGTCATAGCAACAGACACGCAGATGGGTAAATACTTAAAAAGAATCTAGTTCTTTGATGTAGGGAACGGCATGATCAGAGTAAGGGAAATGAGTCAAGTCGTATGAGATCTGTGCACGGCTCTGCTACTAAAACACTTTGAATTTGGGCTCTGTGGTCCGGTGAGGCTGGAGGGTATGACTTTTCCTCTGCCTTGGGGTTTCACTGCACCTCTCTGTGCCTGGCTTTCTCCAGCTGTAAAAGGGGTGTTATCACCCTGCAGACACTACCGTGAGGATCTTGAATGAGAGATGCTGCTATTTGAGCACTAAATACACTGACAACAGCAGCAGGGTGAATTCCTTTCTTTCATAATGACTGTGTGGCAAACTCTTTTGAAAAGCAACAATGTTTTTCTTCCCACATCTGCCTTCATAGAAGAATCTTAAAGCAGCTTACAAGCTTTGTCCATAACAAACATACTTATTGGCTAAATATTGATACTTTGGCTTGGAAAATGAGATAGGGAGGCATGGAGAATATTGCACGCCTTAGTGACTGTTTTAAAACATAGATCTCCTGACTTCTGTCTCTCTCCTTTGGAGAGGTGGACTCTGTCCCCTCTTTAGCTTTGGAAAGAGAGCTCAGGAGCCCTAACTTTCAGTGGGCAGGTGATAGATCCCAGAGTTAGAAGCTCCAGGGGGCCAGGAGCTCTCACCGTACCCCACACAACCTGGTTTAAATCAACCACGCTCTGCTCTTTTCCCAGAGTTGAAATAAAAACCCCGGAGACTGCCTTGGCCTATGCAGGTTGAATAAAAGGAAGAGGTACCGCTAATCCTGCTCATAACCCCTCCTCAGATGCTCAGGTCCCTAAAGGATGCTGTGGATGCTATTGTGCTTACAGTAAGCAACTGAAAGCCCATCCACTTTGTAATCAAATTGTCTAGGAAGCCCGGTGAGCTGCAATGGCCAGAGGGCACTCATGTGAGGGATCATGTGAAGGCTTTAGCTGTCATTTCGAGGCAGGGCTATTAAAAGTCTTGTGTGGGGCCGATGGAGCTGTTAACCCCTCTTGTTACAATCAGAGCTTTGCTAATCGCATGGTGGGAGAGCCGCTTTGATCTGAGGGGTGGAGGGGAGAGCAGAGGGGCCTTTTCAAGTGCAAATTTCTTATTACAGTGTCTCAGTTAACCCAGTTCTTTTTCTGTCTTGGCTTTGCCGGGCTTTCCATAGTAATTGTGAGAGCAGCTCTTCAGCCCTCTGGCAGCCTGGACCTAACCAGGAGCAGTGAGAAACACCTCCTGTGGTCATCCATCCATATTTCAAACTGAGTTGCAGGGAAAGCAAGACAGGCTGCTGACAACGGCACTGGTCTTTGTCCCCTCATCTTATTTATATGTTATCACAGGGATTTCGTGCTTGCCAAAGGTGCCTGTTTGATAGCCCTGCATGCTTGACTCCCACAAAAGTGTTGGCGGATCGGGCTGAGCCTCCCTGCTGCCCATTGCATTGCAATCCTATTTATTGCGCCCGTCCGTCCAGGAGGTAAAATTTCAGCAGAGAAAATCTTGCTTGAGGAAAACCACCTTTGTGGAAGGTCCTTGGGGACTACTCAGTGGTAGAGTCTTTTGCTTGTGGCCAGTTATTGCTCAATACATTGGTGTTTCTCGCGGCGTGGAGCACCTGCCCTGTCACACTGACCAGAGCTGCGCGGTCACAGCGAAGCACAAACAGGCGAGAGTGCCAGGTCTTGCACACTCATAGAGCCACAGCCCGCTCTCTCGCTTTGACACCGGGCACCTCATTTCAAAACTTTCTGACAAAGCATGTTTTTCACAGAAAAACAGGGGTGGGGTTTTTTGTTTTGTTTTGTTTTTTTAACAAATCAGATAATTCTACTAGGGAAGGAAAAGGTTGGTACCTTGGAAGGCTTTCAGGCCTTTTTTAAAGTCAAAGAAAACAAAAAGCACCTACAAATTTTCCCTGAGTGATGCTGTGAGAAGACAGCGACCGCTTTCAGGTGGCTTGGCCTGGGAGGAGCCCTCAGGGCTGGGAGCGTGTTCCCCCATGCGTGGCAACGCGCCCCGAAACCACCCCACCTCCCACCAACCCTTCGAAAGGGCGTTATGGCCGGAGGAGAGCCCTCATGTGGAGGCTGATGACGGCCAGGCAGGGCTAAAATTAGTGAGGTGGGGAAAATGAGTGCGGGGCCTCGCGAGGAATGGCGCCGAGGGCTGCGGCACTGGGTTTCCCCGGCTCTTGCCGTCCCGCCTGGCTGGACCCTCCCCGTCCTCTCGCCGGGTGTGCATGGCGGCGAGGTGAGACCCGTTCCCACCCTGGCCATGAGGGAGACATTTCCACAGGTTTGGCCTCAGAAGCCTCCCTGCCCTTGGGGCTTGGCGTGAGGGGGCCCATCTGCAATCACCCTGTGACTGCTGGCCCTCGGTGGAGGAGACAGGGTGTCTTCCCCTCACAGTTTTCCACAAAAAGCAGCCATTAGTGACTGGGCATGGAGAGGGGGGGCGCAGGGTCGCTCTGGTCCCTCACAACCCATCATGGCGCTGGGCCTGCGGCCTCCTGCCCGGCATGATGGCGCTGAGGGAGCTTCCTCCACCCTCCTGGGTGGCGGGGACTCTCCGGCATCAATTCTCCCCTCACACTTTCTCCATCACCCCCAAGGCTGGGTTTGGGGGGGAAGCAGGGTGCCCACCCTCCAGTCCCAGTCACGGGGACGAGGCTTGCCATGGCCCCCCACGCCTCGCCGGCAAAAATGTCACGACAGCCTCACCCGCCCCTCATGAGACTGGAAAAAATATCGCAAGAGAAGGAAGGAAGGAAGGAAAGAGGCAAAGATAGATCATGGCTTCTTTTTATTTGCGTTCCGCTCTCTGAGTCATGGTTTTCAGTTTTACTCCCCAACCGCAAAGTCTAAAACTTTTTTTAAAAAAGCCCCATGAAAGTCGAGGTTCGCTTGTAGCCCTGTGGCTCTTGGGCTGAGGCTTTAAATACGTCCCTGTCAGACAGGACGATATTGAGCTGTGTCAGAGTATCTTTTTGCACCCAAGCTGCTCTCAGCCCTTCTTCCACTTCCTCTCTTTGAAAGCAGCCCCATCTTTCATAACCATGTTGTAAATGAATCATCTCTTTTCTGGCCCCACGCCCCTGGGAGTTAGATTAAACTTGTTGTTTCTGCTTAATTTCAAGAGATGCGAACTGTGTCCCCACAAAGATGGAGCCCTGAAACGGACCGACAACGGAGGTGAGTACCTCTGCGCAGAGCCCGGTATGTCACACAGAGCCTCTGGGGACACGGTGTCTGTCCTGGGCACAAAATAATTAATTTCTGAGCCTGTGTCACTGGAAAGGGAAGGCTGGAGGCTCCAGAAGAATTAAAACACTGCCTTTTTCTTACAAAACTTCACTTGCTGAAGCTTCTTTCCCTGGGTGGGGGGCGCAGAATCTGCCGGACCTCTGACTGCCAGCGAAGCCTAGCCCCTGGGATGTGCACTTTCTTGAGTTTAACCTCACAGGAATCGGTGCACGATCTGGCATTGTTTACAGAAATGTGGACGTTGCAGAGTTATTTGCTGCATGCTTGCACAGTAGTATGATCCTCCAGTTAACAAAGCCTCAGCCTTGAGTCCCCATCTGAGAGCAGGGACCAGGACACAGTAAAGATGTTTTTCTCTGCAGGACTTATCTGCTCATCATTGATCTTCACAGCCTCTGGTGCTGTGAAGTACTGTAGAGTCTGATTTCAGTTGTCAGAGCTTGCAGCTATTGATGCTACTGGCTCTATAGATCAAACTTAATTTTTCTCTTTCTTTTTCTCCTTTTCAGAAAGGTTTCTGTACCTACCTGACACTTACCTTAATACACAAAGAGTTAAATTAGGCAAGGAGGTCTTTATTCTGATAGATTTAGGGAAGCTCTAAGTCCAGGTTATTTTGTAGAAGCATGTGCTAGAACTGGTCGTAAGTGCCAAGAGCCTTAGTGCAATAGCACAAGTATCATGTTGGGGGATTGTTTTATAATAACATAGCATCTTCTTCCAAACATGTTATTACATGGTTTGGTCAGGTCTGTGTAGACAGGCACAAGAAGTGTTACAACCATGTCACTGTACAGAATTATATAGCCCAAGTACTTAGTGCTGTATGATTCTGTAATCATGGAGATTGGTTCTTACTGCCCAGGTGAATCCATCCTAATTGTAGCTAAATCCTTCCAGTGCAGTAGCCATACTGGTCATGGATCAGCCCCCAAAGGCTCCTGACTTTCAGACTTTCTCAGTTCTGTCCTGACCAGATGGAATTTCAACTTGCACATCTGATTTGGGAAGCGTCTTGGTGGATTTAGATTTTAATCTAACTTGGCTTGCTGAAAAAGAGCCTTCTTTAGCCGTTGATAACAGCCAATAAAGGGAGCTTTGTTTCCAGTGGCATGGGACTACACATCAAACCTGTCCCATCAGCATCATTTACTGCTTGGATGCTTTTCCTGGGTTTGGTTAGGTCTTCAACTCTGGGTCTCAAGTCCTGAGGGGGTGCTTTTAAGAACGATGAGTGTTGCACACTTCTCTTCCCAAAGAAGTCTCTGCTTTCTCATTTAATCTGGATGTCATATCCATCTGTCTTTCACCCACAAAGGATTTGATTCCTAACCAAGTTACAACAGGCAGTATTTAAAATCTAACATCTAACTTAAGTTGGCTCCCTTCCTACACTCTCTTCCTTCTCTCCCTTCCATGTTTGCCTGCAGCCCTGTCTGAGTTTAAGACTCTTCAGGGTTGCCCCATGTGAACCTCCGCTCTCTGTCTTGTTTGCCTCCCCAGGGTGGGCCCATGTCGTCTGTGCTTTGTACATCCCAGAGGTGCAGTTTGCCAATGTGCTCACCATGGAGCCAATTGTCCTGCAGTATGTACCCCACGACCGCTTCAACAAGGTGAGGTCATCTCTTTCTAACTGTTGCTCCAAGTATACTTGCCCCACCTTGGCTTTTTGGGGTCATCTTATGCTGCCACGTCTCCTGTCTGATTTATTTTAATTTCCAGGTACTCAGATTCCTTTAAAAATAACTAACAAAGTAAATCCACATTCTTACAAATAACTGTTTGGTCCTCCATTTCTCTTCTCCTCAACTCCCTGCAACTTGACCAATCTCCGCCTTGGAGTTGCATGTTGGTTACTCCACATTTTGATCTGACACAGTTGTTATTTAGGGAGAAAAAGAAGATGTATGAGTTTTGTGTGTGCCACTGAGAAATAACCCAGAGCTGTTGTCACAGGAGAGAGATAACTGGACACAGAATTAGGAGTTCTTGAAGGCTTTGCCTCCCGGTGAATGATGAGAGTGATGTAGACATTTTGTTTGCCTCTTTGAGTGAGCACTTTTCCTTTTTTTTTTTTTTTTTTTTTTGCAGACCTGCTACATCTGTGAAGAACAGGGCAGGGAGAGCAAAGCAGCCTCTGGAGCATGCATGGCCTGTAACAGACACGGCTGCCGGCAAGCTTTCCACGTCACCTGGTGAGTTCCCCACAGCATCACCCCAAGAATAACCCCAGCTATTGGTTTTGCTCTATGGCTTTGAGGCTGCACTGACTGGGTGGTGTGGGGAGTTGGGCTAATCACCCTGGGTTTATTTTGTGTGAGGAGTATCTCATCCTTGTTCAGTTTGTGAGGGGAACTTCCCCAGGAAGGCTGAGGTTTCATCAGTGAGCCTTCCCTGCTGAGAAAGAAGGCTGGGGATTTCCCTAAGACTATGTGGAATCCAAGAAGAGAAGAGATGAGTCACAACCCAGGAATGTTCCTTCTCCAGCAGAGCACATGCAAGAGTATCATCTAGATGATGTGATTTTAAGGGCTGATATCCTTGTGTACCCTTGCAGCCCGAAAACAACATTGCCTGTTGGCAGAACAGGGAGATTCCCAGCTTTCCATGGATTCCTTGCTCATGACATGTCTTTTGTTGGAATTGTTGCTGGTCTCCCAGGCCTCCCTTAAGAAAAACAAAAATTGCAAGACAATCTCGTAGGAAAGTACTGACAATTTTGAAGATCTTAATAGGAATTAAAAAGTCTGAACTTTTTTCTCCTCCTTGCACACCATTTGCCAAGCAGAACAGGAGACTTCACGACCCTGCCTGGGTATCCTGAACTGTTCTTTGCCCTTTGATGGGATATGTGGTCTGGCTGTACAATTTGCTTTATCCTCCTCCTAATTGCATGTATTTCAGTGCCCAGATGGCTGGCCTCTTATGTGAAGAGGAAGTCCTAGAAGTCGACAATGTCAAATACTGTGGCTACTGCAAGTACCACTTCAATAAAATGGTGAGTTTCTTCATCCCTGCAATGGATGTTTTTTTGTCACATAAAAGGCATTGTCTTCATCCTAGATTGTATCTGTGCTCAGAGCAGTAAGAAATGCCACAAACACATAAACAAGGTCTGCAGCCCGCTTCCCTCTTCAGCCAGTGTCACATAGGAATAAAGGTTAATTTATATTTTGCATTTCTATAGAATCTTTAAACCCATTTTCAAAACTAGGGGTTGAATTCTTCCCGCCTGTTTTGGCTTCCCTGACCCACTCTGTATGGCTGAAAGATAAGTCCCAAGAAAGGAGAGCAGCCATGATGTTTGGTGCTCCAGGGATTTAGGGGCATAGCTCAGGCACCCTGGGCAGGAGGGTGTAACACAGGACAGCCAGAACTTCTGCCTGAGGACAGAAGCAGCCCAGAAGAGGCATGGAGTCTTTTACTGTTTGAGGGATATTGGGGCAGAGGACTTCCCCCTATTAATTACAGTACTGAGAGGAAAGAGAGGAACCCTTTTCCTGTTCTGCATAATTAGTAGACACCTGCTCTCCCCCCTCCAGCAAAAAGGAAACTTGATCCTTTCACTACAGCTTTATGTCTCAGTAGGTCCTTTGTTGCTGGCCTTCCCCACTTTCCTTCCTGCTTATCAGTGCTGTCACATACAGTGACTGATGCCTTGAGCTTCCCCTCAAAGTCAAACTGGAGGACACCTTCCCTGCCCTTCAGGTACCCTCAGTATCTGACACAAGTGTAGCTCTGTATCAAGTTAACTGATGCTGAGAGAGATAGCAGGACTTCTGCTAGTGCCTGGAGTCTGAGAACAGGGCACCTTTCCACACACCTCCCCATGCACCGCTCAAGACAAAGCTGGACACTTCAGCAAGACTGTCTTGTCTGAGCAACATTGCTGCTACCATTTATCTTGTTTACAGAATGGTCTGTTAGCAGCTGTGCCTTTCTTGTACAGGTGTCAGTGTGCATGGGCCTCCAAGAACCAAGGGTTTGGGGAGTTAGATCTACATGTTGTAAGCCCACTAGTATGGTATCTGCTGTGGTCCCCGTGTTAGGAACGAGGCTGGGCATCTGATACAAAAAGAATTTGATCCTGCATGTGGTAGACAGCCATTACTGTAACTTTGCTGACTGTAACAGTGAAAGACGGACTCTATAACACTGTTTCGTCTCTCTCTCTGTCTCTTTTTCTTTTTCTCCTGTTCTCTACCTCCTCTCTGCTTCCCCACTTACCTCAGAAGACCTCTCGTCACTCTGGAGGTAGCTCCTTCATTGCTGGAAGAAGGAGTCGATCCGCATCCCCTGCTCAAGAGAAGCATGTATCCCACCACGAAAGGCCAAAGAAGGTAAGATCTGCACAGAGTTTGTCAATCCAGAGAGACGCAGTCATGTGGGATGGAGGTGAGAAGGGGAAGAGTGTGCAGAGAGCACCGATGGCTCCTCAGGTGAGCCCTGACCCTGCAAAGAGTTTCACGGTCGGCGATCTCAATAGTAGTTGTGTTTTTAAACAGGCCTCTAGAAATGTGTATGCAAATAGAGCAGCGCAGCCATGGGGAACATGAGGCCAAGTTTGCATGTTCAGATTATGCCAGAGGGGTCCCGGCAGAACATGCCCATGAGATGGGCAACTTTCCCTTTCTTGTCTTGTGGCAAGTCCACTTTGAGGATGACATTGTGCTATGGTTTCCAGCTACTGAGTTGGTCTGTGTGGAAATAGTTTGGGCTGTGCTTTTAAATGCAGCAGCTTGAGAACATAAACTGGAGGTCGTTGTCCTCAGATCCCAGAGTCCAAGTTTTAAAGGACAAAAAGATACTGATTAGTAATCTGCATTGTGGCCAGCAGGTTAATTGTAGGCAAGAACAATAATTCATATAAACTAAGTAGTACTTTGTTAGCTGGATTAACCAGCCACAAGGATTCCACCTTCAAGTCTACCCATTAAAATAGTTTATCTTTGTTAAACAATTATTTAGAAGAACATTGCATGCCAGATCTGACTGGTACAGTAGTTATTTATCTAACTCTGCCGGTTAAGACGTGCTCATCAAAACTGCTGCAGTGTTACAGGACATGTTAACAGCACACCAAGGTTCATAATTAACCGACTCACGTGACAAATACTCATATTTCAAGGTAAAGCAGCACTGAATGTGTAAGGCAGAATCCCAGCAGACTCCCGGGTTCTGACAGGGGTGCAGGTTCCAGTGTGGAAGGGTCTGTACCAAAAGAAATGAGGAGGCCAGAGGCTTGTGAAGTGTTTGTTATTTATAATGATAAATAGCCCTAAAAGGCAGGACACTTGGGTTTTTTCGAAGATTCAGGTTCTAAGGTATGTGGCAGCAGAATAAGAAATCTTTCCTGCCCTTTGATGGATACAGCTTTTGCAATATCAAGAATCCACAGCAAAGTTCTGCCACCCTCCTTTGCACCCTACCTATCCAGAGCAGTGGGGTAGGATCTGAAGCAGAAGTAACTTGCACAGGGGTACTGTCAGCATGGTCAGATAGTTTATAATACTTTATGGACCATATCCTGGTTTTTGTTAGCAGAAATCCAGAATTACTCTACCAAGCAACCTCTGGATATATTTCACAACAGTCAAAAGCCAAATTTACCTTGTTGTATAGACACAATTGATATCCCTGCAAATCGCAGCACAAATCTTTTAGGTCTTGGTATAGGTGTCTGGGTGCTTACTACTTTTTTGTTTGTTTTTGTCTTCTTGCAGTAGTCATCCTCACAGTGCATAAATGGTTTTGAATGGTAATGATAGTGACTCAGAGGCAGAAACAGCCTGATGACACTCCAGTGGGTTATGTGGCCTAAGTCTGATGGATCTCAGCCCAGTCTCCAGAGGATAAGGGCATCCAGGTTTTCAAAAGCAATACAGCCATCAGTTAATTCTGACTGACACCCTCCTGGCATGCCCAGCTGAGAGCCCATAAATTGTGTGGGCAGGAAAGCCATCTCCCTCTTTATTTACAGAGGTTATCCCTCAATATCCAGTTTGAAACGCTGCCCACCACGTCCATTACGTGTTTGGGAACCTTGCCCAAACCGTACCTGATACATGGGCAAACAAGGCAAACCTCGCTCACACAGCGATGCCTCCCCGGCTGCCGACACCAAGTCAGTAAATTTCCTATTGCCGACGAGGCTGAGGCGTGCGGGGAGTATTTACTCCTCTTGTGTGTTCAGCTGCTGCGAGCAGGGGAGGAGGCGGGAGGGAGAAAGAGCATCTGTGCCACGGACGGGGAGCGAGCGCTTGGCACAAGGTGAAGGGCTGTACTGGAACGTGCTATTTTTAGCCAACAAGCAGGCAGAGGGGGTGGGGGAAGAGGGCAGGATCGGGGTGATTGACGGCTGCTCAGCTGTAATTATAACTGACAGACTGTGCAAGTCCAAGGCTGGGGACCGTATGGGGGTTTCTATATTCACACAGCTTCTGGAGGCGGGGGTGGGAGCGCAGTCATGTGCCTGGCAGGTAGGAGCAGGGGTGGTGCTGCTTCCCGGCTTTGGTTGGAAAGCAGGTCAGCGCCAGGGGGAGAGCGAAAACAGGAGGAAGATGGATTTATTTATAGGCTTCTCAGTGGTGCTTGCCACTATTGTTAGCCTCCGGGTTCCTCACAAACGTGCAGAGACTCCGTCGCGCTGCCGCCTCACCGCTCTCCCCTCCTGATGGCTCCTCGGGTTTGTGAGCAGCAGATCCTGTGGAGGCCCCTTCCAGGGCCGGGATTGTTTGGCACGGCCGCAGCACAAGTGCAAAATCAACTCCTTCCACTTAGAGAGGGGGAGTCAGCACAGAAAGGGGGCCGAGGTGCGCAGAGCAGCTGAGATGGGCAGGGTAAGGAAGGCACTCTCGGCTTCCAGGGGTGTCTGGTAGTTTACATGTCTGGGAGCGGTTGTGAAGTGCAGGGAGGAAGGACTGGGTGGGAGGCGGTGTGGGAACAGAGATCTTTCGAAGGGGTACCCGAAGAGGGGGTTGAACTATTGCTTCCCACATGGTTTTGGAGTACGTGACTAGCAGTGCATGATCTAATTGCACATGTTTCAGGGGAACTGGACGTGCTGCTGTGCTGACCTGAAGTAGAACAGCTTTTTCTTGAGGCTGTCCAGCTGTGCAGCCGGCTGGTCCCGTCCTCCCAGAGCCGGAGGCGTTGCAGGGGAGCTGATCACTCAGCGGCAGACCAGAGCGTGTGTGTGAGTCCCCGGGCTGCAGGTGCTCCTGGCTTTCTGCTCCAGAAGGAGCTCAGCGCCTGACAGCTCCCTTCCACTGCAGGGCTGTGGCTGTTTGCTTAGGCTTTACGGAGGAAAACTCTGGCTGAGTTAATGACTAAGTGAGGGGCACAGGATTTAACCCAGTAGCTTCAGTAAGACAGCAAAGACTTGGGATTTGGACTTCTAAGCCCTGCTGTAAACCAGTTCAGCATTTGTGAAGAGTCTTGTTCTCTGTAGAACAAGGGACAATTGTGATGTGGGACTGCAAGCCAGCATCGGCATCCCCCACCTCTTGCAGGCACAAATGATGCCAGCCCAAGAATTTCCTTCTGTCCTGTCCTGAAAATGGGAAAGCTCCAGGCTTTGGGTTTTCCTCTGAACATACCAGGCCTTAGCAAAACCAGCCCCATTTATTTCTTTGGGGTTGGTATTGCCATGTGTGTGCTCTACCCTGTGGGAGCCTTTGGAGGGCTTGTTTGTTTAAAAAAAGAAAGAAGAAAGAAAGAAAGAAAACAATAGCTAAATACCAAGAAAATGCTGGATGACGCACAGGGGTTGAATGAAGTACAGATGTTCTGTCACCTATATTGTCTGCTTGAAATGCATAAAAAAAAATTACCACACTCCGTGGAATGAAATTTGTCACGCCAGGAGCAGACAGGAGCACATGCACTACAACATTTTTAGGCATACACCCCATGGAGGGTGACACTGTTCAGTGTTATTCTTAGTGAACACCTGGAACCCATAAGCAAAATCAGGGGACTTTTAATTTGGATATGGGACACTGTCATGAGAGGAGCAGTCCCTGCCCAGTGTCACAGGAAAGAGAGGCAGGCACTTGGAGCAAATAAGCCCACCTGCAGTTGTTCTTCAGATCTGGGTGCAGAGCCAGTTCTCCACAATCGAAACACACCTTTAGCTCCTGAACTGCTTCCATTGCCACGGTGGGGGACAGCTTTATTGGGGTGCAGGAACTGCGTCTGTCCTGCCCCTCTTAACCCTTTAGCAGCAGCTAGAGCAGTGCCCCAGCCCCCGGTCCCGCTGCGTCTGAGCAGACGCACGGCAGAGCCTGCCTCCCCGCTGCCATCGCCTGTCTGGCTAGACCTGATGCCAGTGAAGGAAGCGAGCCAAGGATCCAGCCTGGCAGATTTAGCACACTGGAAAAGTTGTACTGGGCTGAAATCTAAACCCAGTGGGTCTGTGAGGGGCTTTGTGTTTGCCTTCTTGTTGGTGACGGAGTTGTGCCTCTTGGAGTTTTGTGTCCACACAGGCGGCAGAGGGCAAAGCGGGTATATTTTTTCATGCAGGATGCAGGTGGCTGCTTACAAGACCAGCACAGATTTTTTTGGGAAGGAGTACTGAACCTAAATCTGCTCTAATCTACCCGGAGTGGCCGTGTTTCATAGAATCCTTCACCGCCTTTCTGTGACCTCTTGTTATGTGGGTGTTTAACCACCCCTAGCAAATCCTTCCATTAACAGGGGGTGCAGCAATAATTGTGAGAGCACACAAAGCCCAGCGAGGGCTGGCCGTCTGTCCTTGTGGAAAATCTCTAGTGCGCTCAGAGGGTGTCTCAAGGTAAACCCGTGAAATCCCCAGCACGGCCCCGGTGCAAGTGAGGTTGCAGGCAGGGCCTTAGTGTCCCTCTGCCCGGTGCTGCCTTCCTCCTCGCTGCGGCTGCCATGGCTGCAGCCCAGAGCCAAGCCTCCTCCGGGTGAGGGAGTTCAGAGAGCCTGGGAAAGAGGGAGGGAGCACCAGAGCCCACTTGGCTCTTCCCAGCTCCCGGCTCTTCCCTCCCTCCTTCCCCTGCCCAAACTACTTTTAATGATCCAATTGCTGGTGTCCAGCAGATTAGAAGAGGGGGGCTCAGGGAAGGGGAGACGGCAGTGGGGGGGAGCAGGAGGAGCTGTGCACAACCCTTTTTGGCAGCCAGAGATCCTGTTTCGTTCCTCCTGAGCTGAGGAGCTCGAAGGGAGATTGTGTCACTGGCACGCCCCCCCGCTCCCCGATGCAGCCGCGCTCCCCCCGCCGCAGGCCTGGCCTGCTCCGTGCCCACATGCCAAGCCCCAGCTGCTCAGTCCTGCATGGAGAGAGTTTGTTTTCCATGAAGTTTCTTGCTGGGGGCAGGTTCATGTTCTCTGCAGCTTGCCCAGCCAGCCAGCCTGCTGCAGGGAGCACCGAGCGGCTGCAAGGTAGGGCTCGGCTTTTGCTTGCAAAGATGGGATGGGGGTGTTGAAAGGCTTCCTGCTCTCACAGTGCATCCTCCCTCCCTCCTCCTCCTCCTCCCCTGACTCCTGCTTCATGGCAGAGCCAGGCAGGCCTCTGTGGGCAGGCTGGGCTATTTCCAGTGCCTATATTGTTTGTGAAGTTTCCTGGAAGGAAGGTTTGCAGAGGAGGGTGCCTGTGTACTGGGGAGATGAAGTGCTGGACGCAGAAGAGCCAGGTGTGGAGGGGACATTTCAGAGGCAGGGGACCGAGTGCTGCTTTCCCCCTCTCCTCTTGCCCTCCCCTCTCTTTGCACCCTGCGGCTCTGGCAGGAAGCATTTGGAGCCTTCCGGTTCCTGGAGAGAACCCACATGTTTAAAAGCCTCTGGTGCGAGCTGGGGGATGCCTCGGGGTGTCTGGGGGCCTGCCAACACAGGCAAAATAGCCAGGAGTGACTGGGAACCCGGATCACCTCAGCACCATGGTCTCTGTGGGCAGCCAGAGTGACCTTCCCACTGGTGCCCTTGGTCTTGGGGCAGCCCGGCACATCTGCAAAATGCCCGTGGGGTAACAGAGTTAATTGTCCTGCCCGTTTAACACACAGCACTGAATTTCTCCAGTAATATTGAAGAAGGTGTCAGATGCTGTTGCCTTTCTGAGTACGCAAAAGTATGAGAGTAACTGGAGGGTGGGAGATGGGTGCTACTGGGTGTGCAAAGGCAGTGGATACCCAGACCGTGCAAAGCTTAAGGGCTGCAGCCCAGAAGGGCTCTTTGGTGCTGAGTCCTCTGGGTTTCTGCTCTGCCCCAGCTGAAGTGACATAGAGAGCACAGAGTGGCGAGGGAGTGGGAGAATTGCTTGGTAAGCACAAGGGAGGAGCAAGGTGTGCCCCTGGGCATGGCCCGGGGCTGCGTGCAGGGACGCGGGCAGCGTGGTGTTGAGCTCCTCGTCAGGCTGCGGCGGTTCCGATTTCAATGCAGTCCTTTGAGCAGAGCACGAAGACTGGTCTCTGTGGGACAGATTGTCTAAATAGTTTGAGTGCAGTTGCTCAGCACATGTAGTTGGGGCTAGATCTTCAAAAGAGCTCAATACCCAGCGTTTAGCTCTTTGGAAAACCTGACCATTTATTCAAGCATCTAATGGGAGCTGAGGCATTCCAGAAATCTGGTCCCTATTGTGCAGGCTGGGTTCTTGCTGAATATGTACATATGTACGCACTCCTACATATAACCAGAGGATTGCTCAGTTAGCTGTTGTAGACTCTGCGCTGCCGACAGTGAAGGGAGATTTTTCAGACAGGAGACAGCCAGAATTTTGAAGCCGGAAGATGTGAGTTTGGTGGTTGCCATCACAATGAAATTGTGGGAGGTTTTCTGGTTTGCTGTGGTGACAGTCAGGACATTTCTGCCTTTCCCCATGCATGTGCACGTCTGTATGTGTATGTATGTAGGTGTGTGGGTTCATTGTCATTAGCCAAAATGGCTTGGCTCTGCCTTATCTTGACCATGATATATGAAATTAAATCATCATAGTGCTGTCTTGCTGGTGTTAGCAGCAGTGTATTTTATTCCCTCCTGTTGCAACTTCATGATTGAAATGCATTTGGGATTTGGGGATTGAAAATAAGAGAATAAGCTCTGTGGTATTCTGAAAGTTTAAGGACCAGGGTTTGTGCAGTTATTTGGCAAAATGTATTGTAATGAGGTGTCTGGCTCCTGCTTTCCATTTCTGGCTTCCATGAATGGCACTGGCAGCATCTGCAAGTAGGTGAGCATGTGTCTAGGTGGGGTGGGAATCCCTGACTTTTCTTTCTGAATTTATGGATGACTCTCTGTGAAATATCAGCAAGTTCTCTCATCCCATGTGCCCTGATTTCCCCATTTGTAAAACGAGATGTAGATATTAAAAACCTCTCTTCAGCTCGTTGAAACTCTGCTGTGTGCTATTAAGTGAGTGCAAATTGTTACTGCTACTGGAATAATGAACACTGATGTGCACATGGTCTGTAACAAGCTGCTTAACTAACTGGGCACAGTTTCCCCATCTTCCTGTCCTAGAAGACCCATGAGACTTAGACAGAGTTTATATCGTGAGAAGCCCCCAAGTATTTAAAACATTATGAGATTTAGTAAAGATTTAATTTTAATTTGTCTTTCAGCACTTAGTCTGTAGATATCACATTTTCAAGCTTTCCTTGTTCACTGCCAAAGCTGAAAATGTGTATTAAAGAAAGGGGGGAAAAAAGGAAACAGAGATTCTCGTAAAATACTGTAGCTCTAGGAACAGAGGCTTTAACAGATATGCCAAATGCCGGGAGACTTGTGATAAAATTATGAATATTGGCAGTGTTGGTTGGGCACACAGCAAGCTGCAGTGCAGCTCTAGTCTGGATTTGCCTCCTTTTTTCACCACCTCATCCCGGTGAAAGCTGCTGTGGTGTCATGGCAGGTTTACACTGGCAGGGTCACTGGTGGCTGCAGCATGGGCCTCCTTTTCAAGTGCGATGGAAATTCAGCCAAACCCACACTGGAAGGTGCTGATTTCTGGAGCAATTTTGCTTCACCTCCACTTTATGCCTGCCTTTTCCAGCCTTTTCTTCTTGCCCTGGCCCTCCTCCTGCCCTTTTTTTTTTTTTTTCCATTTAGTGTATTGTTTTCTAAGCTAATTATTCCACTCTCTTCTCTCCTCCCCAAAAACATACAGTGGAGCTCATATTTGTTGCAACTGCATCTTCCCCTGACAGCATCCCATCTTTGGCACATGCTGGCAGCTGTAGCCTCAGGGTTTTGCCTGCATGAGGAAGCAATCAGCATTTTTCTGGAGAGTCAGTGAATTTTGATGTGATTGTTCTGTTCTGAACGCACCTTCGGTCCAAACTGAGGACTTCAGTTTCTAGAATAAAACGCCGATGCAAGGGAGTTATACCAGAGTAGGCATTCTTTCCCACAAAAAGGTCTCAGAGACAGGAGGATGGATTTTTCTAAGCCCTGCATGTTGTGGAAGCATTTATCTGACGGCAGCTCTCCTGGTCCCCACACCAGTGACCGCATGGGAAGTTTGGAACTCGACACAAAAGTTTCTGCAGCTTCAGTAAAGAAGGCCACATCTTTGGCTGACACCGGTAGCGTGGAAAAGCTCCTGTAGTCAGCTGAGTTTGTTCCCATGGGAACGTGCAGCTGGGGAAGACAGGGAGGAAGCAGGAGTGTGTGATGGAGCATGTTCTTCAATCCATCCAGCCTGTATGCCAGCTGGCCTGGGCACCCTCAAGCCTGACTTGAGTTCACACAGGCCTGTGTTTTCAGTCCTTTCACTGAAAACATCTCAGTTTTAGCATAAACATCCAGATAGCACTATATAAGAATAACCTCCTTGGTTACAGTCCATTCCCCCTGAGAATATAAAATCAGGGCAGGCAGGACTCACTGGTTCTCAGGCCATGATTTCTCTTTGGTTTGCAATTTGAAGAATCCCATGTTTCTGGGATCTTAGTGAGAGAAAACACAGGATGAAGAAATCAAACTAAATAGCCCTGTCTCCTGTTAGCAGAGATGGATTCAGACCAGCTGTTGGGAGGGGAGATGTGAGGGATCTCTAGGTTAGGTTCAAGCCTAGGTTCTGAGATCTCCACTGACCGATCTCTTTAGCTGTGCACGTGCAACATGTGCTGAAATCAGGATTCTCCCGTTGTCTGTACAGGGTGGATCTGATAAGCCCTTGAAGAAGGTAAAGAGCGAGGGTAAAGAGGCACAGAGTCCCTTTGGGGAAATAGCAAGAGGAAAGCTCAGGTTTCTTGAAATCAGCCAGAGCTTGTTAAGTCCTTCCCTATCATCTTACCATAAATTGATTTGGGGGCTTCTGTTGATATTCTGCACTCCAGATGTTGGCTGCAGCTGGGATAGAGATAGTGGGACGCTCCCAGCCAGAAGCTGGGATGTGGGGGAAGGGATACTGGGCTCGGGTGGATGGGTGGAGAAGGAAAGAGGAATATGAATGTATGGTTGTAAATCCACCCCTACACACCCTGCTTTCTTTTCCCTTACAACTGCTATTCTCAGCAGAGGAAAAGTTAGCCTTCCAGTACTTTCTCATTTCTTTTGCAGAGTCGGAAGGACAAAGAAAGACCTAAACAGAAGCACAAAAAACGTCCGGAGTCTCCCACCAGCCTTACCCCATCCTCGGTGCCCGTCGCTGCAGAGAAGGTACCGAACCCGCAGGATGCAAGTGTGTGAATGCAGAGTGGGGAGGGAGGGCAGGGGGGAACCATTGACACTGGCTTTCCTAGGAGGTGGGGAGGACAGGGCAGAAGAGCAGAGAAAGGGCTTTTGTCCGTTTATTTTGATTCCTGATTCGTCACATTCTCACTCTCTCTGCCTGACTCCCCACCTCACGCCCACCTTGGGAATTTAACACGGCAGCTGTCTTGATTTCTGTCAGCACTGACGACACAATCATGGAGCTAAACTCCCAAGTGATTGAGCTGTAAGTGCCAGCCTGTTTTGCAGCAGATGTTCAGATTTGAAGCTCTTGCAGAATAGATAAATATCCATGCTTTGGCCTTTTCTGCTGCCACATCATAAACAGCTCAGGCAGGTGGATAAGCAAGGCAAGGCTTGTGGGAGGAGGTGTTAGCCTTTATTAGACAAACTGATATAACTGAGGGGAGAAAAAAACAGACCGTCTTATAGGCACATAAGACCTTCAAAGTACATAATAGAGATAGCTTTTCTGTGTGAGACAATGGGAGGTTGGTTTCTATTTAGTTCCTTCATTTCAGGAAAATTCAGGCAGAGGGGCACAGTGTGGTGGCCTGTTTTGCTCCTGGGGTGTAGAGGGAGTCCAGTTCCCTTCTGTGAAGATGTTGATTGTGTGGGTTTGTCTTCTCAGGGCCAAGGGTTTGTGGGGCTAGTGGGGCGCGGTCAGGATGTCAGTGTATTTCTGCTATTCACTGCTGAAATCATGCTGCTGACATGGACTCTTGCACCTGGCTGTAAATCAGGATATCCCTGAGCTTTCTGCAGTTTGTGCCAGCCCCAAACTTCAGTAATGCAGAATAGACACAGTGGAACTTGCCTCAAGCTTGCATGCAACAAGGTGAAGGCCAAGTTTGCAGTTGTTCAGGGTCAGGGAACAAGTGAGGTTACTCCAGCACCTGGACCGTTGGAGCTGTACTCTCCTTGCTGAGTGGGAATGTAAATTAATGCAACTCCTCAGCAGGGCTGTTCTCATGTAAGTGAGGGTAGGACTAGGGCCAAGCTCCTGCCAGAACAAATAAACAACATGTCCCAGGAATGTCCTTTTGTGCACAGAAATGCTGCTTGGAAAGCCTTGGGTGTCCTTTACATGGCAGGACTGCCCTGTGACAATGAAAATTCGCAGGCTAGCAGTGTCTGCATATGTGAGAGGTACTGCAGGGGCAGTCTGGAAGAGCGAAAGCTCCTGCCAGTCAGCACGGGGTTGCTTTGGGTTAAGACTGAAGAGGATTTTCTGTGTGCTGTGTGAGGCCAAGCCTGAAAGCAGGGAGTAGGTGTAGGTCAGAGCTGAAGTGGCAAAGCTGGTCTTATGGCTCTCAGGGTGGGAGAAGCAGAAAGTTACAGCGGGACAGAGTGGAGGAGCAGCCTCTGAGCTGCAATCACTCTTGATTTACCTGTCCTCATGTTAGGGCAGCTTAGCTCTGGCTTTTGGGAACAGCAGATTCACCCAGTTGAGAGCTGTCAGGAACCGATGGCCTAAGAAGATTATTTTCAAGCTGAACTGAAATCCAAAACCTGACTCTTGGCCAGCTAGAGCGGTTGTTAGACAATTACCCACTGTCTCCTCCAAAGCCCTGCCAGACCTTTATAAATAAGGAGGGAAGGGTGCAATTCAGTTTTACAGGCAGCTTTCAACTCTTTGTAAGCTAAAATTCAGAAGATCCTAATTACTGTAGCTATACTTGAGTGACAGGGTTTTAGTATTTCCCTAGGGAGTTGTTATTAATCCTCATAACAGAGTGTATTTCTCTTGCTTTTTTTGTGCATAGATCCCAAAGTATTGTTCAAACTCTGTTACCAATGGTACTCACTCCAGATCAAATGTCAGAGCTGCTCAGCAGCCTGCTACAACCCTGCACAAACCCCTCAGGGTGGCTGTATGTGGCTTTCTGGATAGTTGCACCAGTGTAACATTGCACAGGTTAGACTGATGTAAAACTTTAAGACACCTTAATGTAGCATGTCCAAACAGGTTTCCACTTGGAAGCCAAAACCATCTTTGTCCTTTCTGGGTCTTAGATTAGTACAGCTCATCCCAGTAGAGTGTACTGGGGAGTGGGCAGGGTAGATGCAGCAAACCAAAAGCTGACATTCATGGTGTGACTATGCAGAAGCGTTGCTAGTTCCTGCTGTGTCATGGTTAGAATCTGGAGAGGGCTGAGGTCTCTTCATCTCCTTACTATTTGTGTGGTCTTGGACAAATAATTTATCGCCTCCATGGTCTTCTCCGTTACCCAAGGGACCAGAGCATAAACTCCCCAGTGATAATCTCAGGGCAAATGGTTGTGTCCAGGCTCCTGGGAGAAGGACACTGGCCCGGAGCAGCTGTTCAGAGCCACACTGGTGCAGCCCTTGATATCCATGCCAGACCCTTGGTGCCAGCTCGCCGTGCTGCTCACACCGTAGCCAAAGCGGCACCACATACAGTGAGTCCCAGGCTCCCGTCCTGGTGTGCAGGCAGTGCTGGAGCAGGGCTTGGGCTGGAGGCACTGAGCATCACCAGTGCTTTTGAGCCAGCAATGAGGAGCAGGAGCATCAGGCAGACAAATCAGCAGAAGGGCCCTGGCACCGCTCGCTCCTTGGGCACCGGGACTATGGGCAGACTACAGTGTGCCACCAGGCCATGGAGGGGTGTTACCAGTACCTGAAGCCACACTTCAGTCTGCTCCCACTTTGTTTAGCCTAAAAGGAGCCTGGGGCAACAGACATCTGACCCCCAGCATCTGATGCTGCTACCAAAGTCCTCTGAAACTTTCAGCAACCCTTTAATAATGGATTTTCAGAGGTATAGCCCTGTATAGTAGGACTTTTCAAGCTACTTCACCGGGTTAGGCGGACAGCAGTGGAACTGTTTCATTGCTTTGGAGGAAGAGTAGTATATCCTACTTCCTTGTTCCCTCATGCAGCCTGGGCTCTGGGTTCTCATTTTACTTTAATTTTGCAATCCAGATTTATTTTTCATTTCCAGTTTTCACCTAATACATCGTCCACCCTGTGCTCCCCTCTTGAACCATTTAGTTGTGAAGAAGATCCTTTGATGTGGTTTCAGTCTTCCTCTTGAAAACAATTGTGCTAGACCTCTGACTTCTGCCAGATTTTTGAACATCTCACTGAGTGCTTCCCTGTGTCTTCTAGGAATCTAAATACCTTTAATATCTGGCACTTGGACTCTACCAGGCCTCCATGTCCTGTCTGTGCAGTGACAAGCTCTCACTGCCTCACTCAGGTTTGGGGGATAAACATACTGAAAACACAGCTGTTGTGACCTCAGCTCTCATCTACACCGGAAAGTGAAACTAGGGTGTGAATTCACAGCATGCAAACGACTCTCCATAACACCTCTTCTGAGCTCTCCTCCTGCCTCTGAAAAGCATCTTTGGCCGATGTGATTTTCATCGCTCTCAAAGAGGGGCAGGAGACCTTGCTCGTGTCCCTTCCAGAGAACACACAGAGCAGCTGACCTGCTGAAAATGCCCCAGTGGTGCTCCAGGGCTGTGGCTTTGGGAGGGATTGTAGAGAGTGAGTTTGTGCTGGATATAGGCTCTCATTCATTGTCATGCTGGCTACTTGCAGCTCCTACAAACTTTCTGGGGAGTGAGAAGGAGGCAGAAAATATCCCCCTCTGGGTAATAGTTTCTGGCTATAACAATTTCTGGCTATTTCACATGGTCCCTCCGAAAACACCAAAATGCTGCCAACTGGTAATGCTTTTGAACAGGCTGTTGGAAGGATGGCATTCGTGGAGCGGGCCTGGGGCAGAGGAAGGTTTCTCACCGGTAAGTCTTGGCAGTCAGTGCTGGCCAGGCTCTAGTCACACACCACCAGACAAATTCAGGAAGGAGTTTCAGTGTCCAGGATCTCTCCTTGTAGCTGGTGCCTGGTGCTGGGATCAGGTTCAGTGAGCAGCCAAACAGCAAGCAGCATGCCTCTTCCCTCCCCCTGCAAATGCCCCTGGGGAGCCGTCCTGCCGCTCTCTGTTGCACTTGCAGTAAATCTGCAGGATTGCCAGCCACCCCAGCTGCCTTCCTCTGCCAGCTGCAGACATTGTGATCACTTGTTGACACACACTCACACATGCTACGTGTTTTGGGCTGCAACATCTGGCTTGCTCAGGGTTTTGTAATCTAAGCTGTGGATGCCAAGGCCTCCCCGCACCCACCCTCTCCCGGTCAGGTGCTGGAGAGGGAGCGCAGCAGTGCGAAGAGCTCACAACTGCAGACACCACCAGAGGCAGGGAGACTTTCCAGGTTTCCCACTGTTATTTGAGCTCTCAGCATCTACCCAGGACCAGCCTGGAGCTGACAGATCCTGGGAACCTCTGCAACTGCGCCTGGCTCGGGCAAATTCACAGTCACTGTGATGGGGTAGGGGCTTGTCGGGAAAGGCTGATGATTAGCCCTGCTAATCAAAGCATGTCTCGGCATGGATATTTGCAGTAAGAATCCTTGAGCCCTTTAGCATCCCTTGTCCTGACATGAGTGGGAATTTGCCAGTGACATCAGGGACTTAAAAATACGGTCTTCAGCCCATCTGTGTCTCCTGTCCCCACCTATAAAGAACAGCAGCGCAGTGCTGCCTGATCTCGAGGTTGAGGGAAGGGACGTGGTAACGGCTGCGAGTGGCTCAGACGCAGAGATGCTGTAGCTGGTGCCCAGAGCTCCTGATGAAGATTTGTCTGACCTCTACCTGGTGCTCCAGCGTGGGAAGGCAGCTGATGCTGGGTGGCTGCTTCAGCACATCGCCCTGCAGTGCGTGGGCTGGAGGAGCTCCCATTCACATCACATTGTTCCTCATTCGTGTCCTCCCTGCTTCCCCTCACCGGTAGTTTAATCCAGGGCAAAGCCACTCTGTGTTTCCGACGCGGCACCAGCCTCCCCCACCCCTTCTGTATTTCATCAGTGGTTCCCTCTAGGAGCTCGTCCCGCCAATCAGGAGGCAAAGAGATGCTCTTCTGATTTCCCATAAATAAATTAATGAATGAAGAGCTTGGGTGCTGCACAGTGTCACAGGGAGGCCAGGAAACAGGTACAGCCCCTCGGGAACAGCGAGTGCCGGGGGGAGGAGGTGCGTGCATGCCTGCGCTTGGGTACCCGCGCGACTTCGTCTCACTTCTCCCGGGTTGAGGCAGGAGTCTCCCGTTCAGACTGTTCACCTCTAGCTGGGGCAGTAGGTTTATTCTAGTGACATTTTTTCACTTGGTTGCTTTAAATAGACCTTCAAAATGTAGCTGCTTCCTCGTTTTGAAAGAGAGCTCTCACTTCCTCAGTGCTTCCCTATTTTTTTTTTTTCCCTCTGCAGCATGCTCTCCCCTACACACCTGTTTGCAACACACAAAACATTGGTGTTTCTGCATACACACAGACGGATTTCCATGCTGGAGAAAAGCCAGTGACCCAGAGATTGAGACCTCTGTTTATGCACAAGGCAAGCAGCAGGCATGCAGGTTTCTCCAGTCCTGCTCCCTCTAGGCACAGACCTGAGCTGGAGAATCTCCTTCATTAGGGAGGTGATGGGACTGCGGCCCTCATTACTGTTATTAATATTGGCATTATGGTAGCGGACCCCTCCCCTTTAGATCAAGGCCATTGTTGTGCTTGGCAGTCCACGTGTGTCTCCTGGAAGGCTCAGCTGCCACACAGAGCTTGCAGGCTCCACGGAGCAAAGTGGGAAAGAAACAGAGGCACAGAGAGGGGAAGTGATTTAGTGTGGTTTCAGTTTCCCTCTCTGTGCTTCTCGGCTGCAGTGTTTGGGTTCTTGCCCCAAATTCAGGCTTTCTGGAACGGCTGCTAGAAAAGGGCCCTTTGTGGTGAGGAGGGCCTGTGGTAGTACCATACAGATCTGTCTGTCGTGGCCTGTTTGGCAAACAATATCTACAATAGCGTTTGACAGGAGGTGGGAAAATCCTGCCCCTGGAATCTCTGGGAGTCTCTCAGGGAGGTCTGTGAGGTCAGATCAGCCCTACAGGTGAGTGTCTGTCCATTCACCACCTTCAGCTGAGCCAGCTCAGCCTCTCTTCCCCTCCCCTTTTTTTTTTCCCCCTTTAATTTTGCAATTAAGATTTATTTCCCAGCTCAGATTTCCCCTTTCTACCCTGCACTAATTCATTACTTGCCCTGCACTCCCTTCCTGACACTCCGGATTTAGAACATGTCTTCTCATGTGGTTTCCCCCTGCCCTTCTGTGGCCTCGTGCACCTTGTGCAGGGCTCCAAAGAGGTGAATTTATGGGAGGAAAATTCAAGACTTTGCATTTCTGCTGAGACATGAGCCATCTCGTTCCTGCGACTTCATGAGCAGTCTCAGGACTTCCCATAGCCCCCAGACACTGCTCTCCTTTCCCTCCCCAGGCAGATGTGGAAAGTCGGAAAGATTTTCATGCTCCCTCTGAGCTCGTAAATCAAGAAAGCTTAATCTCCTACATCCAGGAGTCTGTGATGAGAAAATACAGATTCCCCCTCCTCTCCCCCCTAATTTCCACCACTCCCTTCCTCCTGTCTTTCATATTCCCGGCACATCTGGTGTGTGTTAGGCTGCCAGCTGTTGCATTGTGCAGAGTGATTAAACCATGTGGGAGGAATGGGGAAAGATTTTTATCTGGGCATTCATGAGTCTGCATTACAAGCCCTTTTTTCTTTAGCTCTCCCCAAGAAGAGTTCATCTGGAGTCAGGGATAGTGGAATGTAAGAAAGGTATTGTGCTTCTCTCTGTCTTCCTTGTATGTGCTCAATAAGAAATAAAAGGTGTTGGCACTAATGTACAGGTGTTATATTTTGGGCTGTAGCCATCACAACAGAACTGTATCTATAGTATCGACTGGTGGCCGTAATATATTGCAAGAAGTGATCTTTGAACACTGCTGGTTTCGCTTTGAAGTGACTTGAAGGTGAAGGTTTCATATCCTAGCGTGGGTGCCCGGGGAATCTGGTTTTCGGTTCATTCCACTCTCCCCCTGCTAAGCTCCCACACTTCTCTCTCTCATCCCAAGCTCCTGGATTTCCTAGCATCTGGCCAGCCTCTTCATCCTCCTTGCTCCCCTGTCTCCTGCAGGCTTATATGGGGTTTGGAAGGCATCTGTTGCTGCGTGGTCAGATGCTGCTCTAACAGTGTCACTGTGAAATATTTACTGTAGTAGATTTGGAAAGGCCTGGGCTGGCAGTGGAGCTGCTTCAGGGGGTGCTTTAGGGAATCCAGAGAAACTCCTGTCACAGCACAAGGACAAGCAAGTTCCCCCCAGGTGGAATGACCTTGCTGAGAATAGCACACCTGAGAGACGCAGCTGAAATGTATATTTGAATCCCAGCCAAATTCAGATTTTATTTGGGCTGAATAATCCTCTGAGGTTCTCCCCTCTGCTGATGATGGGAGGAATCTCTGATGTCTGTGCCCTTATTGTCAGTGCCCTGTTTAATTTCCTGCCATTAGACAGGATGAGCGTAATCCCTGGGAGTATAAAGCTTGGTGCTACCAAGCAGCAATAGAGGGAAATGTTGCTCTTCTCTCTTGAGTAACATGACCTGACCATCACTTTGTGGGCAGAGGGGGCAATTACTTCTCTTCAGGGGAAATTGGTAAAAAGAGCCCCTGCTGTGGCCACATCTGGCCTGAGTGAGTCACCTTTGTGTTTGCTGCTGCCAGGGCTCTACCAGCCACCATGAGGGGAGCAAAGAGACCTCGGAGGTCGGCAGGTCGGAGGTGAAAGGCAGGAAGTCCTCAAGCCATGGCAGCAGCCACAAGGGGAAAAAGACAGGAAGCGGGAAAAGCTCCGTTGGCTTCAGCTCAGCTTCATCCAGCGGGACCTTCCAGCCTGCAGGTAAGGGGTGAAGGAGAAGCAAGAGAGGAGGGGAGAGTCGGGGTGATGTTTTGCTTTGCTTCTCTTTGATATCCGTGAAACCTTGCTGATGGCTATTTCTTTAACCCCTTGAAGAGAAAAGGAAAAGCATTATTGCTACTAACTCTGCGCACGGAGGGAAGAACAGAGTCAGATGAGTGTTACAGCTCCCCTCCTGTGCAGGCCTGCTGCACTGCAAGGAAAAACAGATCCAGATGTCTGAGCGGAGGGAGGAGGGAAGTGATACTGTGCACAGGCAATATGGGCAGCACCTGTCCTCTCCTCTGTAGGTGGTACTGTCTGCAGCAGTGTTTTAAGGAGTACTAGTGGAGAGAACTGAGCCAAAACCTGATATCCAGGCTCCCCTGAGCTTTGAGTCAAAGCCTTGCAGGGCTCCCATCTGCTCTGACCTTGCTCAGTTCTTTTGTGAGCTGTTGGTAACGGCTAGCGTGTTCCGTCTCCAGGGACCCTCATCAGGGCTGGAGGGACAGTGAGGATGCAGGGCCTGGGGAAGCAGATGTGTGCACCTTTGGGTGGGATGGAGCTGCTGGTGTGCACCTCTGGCGCTTGCCAGAGAGCATCAAACCACCGGGATGGGAGGTGACAGGGATGGCCTTCAGCTCGGTAACTAGCCTGTGCTAGAGGACCTGTGTTGTGACCGTGCTCCTGTTGCCTTACGGGCTGAGTTACTCTCACCACGAGCCTTCCTATCTCTGCTTCCCCCAGGTACCTCCTGCAGCAATTTGCAGTGCTCCCAGGACTTTGTGACGTTCCCCAAGCTCGAGCAGGACGACGAGAAGTACCGGAAACCTGTCTCTTCCTCTTCTTCTTCCCACTGCTCCCCTCTGTATGAAGGCCAGAAGGGGGACATCTTTGAGCAGAAGGTGATCTTCTCAGGCTTTGGGTCCATCATGCGCTTCTCCACCTCCGCGGTGAGCCAGCAGAGAGGCCGTGATGCTTCCCCCGTGGACTATAAAGCCTCGAACCCTGTCAGCGGCCCTTCGGTGGGGACCAGTGGGACCAGCGGTAGCAGCAGCAGCCACAAGCGCATGCCGTCCCTCAGCATGGAGGAGGGAGAGGTGCTGAAGGAAAAGAAGCACAAGGGTAGCAAGAAGAACAAGCATGGGCCTGGCAGGCCAAAAGGGGGCAAAAGCAAAGAGATTTTGGGTGCCCAGCTGGCTGGGTCCACGTCTACTTCCTCGTCACCCTTCTCCGGGGGCTCTCTTGTTAGCTCCAGCATCGGGAATTCTTCACGATCCTTCAGCCACACGGGGAATCTGCCCAGCCTCAGCATGGAGTCCCCGCTGCTGGGTTCAGGTATGTTCCCCCATAGGGCTCCAGGTGTGCACAGTTCCTCCCAACCCTGCTGTCTTTTCATCACATTTGGCTGGTGTCTGGACCTGTCCGCACAGAGTCCAGTCCCTTTAATTCAGTCCCAGGAGCTATAAAAATCCACATCTGGGTCTCCCCTTTCCATCTTGGCCTTCATCCTAGAATCTCCTCTAGGTTAGCTTCTCTATCATTGGAGCTGGGGGGCATTTCAAACCCTTTTTTGCTCAAGTGCTGGAAACCCTCAGCTAGCCAGAGCTTAATTTCCAAAGTAATAGAGAGGGATATTTACAGGCCAAACAGGGACAACCACAGTCTGACCCCAAATGAGGGACTCCCATACGTGGTTCAAGTTTAACCTCTCTTTTAAAAGCAAAACCTTTCATCCTGGTCTTACCACATCCCTGTAGGGTTGGGAAAGTGGCACACCATTGACTCTGGTGAGAGCTTCCAGTTGTTCCCAGCCTGAATCCCCTTCCCTGGCCTGGCAGGGATGAGGGCAGCCAGGACATGTGGCAGGAAGGGGTTAAAGCAGCAGGCAGAGGAGGGGCCTGCTGCTCAGGCCTGAGGTTTGACACTGTTCTGGCAGCAGAACTTGTCATCGGTCTATTGTGGGTTGTTTGCAGATGCTCCAATTTAGGTCAGATTGCAAGGGGGGGAGGTATAATTTTGTTTCGTGCGCCGGGGAGCCCTGGCCCATTTGTCTGCGCTGCCTGAGAGAGGAGAGGAGCTGCAAGAATTGATTCAACTTCCATAATCATAACCTTAGGCCAATTTTTTTTGCTTCCCCCCTGGAACAACAGAGGGATGTTTCAAAGAGGAGGAGGCTGCCAGGTCCCACTCTCCTGCCTGCTAGTTCTCTCATTCTTCTCTTGTGGAGAGATGTTGGCAGGGCTCTGAGGGACCCGGCTTTGGGCACTGCCTCTGCCACATGCCTGAGTCAAGGGGAAGTCAGATGGGTCCCCTCCCTCTGCAGCAGCTCTCTCCTCACCCTTTCTTCCTCATTTATTTGTCCGTGCCCCACTGTGGTCCCTGGGCATCGCAGACGGGGATGGGTTAACTCAGCAGGAGTGTGGTCTCTTGACTAGCAGGGGCAGCAGAGTGGGACTCTCTGAGTCCACCACCCCCTTCTGCCACTGACCTGTGCCTTCGGTGAGTCACTTTATGCTGCGATTTCTCTCTCAGATTGTATCGGGGTGCGAGGGGCAAACAAGGGGGGGGCAGGGTCAAGGCTGGAAAAGTTTGTGATAGCTTTCAGTAGAAGGATGGTGGGCTGTGACCACCCTCGCTGCATGCCAGGCCACGAGATGCTGAAGTGCATGTTACACTTGGTCTTGTGCATTGGTGCCACTCTCTTTTTCTGAGATCAAGCCCTGCAGAAAACCAGCTGCTTCCAGGCCATGGGAGGGGAGCGTGGCTCTCTAACACGTCTCCTCCTCTTGCAGGGATCTACACCAGTAACAAGGACCCTATTTCCCACGGGGGCGGAGTGCTCCGAGCTGTGTGCAGTACACCCCTCTCTTCCAGCCTGCTGGCACACCAGGGTACGTCGTCTCTCCCACAGCTCAACCGGTCTCCCTTTGCTAGCACCATCCCAGCTTCCTCCTCCTCGGTCTCCACCACGCAGGTAAGAACATCGGGACCAGGAGAGGGACTGTAGTTCAGGAGAGCGTTGGACAGAGCAGGGCCAGTTTGCGGGCACAGAGGAGTTGCTTTTTCCACTCGGGAACAGCTACTCTTCCTTCAGTTTGGAGGGGAGCTGCCAGCTGCAGCTTCCCGTACAGTCGGTAGAAGGACGTAGGCGGTTTTGCGTCACAGCCCCTGCAGCCTGTTTTGGGGTGGGAGGAATTGCTTTCCGTCGACTGCAAGGGGAGCACGGGCAGCGCTCAGGTAGCAGAGGCCTGGCTCTTGGCATGTGCTGGGTCCTGTGCTGCTTGTCCCCTGCTGCTCAGCTGGATCCTGCCACCAGTGCCAGCCCTACCTTCACCCTGCGGCACAGATAACTTGGTGGGAGGGCTCGCGCATCCCAGCTGGGTGGGCTGTGGCTGTGCCAGGAGACAGAGCCTTGTCCTTTGTCGGGATCTCGCTGCGAGAGGTATTTTACAGGGAGGAGAGAGTTAGTTTTACAGCCTTGGTGTTAACACAGCTCATTCAGACCTCTTGGCTCCGAGACGGGGCTGGGAAGATTTCAACTGTGTAGCGAGACTTCCAAGGAGATATTTTTAACGCTCTCTCTCATGAGCAAGCTGGGTTCAAGAGTCAGAAAGAGATGGAATAATGAAGTTATTTTCCTCTTGTGTTTTTGAGAAGTCATTTCTGTCTTTCCCCCTCCTTGTTTTGCCATGTAGGTGTTCTCACTGGCAGGTTCAACATTTAGCCTCCCTTCCTCACATATTTTTGGAAGCCCCCTCGCATCTGGGCTGTCAATCAACCCCCTCTTAAATCAGTCGGAAAGCAGCCGGGCAGGTACGTGAATCAGAAGGTATGTGAGTTTGGACTTCCAAAGGGGTCTCCCTGGAAGAGTCGAGACAACTGCATCCATAGTTCTCCAGCTGCCCTCCCTGCTTGCTCCCGTCCTGTGTGTGTGAGAGCCAGGGGCTAGGAGAGAGGGACAGTGGCTTTTCCCCAAGGCAGAGGGTGCTTGTGTTTGCCTTAATGAAGTGCTGGCTTGCAGTCCTGTAAAAGCGCATCTGCTGGTGCGTCCATTGGATAATGTGTGTCCCTGGACACGTGCTAGAAAAGTGCAAGAATGTCAAGTCCTTCCCTGCAGAAATTGGTGGTCTTTTTACACACTAAAAGCTGTACAAACCTAGTGAAAATTACTGTGAGCTTTTACTTGCTCAAAATAAGTTAAAAGCTTTTGTTTTCTGGATTTCTTTTTAAGTGAGAGATATCTCACACTCTTCATTTTCATCTTCCATTTCTGTTTTGAGTTACTTTCTGCCCTTCCCCTTTGGCTTTCTCATGAATGCAAAAAAAATCCACTGTTTTCAACTTCCAAACACAAATGTGCCAACACTGAATTACTTACAACTGCTCATTTTTTCCCACCAAGGCAAATTCATTTTTCTTGGAAAATTGCCTCGTTAATAAGCAGGAAACTTGAAGCATTGCAAGATTTCTTTTTTTCCCAAAACAGAGTGGGCCTGATTTTTGGTTTGCACCAGTAGTTAAACAAAAGCACCCTCCTGATTTTCAGATGTTGCAGTTAGGGGTGCGACTGTCTCATGCTCCCCTAGCCCAGAAATGTTAGCAGCTCAGCATGCTGGATGCTGAACTCCTGGGAGGTGAAACTCTGCCCGGTGTCACACGGAGTGACAAGCACTTTAAAACACACAGTCCTCATTAGAGGTGGCTCCGAGTTCTCCGGATAATCTGACACCAGTGTGCCCTTATTTGCCTTAACAAGTGTGCATGCCTGCATGTAAAGCATGAATGAACACGTATGCTTACTTATCACCTTTGCAAGCCCACGAAGGTGCCTGTGTGTCTCTCCGTGTGTCACTGGCAGCATTTTGTCTGTATGTCCCCGCCGGCAGCTTGCATCCGCTTGAGCGCGACGGGAAGGTACCTGCGCCGGTGACCCCAGCGGGAGCCGGGGCCCTTGCACGGGAGCTGTGAGTCAGGAGTGATTCAGTCACCTGGAATTAAGGAAAGAATGGGATGATTCAAAGAGTTACTCTTCTCTTACGGCAATCAACAAGAGAGAGATGACCCACTGCCACTTCCCCTTTGCTGTTATTTTGGCAAGGTGCTGACAGGAGAAGGAAGCGAGTCAACTGTCAGGAATAGCCCTGTGGTTCAGGCACAGCACGGAGGCTCGGCAGCCTGGGTTCTGTTCCAGCCCTGCAGCTACTAATGAATGAATCATGTAGGCAAAATCCAACATACAAAGCACTCAAAAAAAGCTTGATCCTTAGTTTCCATTTCCAAGATTGCTCTTTTTGTTTGTCTGGGATCCTCTAAGCATCAAGATGTGTTTTTTTGCGGTTCCAGCCAGCCTTTAGAACAGCTTCTGGGTTTTGTTGCATTTAAGGTTTGTTCATCACTATGTCCTCCTGATGGAGCTGGTGGCCCAGAAGGTGTAAAGCCAAAGCCAAATTCACTTCTTTTTTTTTTTTTCCCAGGGGGATTAATTAACATGCATTAAACCTCCTGTATGGGGCCATTTGCACTTACAAGTGTTGTGACTGCTTTAATCCCAAATCATTAACAGGGTGGTCCTGAAGTTTTAAGTAATCCTGCCTTGTCTTTAATTTAGATCACCTTTCCTGAGAGTGTCTGTGTAGACAGATCCCACGGAGACAGAGCCTTCATTGCAGTAATATTTGAGCTTTTCACAATTTTACTGTGATGTAGGGAGATGGTGTTACCCTGTCTTACAGATGGGGGAACTGAGAAACTGTTATCACTGATGCAGGTTGATACCAGGGTGCCTTTGGCAGTACAAAAAGTCTGATTCTTATCTTCCCACTCCCTTAACTACCGTCTAGTTCTTCCTCCCACGGCTTGTCCTGGATCCTGCTTCATTATGACGACAGGCCAAATGTATTTATCTTCTCTAGTTGTCTTCAAGCCTCCTTTTCATACTTGCTGCCTTGGAAAGTGCTGTCTCCGTGTGATAACTCGGTCGTCTCCCCATTCTGTAGACAACAGGGTGGTGTTGGCCAGGAGATAATTGAATATGGAGCCTGGTACCGTTTCAGAAAAACAGAATTGTCTATATGTGCACAACCTCCCTGGGCTGCAGGCAAGCAACGTGACAGTAACAAGCAGGCAGTCAGAGCTTAGCTGGATGGTTATTTGGTCACAAGTTAAAACCGCTGCGGCGAAGCTGCACGCAGTGGGCTGTGGATATTTTTCAAAGGGTTTAGGTGGTCCTTGGACGGGAACAATACTGAGAAACACTGCTGTGCTCTGACAGTTCCCAGCCTTCTGGTAGCTGATCCTGGTTGAACTTAGGAAGATTTCATGCCTTGTGGTGTCCCTGAAACCAAGGCTTGTCTCCGCATGGTGTCTTGTACTGGGGGACTACTGTTGACTGGCAACTGCTGGTCACCTCCGGAAGGCAGCGGCTTCTCCCCAGGAGGGTGGACCAGTTACAGTTGATGGCCAGAAAGACATTCCTATGGGGATGAAGGAGTGTGGATCCCACTCGTACCTGACTGTAAGAGCTGCTGAACAGCAGCTGCGTTTGCTTGTTCTCAGCAGTGGAAAATACTGCCAATAACTAATGCCCTGCTCAGGGCATTACACTGTAAATCACAGTGTTCCCTGCAGGAGACTTCCTGAATTCTTGCACATAAGAAATGTCTCTTATTGTGTGAAGAAGAGGAGGGGCAAGTCAGCCAGCTGGTGCAGTCTGTAGTCAGAACATCTGACACGTCCCAGAGTGAGGGGAACGTGTGTTTACAGGCTGGCAGGCTCTGGGGATGGAAAGCAAATGGCAGATAAATATACTTCACTTCTTGATTACTCTTTGGATGGGAAATACCCTGCACATGTGCACATGCACAGCGGCTCCGTCCCCAGCACTGCGGTGTCCCAGCTCCCAGGGACAGAGGGATGGTTTCGGGGGTAGCTCCTGGACGCTGAAACGCTTATTTGAGCTCTTTAGAAAGGAGCTGAGCATCTGGAAACTGTGGAGGGCTCCAGCTGGGTTCGGGGAAAGGCTCTGGGGGGGCGGAGGGCTGCAGTGGCGCTTAGGAGAGCCAAGAGGGGCTTTGCACAGGATTGATTCATCCTTGCGGGCTCAGCAAAGCAAGTGCGTGTGTGTGTGTGTGTGTGTCCCGCAGCTTTACAGCTAAAGGAAAAGCTGCTTGCTGCCATCTCTGCGGTGGGGGGGGGGGGGGAGCACCCCCCCACACACACCCCCCCCCCCGGCATATTTGGCCGCGGCCATTAAGGAGGGGGTGGCCTCGGTGACCTTCCCAGGGTGACACCCCCCCACACACACACCCCCGGCGTGACAGCGGGTGCCACGCCACGCAGCCCCTCCCCGCGTGGCGGCGGCGCATGCGGGCGCAGCCGGTGCGCGGGGCCGGTGCCCTTGCGCTGCTCGGTGCTCCCATCTAGCGGGGAGCGGGGACCGGCGCCGGCCGCCCGCGGGTGACAAACCCGGGCACCGGCCGGGGCTGGACGCCTATGAACACCGGGCCTCTCTGTCCCTCTCCCCACCCAGAGCCTGACCTGGAGGACTGCAGTTTCGGCTGCCGAGGGACGTCGCCCCAGGAGAGTCTCTCTTCCATGTGAGTGTCCTTCAGGAGTCCTCGCCGGGCGTGGGGGTGTCTCCGCAGCCGGGTGGGCACGGCCGTACCCCGGGGAAGCCGTGGAGATGACACAGCAAGGAAAGGGAAAGGGTCTGCGGGAGGTAGAGGCAGCTCCTACCCTCCTCCTTAGGGCTGGGAGCGGGACGGGAGGGGAGGAGGCAGGTTTGCTTTCCCAATACCGGAGCGGGTGGGTCCTGAAGTGGAGCAGAGGAGACAGACTGGGAGGGATGCAGCCGCTCCCAGTGTGAGGCAGAGGAGATGTGGGGGGACTGGAGCAGAGGAATGCAGGTGCAGACGGGGGAAGCATCGCTGACATGTCCCCCAACTCTTGCCCAGGTCCCCCATCAGCAGCCTGCCGACCCTCTTCGACCAGACAGTGTCCTGTAGCAGCAGCGGGCAGCTGGAGAATGTTCCCCAGGCTACCCCAAACATCGAGCAGCTCCTGGAGAAGCAAGGCAATGGGGAAGCCGGCGTAAACAGTGAGTCACTCAGGGCACGGGCTGCCGGAGAAGAGGTCCTTGTGCATGTTTGTGTGGGAGCCAGCTGCGATTTTGCCCACAGGCAAAGGAGCCGGGTGGGGGACAAAGCGCTAATCTGTGCCATGGGGAAGTAGCTGGCAGTGGGACTGTGATCTGGGGCCAGCCTCCTCCCCCAGCGTGGTCTAATTGTGGTACCTCCTGTGGATCCCCTTCTCCTCTTTCCCCCGTCCCCCATTCTCTCCCCCTGACCCTGTCCCCCTTCCCCCCTTCCATTCCCTGCAGTTGTAGAAATGCTCAAAGCCCTGCACTCGCTGCAGAAGGAGAACCAGCGGCTCCAGGAGCAGATCATGACGCTGACGGCCAAGAAGGAGCGTTTGCAGCTCCTCAACGTCCAGCTCTCCGTCCCTTTCCCCGTGGTGACCAGCAGCAACGGCCCAGGCAGCCAGGCCCAGTACATCCTGCCTCCCAACGGTGAGGGGACCTGTAGGACGCATCACCCTGTGCCCTTTCGGCACAATGCCCTGGGGTGGGCAGGAGGGGGTCGCAGTGGGGAGGATCTGACCCATTTATCCCTCTGTAGCCACTGGCAGTATGCCCTGTCCCTTGCTATTGCTGTGGCAACGTCAGGCTCCACCCCTGACTCTGCATCCTCACTTCTTTCCTCCCTACAGTCTGCAACAACGATTCCCTGAGCATCAGCAAGAGCCCCCCATGCAAGAACAGCTTTGGGATCGAGAACTCGCTCTCCACTTCCTCTGAGGTACACTGGCCTCCTCCGCATCCGCCAGCCAGCTGGGGACAGGACTTGGGGAGGGAGCAGAGCAGTGCAGTCCCAGTACTCCGACTTGATAGCCAGCTCTTAAAGCCTTCTAGTCCAGGCCCAGAAATCAGGTTTCTCTCTCTGGAGTGCCCGTTCTTCAGCTCGTCTCAGTGCTGAGGGTCTGAGTAGAGTAGCTGAGGCTGGGAGCATGAGGTGAGAATGCTTCTAGGTTATTCTGGCCGCACTTCTAGAGGCCCGGCAAAGCATGTCTGAGTTCTGGGACCCCTCTGAGCGTACACCTGCACTCGCACTCACAGCCCCCCTTCCCACCTCCAGCTCCTGCCCAAAGCACTCTTGGAGCTGAGCTGACCTTTCACAAGCTGCCCCAGTCCGATGCTCTTATGTCCGTTTTTCCCCCAGGACCCTCATTCAGGTTGCCCCAGCAGGAGCAGCTCTTCCCTGTCCTTCCACAGCACTCCTCCGCCCCTGCCCATGCTGCAGCAGAGTCCTGCCTCGCTACCCCTGCCCGGGGTGCAGCAGGTGAATGGCCTGGCCAGGGTGGCAGGCAGCGGGCTGGGGGGAGGCACCACTGCCAGCCACAGCCTCTCCACGGTGCCCATGGTGGACGGCCTGATGGGGACCCTGGCAGGAGGCCAGCAGATGCCCATCAACGGGATCCTGGGGAATCTGAACGGAGCTCAGGCCGCCCAGCCTCCGAGCGCGCTGACGCAGGCGAGCGGGCCGCCGACCTTGCAGCTCTCCACCAGCCTGAGCAGGTGAGGATGGGGAGCTCGCGGGGCCAGCCCTGCCCTCTCCAGCAGAAGCTTAGCACCGGGAGGGAGGGAGGGAGGGAGGGAGGCTCTGAGTATGCAGGACCAAGACGGGCTGCGCTGACATCCCCCTGCCCTGCTCCCCTTGCAGCATGCCCAGCCTGAGTCCCCTGACAGAGCAGCAGCGGCACGTCTTGCACCAACACGAACAGCAGCTCCAGCAGCTTCAGCAGCTCCTGACTTCCCAGCCGCTTAATCCGGTAAGTGTGCCTCCTGGCACCTTTTATCTGACTGGGTGTTTAATGGGAAAGCCTTGGAGCAGAGAGCAAAACTTAGGGCTCCCTCCTTCACATCAATCCCCTGCCCACAGGGCTGCAAGAGTCATGTGCCTTTTCCTTGGCTCCGGGCTGAGGTGGGTGGAGTGAGGAGAAAAGCTTTAGGCAGGAAGGTGCGGCACCTCCTGGAGGGAGGGAGATGGGGATTTGAACTTTTTCATACAAAGGAAAAAATTTAATCTGGGTTTCCCACATCCCGAGGGTGTGAGAACATGGTGACGCTAAGGCACCACAAAATCAGGAGTGCCGTTACCTCCTCCAGCCATCTCTGAACGTGAATCATGTCTGCTCCTGCTGCCACGAGCACACTGGTCTCTGGGCTTGCAGATGTGCTGAGGCCCACAGGAGAAGACGAACTCACTTGAGGACACTACTTGAGTTTAGAATAGAGATAAGCACCAAATTGCTTAGTCCTGTGGCAGGTGAGTTGTGTCTGGGCACACTGACATGGCGAACTGGAGATGCCCCGGGGGACTTGCAGTGTGTAGGTGGCCGAGGACTTTGGCGTCAGAAAAAGGAGCAGGCAGCTGTTGTGAGGATCTTGGCTCTCTGCCTGCATCCTTTCGGGTAAAACAGCAGCCCCGACCCAGGCTGTTGTGGGAATGGCTGCGTGGATAGATGGTAAACAAGCCCCTGAGTGTGTAAGAACCGCGTTCGCTTGCCCTGCAGAAACCTCTGTGGTGTCCCTCCCCTGCGGTGGAGTTGCACGGGCGTGCTAACAGTTCCCATCAATGAAGCTGTGCTCATTTATATCTCCCATGAACTTGGCCTGTTGCTTTGGATAGATTTCTGGGTCAGGCTATTTATAACTCGGGAAAAGCAAATTTCAAAGGGCTTCTCTTTACAGCAGCTGATGTCACCGTGTCATCAGCTGCATCCCTGTGGGTACGGGAACAATGTCAGCTCTCAGCCTGCCGCATTGGTCGATGGTTGCTATAGTGATTTCTGCAGTTTGGTTGGATTCGAGGGCGTCCCTCTGGGTGCAGGTGAGCTGTGGCCCTTGTCCCCCCAAGTCCAGCTCACCTACGCTGCTGACCCTGTGGGTCAAGGCTGAGCTGTGAAGCGGGATGAGCTGGGGAAGGAAAGTTGCAGCCAATCTAGAAATTCGGGACAGTGAATGCCACAGACTTAAAATCCATGGGTCAATTGATTGGAAAGAGCCGAGTAGATTTGAGCGCCTGCAGGTGTCTTAGTGTGAGGGTTAGCTAATCCTCCGCTCCAGGAAACAGCGGGGTTGGAAAGGTCATAAGCACAGGCTGTTAATGAATGCGACAGGCTGCTGTTCTCTCTAACTATAGAGGTGTGATCAAGGGGACTTTCTCCATTTCCCCAGCAGCACTGCCTGGGGTGGAGCATGCTCATGTGGCTCCTGGTTCCTTTGCATTAGGTGTCACCTCTTCCTGAGCCCTTTGTCCCTCCTTTGACTTCTCCTCCTCACCCTTCCCTGCAGGAGCAGCAGGCCCTGGTGTTCCAGATGATGCAGCAAATCCAGCAGAAGAGGGAGCTGCAGCGGCTGCAGATGACAAGCTCGTCCCAGCTGTCCATGAGCAGCCTCCTGGCAGCCACCTCCGCCCCCCTGCACTCCAGCACCAGCGCCCTGATGACCTCGGCCCCTCAGCCGCCCCCCAGCAGCAGCTCTCTCATGGCCTCCCTCTCCCCCCAGCAGCTCAACCCTAGCAATGCCCTCCTGGCTCCCCAGGCCACCCCACCGCTCAGCGCTCCTGGGAGCAGCCTCCTGGCTTCGGGGACAGGCATCCCACCCGTCCTTACAGCACAGACTAACCCGTTTCTCAACCTGCAGGCCGATGGCAACACCCCAAAAGGAACGGTGCGTATGCTGCTAGCACTACCCTAACCCCACTGAGCTCGTGGTGCTAGGCGCTGTACAGACCCAGGGAGAGACAGTCTGCGCCGCAGTTAACTCGGGGGAACAAGGGCACCGCTTAGGCGACAGAGCCAGAACGCTCCACTGGCTTCGGTGCATCCCCGACTAGCCAGTGTCGCGTCCTGATCCTACCTCCAAGGACTTCGTAGGGCCCAGACAGGGTCGTGGGTAGGCACAGAGGCTCCCGAGGCGCCCTTCCGCGCGTGTGTGCACACACACACACACACACACCAGACCTGCTGCAGAAGCAAGGCAGAGACAGGCCTTAGATTTGTCTCCGTTAACCCTAGGACTTGGATGGGACAATGTGCCCCTGGCAGTGCTGGCCCTATTGGAGCCTCGTGATGAAATACGAAGGTGACTGCATGTTGAAACCCAGGGTTTAGAAGGAACCTTACGCCCAAGAGGAGAGGTGGTGAAGAGGTTTACAGCCTCTCTGTAAAGCAGCCTTGTACCGGAACACCAGTGTCTAGGGGCTGATGGTGTGATACTTTCATCTCTCCTCCATCCCTCCCCTGGCCTGTACCCGTACCCAGAAGGTCCAGCCCTGGCTGGAAACGTTTAGGAGCCAAAGGCCAGGGTGGAGGGACCAGTTCGGCCTGAACTGGGCAGAGGGGAAACCTGGGGCTCCCGTGTCCATCTCGGAGGAGCCCGAGAGGTTGCGCTGAGCGGGGCCAGGTCCGCAGCACCGCAGGGCTCTCTGCTTCTGCCCCCTCGTGTTGCTGCCCATCCAGTACTGATACCTGTCTCCTCTGCGTCTCTTTTTCTGTTTGTTTTTTAAAGAGCATGAATGAAAAGGGAGCTCCTCTTACCCAGGACAAGGGCTAAGCTCCCCCCTCACCCCGAACAAACCAGCAGCCAACTCCTCTCAGCCAGGGGAATGTGGCTTTCCACAGTCAACTTTGATACTGTTAGAGCAATGAGCACAAGGCTTCCAAGAAGCATTTCCTGCCGCTGGGCAATGCCAAGAGGTGCTTTGGAAGACAGTACGTCTCTGACCAAGCCCTGGTATCGGGAGGAGCGAAGGTGGGGGGCTGCCTGCCGCCCTGGTCCGTGCCACACATGCTCCAAAGTGAAGCTGTGTTCCCACGCAGAGCGGAGGAGAGAGCTAACACCAGATACCTGCCTGTCTCCTCCCTGTGTTCACGTGCGTGTAGCCCCCCGGGCCGAGGCACTAGAGACCACGGAGCATCCTCGGCCAAGACCTCGGCGAGGGAGGCCCCTCTGCTGAGGGCTCCTGCCTGCACAGTGCAGAGGAATTTGGCGGTGCGCTCGGAGCACTGGATGGGACACGGCTGGGGCAGTGGGACGTGGTGGCAGTGCCTGCGTGGTCTGCTTCGCCCAGATGGGAAGGTTCAGAAGAAGTCCTGCAGCTGAGATTTCTCACCTGCTTTTCATCTGCTGGGCTCTTGGGATGCTCTTCTCTCTGTAGCCATCACGTGAAGCCCCGACACCTCAGCTGCATCCAAACCCAGCCTGAAAAGACGCAAGCGGTGGAGCAGGATGGACTGGTGCCTGGGGAGGAGGTGAAAGCCACCTGCTTCTTTAAAGGACGTTGCCACATCTGCTCTGCCAGCCGCTGTCGGTTCGGTGCTGTACTTTTCACATGAAAAGCACACTCCTGCTCCTTGTGCCGTCTCTCTCTTTCCTTCCAAGATTTCCAAAGGCTAAAATTTCAGCTTGCAAAAAGGGGCTGTAGCCAGTGTTACCCCTGTCGTAGCCAACTTCAGAAGGTGCATTTGAACCTGGCAGTTGTTTTCCCAGGCCTAAGCTGGGAGATAGAAATGTGTGTGGGGAAGAGAAAATCCCAAATCTGGTACCTTGTTCGTTCTTACCCACCACAAATCACCCCAGTGTGGCAAAACCACGTTCTTCCACTGGTCTTGGGCACTTCAGAAGAGGGATCTCCAAGCAATGGGACAATTTCCAGTCTCCTGAGCTGGGACATCGGACCCTTCATTGTTCTCCACCCTTTGACCTTAACTCCGTCTCGCAGCCTGGAACCTCAGCAAAGAAATCGGCTTCCTCTGAGCTTGGATGCGATGGATTGATTGAAGGACAGGTGGGGCAGCTCTGGGGGAAGGGGAACATCTACGTCAAACGTATAAATGCCCCTTCTTTTCCCCATCCCCTGGTTAAATCCAGAGCTCCTGGGGGCAGGCGGGAAGACTCCAGCTAATAGAAACTCTGAGGGTCTTAAAAAAAAAAAAAAAAAAATTTCAGACCTTAATGGGTATTTTTCAGCACATTCCCACTGCCTCTAACTAGTTTGCACTATTCAAATTTGTCAGCAGTGGGTCTGTGCTGATAGTACTAGAAAAGCTTGTTATAGGCAAAACTCATCTGCTAAATATCGTTCTTCTTTTTTATTTTATTTTATTTCTTTTCTTTTTGTTGTTTGTTTGGAAGATTGTCACCACAATGGTTGAATAAGGCTAAAAGGAGAGAAAATACCTTTCTGATCTCAGCCTCCAGTTCTGTGAACTGGGCAGAACACTGCTGTCTGCTCAGAAATATATATATATTATATATATATAATTTTTTTTTTTTAATAAAGAAAAGCTAATGTTTTAACAAGGTTAAGAAGCTATTGGAAAGATGGAGAAGGCAGCTAAAAGTGGAAATGCAGGAAGAAAAAAAAAAAAAAGTCTCCTTTCCTTGCAGTCTCTGCAGCACAGACCTAGAGAGGAGCACTGAGCTGTGGCTCTTGCTGCCAGGGTCCCTGTCCCCGGCCACCTCCCGCCTCGGTCACGGGCTGAGCTCTGCCACCTTCCAGCCGCCTCGTTCTTGCAAACGGTGAATGAAATATTTCACTTGCAAACGGTTCGACTCTACTTGTGGCTCCCTGTCCCCAAAATTGCTCTGGCACAATTGTATGCTTGCACTTTTTTTTTTTTTTTTTTTTTTTTTTTTCTTCCCCCTTTCCCCCTGCTGTGTTCTCCCTCCCTCCCTCCCTCCCTCCCTCCCTCCCTCCCTCCCCTCCACGAGGTGCAGAGCCCGTTTCTGCAGCGGGAGGTGGTGGGGAGGTGGTGGGGGGGGGTTGTGTCTTTGCCTTGCTGCCCCCTCCGTGCGTGGGGAGCCTGGGGCTTGAAGAGCACCGTGCAGGATGGTGGTTTCAGGGCTGCCGCGCGGAGCTCAGCCCTGACGCGCCCGGTTGTGCGCGACGGCCGCGGGGCGCAGGCTCTGCCTGCCCGCCTTGGGCAAGCGGCCGGTCCCCGGCGTTTGCCAGCGGCCGTTCCCTGGGGCTGCTTTGGGTCAGCGAGGAGGTGGGCAGAAGCGTTAGGGGGTAAAGCCAGTGGCTGTTAAATGTGCACATGTGGTCTCTGCCAGCTGCTTGCCCAGCTGCATCTGTCTGAGGTTTGATTTTTTTTTTTTTTTTTTTTTTTTTGCTTTTTTTTTTTTTTTTTTACTTTTAAGGGCACCGATTTGCGTTGCCACCTGTTTTGCTGTCATGCTGACCATCAGACCATCCCGTGACCGCAGGGGCCTGACATCGTGCCCAAACCTGGTCAAACTCTTCCAAAATTTAACCACGTTTCACACCCTGGAATTAGAAACACGCCAGTACCAGGAAGAGGGGATGGGAAGGAGGGAAGGCTGGTTGGCATCTATCCCTTGTGTAGCGGGTTGTGGTACGACACGTGTTGTTTCCCAGGATGAAGGAAAACCACGTTCAGATCAGTGGTTTGGTGCCCAAATCCCTGGGCAACAACAGAAAACCTTTCGGGGGTTGATGAGAGGTATTTGATGGTGAGTTTGCAGTCAGGAGGCTGAAACGGGCTGGAGGGGGCTCCGCACCGCTCCTGGGGAAATATTTGGGAGCCCACGCCTCGGCAGAGGGTGGAAATCAAGGACTGAATTCGAGGAATGGGATTTGTAGGCAGGATCGCTGTTAAAAGCAGGGGGGGCTGAGCTACGCCGCGTCCCTGGTCCCCCCCGCTCCGTGCTGGCCGGGCCGTTGAGATTTTTGTTGGTGGCAGCCGTTGGCGGACGAAGCCCCTCGGCTCCCCGGGGCTCTCTGGAGCTGGGGGGGGGGGGGGGACACGAGGAGGGGAAGAGACATATAGCACTTACACGTTTCTCTGACATCTTCCAAAGGCGCCCAGTCCCTTTGAAGTGGGCTCCTTGTCTAATCGCCTCAACCTGTCCCGGAGCCAAAGGTCCCTTTGGCAGATTGAGGGGAGAGGGAGGGGGCACTGCTGGAAGGTCGACATTAAACACTTGTGTATCTGTGAAAAAGAGGGAGAGCAGGGGAAAGAAAAAATAAAAGCTAAAGATTATCTCTGTTTCAGTTGCACTGGGGTACGTTTCTTTACCCGTTTTTATGCTAATGTCTCATTTAGTATGTTGCATGTGTCTTTTTTTGTTTTGATTTTTTTTTTATTAAATAAAAGAGAAAAATGTGTATATTTTTGGCAATTTAAGGTAATGTAGCTAAGATATATTTTTTTCACGCTGCTTGACTGTTCTTTATTATAATAAATAATATTAATATTAATATCAAAGACTTTTTTAATACAGCTAGGGTTTCAAAATTTAACTGAGAGCAGGGTCTGTGTGATTAACGTCCTGCGTAGGTGCTGAGGTCCTGGTGTCTGGCGCGGTCCGGAGCCGGCACCGGGGCCGGGGGGTCAGTTCTCAGCCTGGCCCCTTCCTGGCTTTGCACCTCGGGCCTGGAGGGAGCCCAGGGCGAGCCAGGAGCAGTCGGTTGCTGTTCGTTAGCAAAAAAGCCGCCTCGTCCCCCCCGAAGAGCAGCGATAGCCCACGTTAATCGGTAGAGATGCTCAAAACCAAACTCGCCGACCTTGTAAGCTTTCCAGCTGGCTCCTCGCTCTTCCCCTCTCCCAAGAGTTTGTTTCTCCTAAGCACCAAAGGGAAGGGCTCGTGCTGTTTCTGCTTTGTTCTGTTTTTTCCCCCAAACAGCCCTGCATAGCTGGGTGATGAGGTCTCTTCAAAATACGGTTTGGAGACATGTTCTGCGCTTGAGAAAACCCGCTCCAGTGCTCAGCTCTCAGATCTGGCTTGGCGCTTCCGCGGGTCATGCGTCAAAACTGCATGCTTTTCTGTCTGGTAGCCCACAGGCTCCATGGTTCTGCCTTCGCCTTCTGCTTTTAAATCAGAAGCTGGTTTTACTGACCTTCTGTGCTCCCTCAGCCACGCGTGCCCACGGCCCATCAGCGAGATGGACCCAGCTTGCCTTCTGGGTTCACAGGGATCCTTGTGAAGGCCTAGGAGAAGCCCTCCCCCAGCACCCGCTTCTTCTCCAGGGCTTTTCTCTCTCTTACTGACCAGCATCCACCTGGCGGGGCAAACTGGAGGCCAAAGAATTTGCCCAGATTTCTCCAGGCACCCCAAGAGCTGTCAGGAAGGGAGCGCGGAGTGAACTGGGGACACGGGAGTTGACGGTTTTATCTTTGAAAGTGGTTTTGGTCATTCAAAGGGCCATCCAGAGGAAGCAGAGTTTGGCACGCAGTCTTGCAGAGTTGGGCCATCAAATGCTCTGGGTCGCTGTAGGAAACTTTGGGCTGTTTTTCGAAGGAAAAAGGAGGTTTGGTGTCTGGTTCTGAGGACTCCGTTGCTCTCTGCAGTAGCTGGTAGCTGCAAAGCCTCCTCCGCGCCCGCCCGTGGTTCGTGCCGGGGCGCGGGCTGGGAGGGGGACGCAGGAGGTGCCCGTGGAGCACGAGGGTGACAGATCCGGTTCTGCCGTGTGTCTCGGGGGCCCTGAAACATGAAAAAGAAGAGGAATATTTCCACAGAGTTGTGTTGGCTTGTTCCTGGCATGGTTGTGCTCTTTCCACTGCTCGGCTCTTGGTAGCATTTCCGTTCCTGTTTTGCGTGGACGGGGACTGGGCGAGGTCGTGCGAGGAAGGTGCTGAGCGGTGTCCAGTGGTTCTGTGCCCGACGCACAGATCCTGGCGTCTTCTTGGACCGGGATTATGAGAGAAACACACCAGTAGCAGGCGTGTGAACCGCGGCTGTCCGAGCCATCCTACGCAGAGCCCCTCTTCCACAGGCCTTAGACCCTACACGCTCTGCTCCAGGTCCCTCCCAGCCGGTCACCAGCGTCCCCCGGACACAGCTCTTGCACGAACGGGGTCTCTCTCGGCCCCGGCACTCGCTGGGCTCTGCAAACCCCTGGTTTTCTCTCTGTTTTCACGCTGGCACACGTGCTGTAGCCGCGAGCCGGCTGTCCCAGCGGGACGGGGCTGGCTCAGACTCCAGCAATGTCCCCGCAGACCGCGCGGATGCAGATGGCTTGAGCCCCTTGGCTCTGTACCAAAGACAATATAGACATGGATGAGGTCTTCTCTCACGTGCTCACTAGAAGACTCCAGAGAAGACATACCAAGCAGATGGCGTCATTCTCTTCGGGGTGAAATGTTCAGGCTAGCTGGCAGGGTGAGAGGTGACCGGTACGTCTGAAGGGAGCGGGTCCCCCGGGAGCTCGAGCAGGCGGCAGTTGTTTGGCGTGACCGGCAGGTTGGCCCTAGGACACGGAAACTTTCCTGCTGCAGAAAGGGACGTCTGCCCGGGGGCTCCTCTGTTCAGTGCAAGTCCACCCCGCGACCTGAAGTGTCCTGCCTGTCCCCGAGAGCTTTCTGAAGGAGGCAGCGTAGCCACGGCTTGCACCCGGGGCCAGCTGTGCGCAGCGGCAGTGCCCGTCGCTTCCGAAAGCTTTCAGGCTAAAGCCTGGTTTGTTCGCAGGCCCCTCGCCGGCACCGCGTCGCCCCACCCGCGTGTTGATGAAAGGGCTTTGCTCTGCTTTGTGTTTGCCATTAAGGAGACCTGCATCATCTGGCAGGTTCCAGCCTGGCCGGGGCCGAGCAGCCAGCCCTGCGCCCAAAGTGGTTTTCCAAGGGCTCTCTTCCAGCCCAGCCAGTCCCTCAGAGCTGGCAGCTCCTGCTGCGCCGTTATTTACCGTTGCCCTTGGTATATGCTGTGCTGTGCGGTTTCTTAAACCCACATAAGTAAAAATAATCAAGTGCCTGTGATCAAAACAGCCTTGAGGCAGGGAGTTGAATGGGTCCCTGGTGCCTCTCCTTTGTGCATTTAGTCTGAGAAATGGCATTGTCATAAAGGCTGTGGATGTCACCTTTGCAGGAAAGGGTGAAGTAGCAATAATTTAAATAGTAACTTTGCAGCAGCAGGTCTGAAACTGCAATTCAGAGGTGTCCTCCCTTCTCCCATTTTCCAGATGGGGAAGCAGAGGCGCAGAGAGGACTAATTTGCTCAGGAGCCAGGTCTCCTGCGCTGGCTTTGTTCTTACCTCCCCTGCCCAGAAAAGGGACCCCAGCTCTGTGGTACCCACCGGTGGGACCCTGGGTGTCCCCTGTGGCTCCAATCCCGCAGGGCCCATGGGGCGCAGAGACCGCCCAGGAGCTCGGGAGCTCCCCTGGTCCTTACAGCGGTGTGTGATGGGCACAGCCCGGCTCTGCCTTCCCAGGGCAATTGCTGCTGTGGGGGGCAGGTGGAGCTTTTCCTTTACCTCCGTGGGTTTTGCGTGAGGATCCTCGGCACAGAAAATCCCCCCCCAACACCCAGCTGCCTGCCTCAGGACAGCAGACCCAGCGCATCGCTGCGGTGGGAGCCGCAGAGTAGAGACCGGGGGGTAGATGGGAGGGAGCAGCAGCTCTACAAGGAAAAAAATTTATTAATTTTTTTTTTTTTTCTGGTGAGACCTTTGGCAAGCTCGTGCTCAGAGGAAGGGTTTAGTTTGGGCTCAGCCAAACCCACACACTCCCGTTTATCCCATCCCTCCCTGGTGTAGGTGGTGGAGCCGCTCTGCCTGGACGGGCTCCCCCCTCGCAGCTCCCTGCCACAAACCCACTGCTCAAACTGGAGTAGCGGCTGGTCTGCTGGAGGGAGGGGAGTTTTAGGGGTTGTTTTGTTTTTTTTTTAATTGAGATTTCAAAATTTATTAGAACTTGAAGAAATTGGTTTGTGCTACCAATGGTTAAAAAGTAGGAAAATGGAAAAACTCTTGTTTAGTTAAAGATTCTCATTTTAACTTTGAAAAGTCATCGGTATCCTGCCCAGCAGCGCCCATCTGTGACTGCGCTCCAAATTACGTGTGACATCGCAGCTGAAGGGTAAAGTGCAGAAAGCCCCTCCAGAGCCTGGTTTGTATTTTTAATTTAAGCAGCAAACGCAAAGCTTTAGCACCTGCCTGGGCTGTAGGGAGCCTCTGCTGACGGCCAGCCGTGGATGCAGCCTCTTCAAGAGGGTTTAGGGAGTGCTTGCAGCCCGAAAAGCCGCAATGAGCAGGAGGGTCTGTGAGCCAGATTATGGCAGGACTGAACAAAATAATCGGCTGCAGACGGGGCCCTGCGCAGGCACGACCGGGCGTCCTGCCCCGCGTAGCTGTTCGGTCCCAGTGCGTGGGGAAGCGGGACGGATGCAGAGGGCTGTCCCTGCTCAGCCCACGCACGCAGCCTGGGTTTCAGCGGGATTTAAGCACATCCTCAGTGCTCCGAGGGCTCCCCACGGCGCAGCCGGTCTCGAGTGGGACAAAGGGACCCGTGGAAAAGGGATGAGCACGAAAAGGGAGCGAGGAGAGAGGCGAAGGGCTGCAAGAACGTAAACATTGAAGCAGACATTTGTATGGTTGTTTGGGTTTTTTTTTTTTCCTAATAAAAGGGTTTTATTTGAAAACCACAGGGGCAGATTTGTAGCCGGGAATGTTCGTACTTTCTTACATATTTGTACAACTGCCGCATGTCGGCGTCTTCCGCGCTCGCTGCAGGAGGCTTGCGGGGAGGACGCTTTCCGATTTAATTTCTTCCTAAGGACAAAACCGAATTCAGGTGCTAAGGGCAGCAGGATCTCTTAGAAAACTGCTCCTGCTTACCCTTCTTCTGTCTTCAGGGGGAAAAGAAGTCAGTGAGCCTCATTTTCTCTCCGTTGTGTATAACGCAAATAGCTTCTTTGTATTATTAATGTATTTGTATGACTGAGAAATTGTCACAGTCCTTGTACTTTTTATTAGAAGAACGTTTTCAAAAAAAAAAAAAAAATAAAAAGTAGGCTAAAAAGATCCGCTTCCACGTCTGCTCATTTCCTCGGGGTTCCTGGACAGACGCGCGGCTCCGTGTGCCACCGAGGAACGAGGTTACTCGAGCGCAGCAGCTCCCGAACGACTTGCAGACCACGGGTAACGTGGAAAGGCGGACCCGTGGCCCGCAGCCGGGCTGCGGAGAGAGATCCAGCAGAGAATTTACAGCCTCCTCAGTCAAAAAACATGCAGAGGCGGACGGCTGGATGTCTCTAAGTAGTGCTGTAAGCTGAGGCACCAAACCTGGGGCTGGAGGTTTGGGAGTCGCTGCCTCGAGGGGAGTTTTCTACCCCTGCGCTGGGGAGGAGCCCTCGGGGGGGGTGTGGGGGCACTTCAGGAAGGAAAATAAAAGGGAAATAAAATGGCTTTGGGTTGGGCATTGGGCTTAACAGCTCTACAGGGCGATGCTCTCGGTGCCTGGGTCGCTCCCCTTGCACCGGGAAGCTGGGCCGGGGTGGGAGCCGAGCGTGGGCACCCCCCCACGCAGGACACGCGGTGGCCGGGGGGGCGGGTGGGATCCTGCCCGTGGGGCCGGCTCGCCGCAGAGCCCTCCCCCTCCGGCGTGCGGCCATCTGCAGAGCTAAATCATTTCAGCTGTCAAAAAAAGCTCATTTTTCCCTGTAGTTAAATGTTTAAAAGAAAGGGGGAGGCGGGAGGTCAAAACCTTTGATGCTTAAAAGATGAATTTCCAGGGAAGTGGCGGAGCATTTGGCGAGCAGGGAGACACCCCCCCCCGCCTTCCTCCTCTGCAGCTCCGCGGGGGGGGTCCGGGGCGAACCCCCCAAACCCCGCGGAGGGGGGGGGGGGGCACCAAGAGGGCTCCGCACACCCAGCCCCCGGTTTGATGGGGGCCCGGGGAGGGGAGGGGAGGGCTGCGAGGGTCTGTGCGAGCAGCCGTGCAAGGAGGAACCTTTGTGCAGGGAGCAGCCGAGCTCCCGCCGAGCCCGGGCGGCCCCGGCTCTTCCGGGGGGGGCGGGGGGGGGAGGGAGCCGCTCCCGGGGAAGGTGACCGGGCGGCGGGGGCTGCGCCGGGCCATGCTGCCGCTGAGCACGGCCGCGCTTGTGACACTGATGAGAGCCGCGGCGGGCGGGGGGGGGGGGGGTGTGGCGGCGGCGAGGGGGGGGGTGTCTCCGCCCGGGGAGGGGGGGGGGGGTTGCGCAGCCCTTCGCTTCCCTCCTCCTCCTCCCAGGTGCGACGGTGCTCGGCCCCCCCCGCCGCCAAGCAGCCGTACCCGGTGGAGCTGAAGGCGGGGAAGAAATACGCCTGGTGCGCCTGCGGGCACAGCGAGAAACAGGTAGGGCCGGGGGGGGGGGGGGGGCTGTGGGGATGGGGCAGGACCCTCGGGGACCCCCCCCTCACCCCGGCCTGGGGAGGGGAGGAGGTGGCGTTGCCCTCCCGGGTGCTCCCGCAGCGCCCCAAGTCCCGTGGGATGCGCTGCACCGTGGATGGGGGTGGAGGGAGGGGTCGCGGTCCCCCCCGTTTTATGCCCGGTGTGTGTGGGGGGGAGGGGGATCAGCGCATCCCTCGAGCCATCCAGCCCCCCCCCCCCCAAATCCCCGCCTTTACCTCCTCCCCCTTCGCTTTGCAGCCCTTCTGCGACGGCGCCCACAGGAGAGCGGCCCCGGGGGTCTCCCCCCTGCGCTTCACCCCCGAGGAGGACAAGACGGCCTGGCTCTGTGGGTGCAAGCGCACCCGCACCCCCCCCTACTGCGACGGCACCCACAAAGAGGAGCCCGGGCAGAGCACCCAGCTCTGACACGGCTGCACCCCCCAGGGATGGAGGTCACGGAGCCCCCGGGGGGCTGGGGACCACGGGGATGTTCAGCCCTCTCAGGTGTGGGGAGGGAGATGCCCAGCTCAGCTCCCACCCCAATTAACCTTAATTACTGAGCCCTGAGAGCCGCCACCAGCTGCAGCAAACCAGCCTCACCCCACCGTGGGGACAGGAGTTTTGGGTTCTGCCCCCCCGGGGCCCTGCCAAGGATAAACGGGGGCTCAGCGCTGGCTGCGGGGGAAAAAAAAAAAAAAAATTACTGGATCGTGGGACTTTCAGGAGCGGTTTTGGCATTTCCAGAGCGGCGGGTGCCCACTGAGACAGGGGACGGAGGGACCCGGGCAGCTGCATCCGTACAGGCAGACGAAGGGAAGGACAGTCTGCAGCATTTATTACATTTACAAAGCTGTATAGTTATACAAATGTTTAACCAATAACAATATATGAATATCAGAATATATTACAAGACATTAAAACGTTGTACAGGATGCAAACATACAGAGCAATTTGGTTTGTACCATATAGGAAAAAACAGAAAACAAAACAACCCCTCCCAAGAGCCCCACACAAACCCCAGACTGAGGCACTTCAGCTGCCTCCCTCAGTCCATTTTGGCCTATTTACAAGGAGAAAAGGGGTGTCAAAGTCAAGACAAATGGAGCCCCCCCACATTGCTTTGAGCCCCTGGTCCAGCCCCAGGGACGGGGAAGAGAGAAACAAAAGGGGCCCCGGCCCCAGTGCCCGGAGGGCAGCGGAGCCCGGGCTGTGCTATAGCAAAGGTGCCGCTGTCGAGTCCACGATGGGGGTGCAGTACTTCAAAAAAAAAAAAAAAAAAAAAAAAAAAAAATACAATAACAACATCCCATGTTTCCTGACCTTTGGAGTCGGGCTGTTCATACAATTCCCGTGCCGCTTTCCTTTGGTTCTCACCGTGCTGCTGGGGGTGGCTGCGGCCGCTGCCTGGCCGTGGGGTGCTGTCCGGGTGCTGCAGGCACTTTTCTTTTTTTTTTCGTTCATCCCCCGTCCCCAGCAAGGGCGGGAGAGAAACCCCCCGGGCTCTCCGCTCCCTGGGGCTAATGTGCTTTTTTTTTTTTTGGGGTCAATATAGAAAGTTGGTCCCTTCCCCGGAGCGTGTGGGGCAGCCGGCGATGCCGGTGCCGCTCCGCTCCCGCCCGACCCGCAGCAGCACCTTCCCCCGCTCGCCCCTCACCGAAGCCTCCTGGCTAAAGGCACTGTAGTCTTATTTTTTTTAATTTTCTTTTTTTAAAAACCCAATGTGGGGACAGGAGAAGGTAAGGAAGGACAGGGCGGGAACAAAAATAAATGCTCTGAAACGTGACGCTGAAGCCACGGAGGTGAGTGGGGAGCCAGCGGCTGGGGGTCCCGCGGCCTCTGGGTCCCACCCAGCCTCACCCAGCACTGCCGGAGCCACCCCCACCGGTTTAGATGCCCTCAGCCAAAATTTCCCGGCCGGGGAGGTGGCAGCTCCCTTGGAAAGGAGAAACCAATATTCAGGGGGGCTTGTGCTCCTCCCCCTGGGACGGCTGGCCCTTCACCGCCAGGTTGGAAGTATTAATTTTTTTAAGCTGGAAAAGAAAAACAAAAAAACCCAAAAACCCTCCTTACTGTGCATAAAGGGAAGCGTCTGGGTGAGGCTTTGCTAGATCAGAGCCTGAAACACTGTCCGGAGACCACACAGGGAAAGCAAAAAAGAAACAGAAGCATGCACGGCAAGGAAAAACCGGGGGGGCAACACGGGCAAGTGATGCTCGATGCCAACAAAGGGACCAGTGGTCCCAGCTGGCCACCGGCACCATGTTATCAAACCTGGTGCCAAAAAAAAACCCCTAAAGAAACACAAAAAAAAGGTAAAAACCGCAGGGCACGGTGGGGCTGGGGGGAAGTTTTTGGCTTCTGTGCTTGGCCCTTACCTGTGCTTGGCCCTTACCTGTGCAGCCGGGAGTCGCCGCTCCCGGCCCCGTCTCGCTCCCGGCGGGCGCGAGGGGAGAGGGATGGGGAGGAGAGGGAAAAGCGTTAAGAGAAAACGAGCAAGGAAGGTGGCAGCGCCTGTGTGGCTCCCAGCTCCGGCATGCAGCTTACATAAGTTTAAATTTAAAAAAAAAAAAAAAAAAATCATTAAAAAATATTCAACCACATTTATGTGTCTTATTTGCATTTTAAATTAATCTGGTCAATCAATAGAAAATAAGTATGTATAATTTTTTTTTTTTTTTCTCCCTATGTACACATATATATTTATATATGTATCTATATAATATATATAGATATATAAAACCCAGCCAGGAGTCCCTGTTCTGCCGACGCTTAGGTCAAGGCGGAGGCCGTGCTGCCGTTGACAGTCGTTTTGCGGCACCGGCCGGCGGCGGGCTGCGGCGGGTGGCAGTTCGAGGTGCCGTTGAGCGCGGCGGCCGTGCCGGGGGGGCCGCTGCCGGCGGTGGAGCTGGGCGAGCCGTGGGACGGGGTGCCGGGGCTGGGCAGGGACGAGGAGGTGGCGGGCAGCGTGGCGGGGCTGTGGGCTTTGTCGCTGACCGACTCGCACTCGGAGGCGCCGCTGGTGTTGGTGCACTCGGAGGGGGCCGGCTGGGACAGCTTGAGCCGCTTGCAGGCGGGTTGGACGCGGTATTTCAGCGGCAGGGGCCCGTTCTGCAAGCGGGAGAGGGGCAGGAGCATGGCACCCCGCGGCCACCCCCCCCCACACACACACACCCGCCCCGGAGGAAGGGGGAGGGAAGCACACGCAGCCCCCCCCCCAGCTCCTAAAAACCACACCTGGAGCAAACACCTTTGGGAGGAGGGGGCATCAGGGGTTTTAACTGGTCGTAGCGCCCAGATTTGGAAGCTCTCCAGTTTTTAAGCTTTTTCAGTTAATTTCTTTCAATTCTTACATTCTTCAATTTTTACATTCTTTAAATTTTAAGGTTTTTTTCAGTTTTTAAGCTTTTTTAATGCCTTTACCCTTCCCCTCAAGGACTGCTTCCCCGAGCTTTTCTCCAAGACAAGCCCCGGTGCCCACGGCGGGGAAGGAGGAGCTCCGCTTACCCTCCTCCAGGGATAGATGTAGGCGATGTCCATCAGGGTGTAATACTCCTTCAGGGGCTCGTCTTCGTAGAGGACTTCCACCTGGCGCAGGGGACAGCGTCAGTCCCTCGGCACGGGGGGCAGAGGCACTGCCAGCCCCCCCCCCCCCCCCCCCCCCCCTCACGGGGCATCGGGGCTTTGCTGGCCCCAAGTGCATCTCCCAGAGCCAGTGGCTCCCGGCACCGCCCCGGGGCCAAAAACTGGTGGAAATTCACACAGTTTACACGCCACGAGGGACGGATCCTGCGCCAGCACGGGGACGCAAAGCCCGGGCAGCGCGGAGCAGAGCCACCGACAGTCGGGAGCAAGCGAAGCGCGGTGCGTTTGCAACGCGGGGTGGCCAAAAGAGCATCCTCCCCCCCCCCCCCCCCCCACACACAGCCCACCGGAGCACCCCGAAAGCAGCGAGCGCACCCCAGCCCCACGCTCACCTTGTACTTGCTGGGAACGTCCATCTTGTTGCGGAGGAACTTGGCCAGGTGCATGACGGTCATGGCAGCGGGGCAGCGCAGGAACCGGACCCCGTTCTTCTGGGGACACAGCAGGGGGGGGGGGCCGGGGGGAGAGGCATTGCTGAGAGCCCACCGTGCGATTAATGGGCAGTTCCCACCTCCTTCAGCTGACGGTTTGGGGGTGCCCTCCTGTCTGTGTGTTGTCCCCCCCCCCCCCGCAAAGCCCGGAAGGCTGCTGGACACACGGAGCTCTCCGTGCCGCGGTCCCACCACACTCACCTTCTCCTTCTCCAGGTCCCCATTCTCAACAGTCGCTTTCTTCTCCTCTCTGGGGGGAGGAAAGCAAACGCGGAACAAAGTTTGTGGAGGAATGAAAAGGCGGAGAGAAAAAATAACTCACCACAAGGACCATCCATGGACGGGCTGCAAGAGGACCAACAGCTTGGCCAGCCCTGACCACGTGTGTGCCCAAGTCGCTGCATTTCCAATCCAGCTCACTGCAACCGCTGCCCGGGGTTCCCTGCCTCCCCCCGAGCCGCTGCTCCGGGTGCCGGTGACATCCTCGGCGGCCACCACCGGCCCTGGGGACGCGGCAGCCACTGGGCTCTGCCGCCTGGGGAGCGGGATGCAGGGACCCCACTGCTGTAGCGAGCACCCGCAGAGGCTGCAGGGTGGGGGGGTCAGGGCGGGGGGGAGGGGTTTGGGTGCTCCTCTGTCCATGCAAGCACCTTGGGATACGCTGAGCCCCGAGCAGGGGCTGTGTCAGCCGCCACCACCTCGCATCTCAGCTCCGTCTCCAGAGTGGGAAGAGAGGATGAGATTTTAGTCATCAACCCCAAACCCAGGCAGAGGCTTAGGAGAGGCCAGAAAACGGTACCTCGACCCTTCGTAAAACTCTATGGACAGGCTGACGATCTCGTCGTCCGTCAGGTTCCCCTTGTCCTGCTCGGAGACTTCCCCGCGATCTTCGTTGGAGCCGTTAGGAACTGGGGGAGCAGAGGGAGGGAGAGGCTGAGCCGCTGAGGGGGGCACAGCCGGGGCGAGGGGGGGGGGTGTCCCCAGGGCTGACACTCACCCTCGGCCATGGGGTAGGCTGCGTAGAAGTCGCGCCGCCTCTTCATCTCATCTGCGGGAGAAGGGAGGAGAAAGGTGAAGGGTGGGGGGGGAAAAAAAAAAAAAAAAAATCACACCAAGGGGGAAATGGGTGCAAGGAGGGGAGCGAGGGGAAGCCCCGGGTTGCCGAGCGCCTGCTCCCCGCCGGCAGCTCAAGCCCCAGCTGCCGGGTGCAGACGGACCCGTGGGAGAGCGGTCGCTTTAGCCAGAGCAACCAAGTCATACCCATAAAACCCCCGGAGCGGCTGCAAATCCGCTGCTGTGACAATGCCTTGACGGCGGCTCGACCGTCCTCGGGCTTTCCACGCCTGCAGACCCCCACACTTTTGCCCCCCGAGGACGGGCGGGCGGGCACTTGGAAAGCAAATCCGCGGGTCCTGCTCCCAGCTTTGCTTTCCGTGGTGCCCCCCCCCCCCCCAGCAGCAGCCCCCGGGGCCGCCGGTGCGTGGGACGGGCACTATCCAAGGAGCCATCCCTGGCCGTTCACACCGTGCCCTTCCCCGCTGTCCCCCCCCCACCCCACCCCGTGACACGGGCAGGGGTGGGCGTGGGCAGCACGAAATCCAGGGGACCGGTTTCCCTGGCGGGTGGGAGCGAGATACAAACAGCCCCAAACCCACACAACTACCATTGTCCATGGCTGTACCTTTGAAAAGCCCCGGGACCAGTTTGTACACTATGTCCTGGAGGGTTTTGTCCGACCTGGGGGGAAAAAAAAGAAATAGGAAAAGAGAAGGAAATCAGGTGGATTAGGGAGCAGCTCGGTTCCCCCGGCTGCTGAGAGCTGCCCTGCGCTGTGTGCCCCCCGCCAGCCCGAATGCTGCTGCCCCCCATCTCCCTCCCAGGAAACTCCCAGCACGACGCCCCGACTCCCCGTCCCACGGCGATGCCACAACCCTGTCTTACAGGCAAACCCACCCGCCCTCGCGCTCACCGCAAAGGGTTAACTCTGGAAAAAGAAAGAAAACCATTTCAAAAATCCTTGTAATTGCTCGGGATGATGACAGCAGGATTTTGGGGCCAGGATCCCTTTCGGTATTCAAAATGATTACAAAACCACATCGAGAACTTAAAAAAAAAAAAAAAAAAAAAAAAATCTAAGATCAGCAAATGTTTCTGCAAGTTTTAATTTGCATCTAATTTTATTTTTGGACTCAGCTCCAGTTTGGGGCTCAGGCTTTGATTTCCCTCTGCTGTAAGGATGGCACGACAGCATCCGCTGTCAGGTTGCAGAGTGGGCTCCCTAAAACGTGAACATCTCAAGGTGGGATCTTCTAAAGCACTTGAGGAATGGGGGAAGCTCAAGTCTCATCCTCAGCACAGAGCTGGGAATGGGATTTTGCTGGAAGGCTTGGGCCGGGGACCCTGCAGGCAGGGCATCTGGCACAATTTAAAACCAGCAGCTCAGCCAAATAAAAAAAAAATCTCAAAAACAAAGCAAGTGCAGTGGGACTGGTGAAAAGTAAATTATATCTGCAATTATTTCCATTTTAATAATAAGGCCTTTATTTGAAAGAAAAACAAATGACCGTACCCTATATTATTTTTAGCCTGGCCATGTCTTTCATCCCTAATTCCTCGGTGATGTCACTCTGGTTCACGAGGCCCCGCTGTGATTTTATTTATAATACATACCCAGAGAATTTGCTTTATAATTTACAGCAAGCTAATGAAAAAGCAACCTCAGCTGCTTGATTGGCAGCTTAATCACCAGCCGGTCCCTGCTCTTGCATGAGTCAACCCCATTCAGCCCAGCGCGGTGGCGCTGGGTGGGGGCCGGGGTGCCAGGGGGGACACGGGTGGGCAGCGCCCTCAGCACCACCGCAGCATCACGCCCGGGGGGGGCTCGGCGCGGCCGCGGCTCCGGTTTGGGAAGCAAAGGGGGAAGGGAAAAACCTTCCTGGGTGCGGAGGGTTTTCTAGGGCACCACATCTGGCTCGGGGCCCTGTCACCTGCGGCAGCGCCTCTGCCCACGTGTGCCCCACGTTTCCCCCACCTCGCCGGGACCGGAGGGGGGAGGCGAAGGCGCCGTGACGCCGGGGGCGCGGTGCCCGTCTGCAGCGCGGGCGGCTGCGTATCCCTCTCCGCACGCAGGCAGGGATGTTTCGGCGAGGGAGCCGTGGGAGCCAGAGTGTAAATATTTCATAGTGAACCAGGGGAGGGGAAAAAAAAAAAAAAAAAAAAAAAGAAAAGGAAAAAAAAAAAAAAAGTGTTACTACAGAAACAGATTTACATGGAAGAGGCTTAAAAAAAAAAAAAAAAAGGATAAAAAAAAGCCAAGTGATGTATTGCAGCCTTTCATGGTTTCTATGCCAACCACCTGCAGAGCCAATTCCACAGCTGACGGGATGTGTCTGGCTTCCCCCAGCCAGACGCGGGGCCGGGGCAGAGCCAGCGCGAAGCCACCGCCCCCACGGCCGGGCACCCTCTCACCTGCGCCGCTGCGGCACCCCCGGCTCCCCCCGCGGGACACGGCACCATCCCCACGGGGGACAGAGCAGGGATTAGGAAGCCCAGGCTTAAACTGGTGGGACTGCAGGGACAGACAGATGGATGTCTGTGGTCTGGGATGTGCAGGGCAGCCCCTGCTCTGGCTGGCACATGTCCCAACCTCCTGTTGCTGCCACAGAGATGTCCCCAGGTCTTGGCCCCTCCATGGTGGCATTTCCCGCCGTCCCCATTCCCCTTTGTCCTGGGTTTGAGTGAGTGGTGGGGTTTTTTGGTAGCAAGGGAGGGGGCTATCAGGGTGGCCCAGGGAGCACCCCAAACTCCCCACTGCTGCGGGGTGCAGAGAGGTTTCGCGCTGCAAGAGCTGCAACCAGTCCTCGCTCGGCGGCGGCATCGTGCGCCTGAGCTGGGCGCAGAGCCCCGCTCCCCGCCCCAGGCCACCCCAGCGCAGGCACAGGCTGCGAGGACACTTTGGGGCCAGGGGTCGGTGCCACGTAGGGGGCACAGCGCGTGGGGGAGCCCCCCCCCCCGCCTCGAAGCTCACCTGATGCTGAGGAGGGGTCTGGTTTTGTGCACTTGGACATCACACATGGGGCAGTACTTGTTCGTCTCCAGGTAGCGAACGATGCAGGTTTTGCAGACTGCAGGGAGAGACTCGGCGTGAGCAGATGGACGGACGGACGAGGGAGTGAAACACCCGCAGCCCTGCACCGATCCAGTCCCCCCCCCCCCCCGACCCCCCAACCCTGTGCGGCAGCAACGGGGGGGTGCAATCCCTGATGCAGGATGGGTCTGGGCACTGCGGGAGGGTCTCGGTGCGGCACGGCCACCCTTCCCGGGGGTTTGGGGCACCCCTGGGTGCAGCGCGGCCCCGGCCGGGGGCCCGGGACACTCACAGGAGTGCAGACACTCCACGATGGTGGTGGCGTCTATGAAGTAGCCGCCGCACAAGGCGCACATCAGGTGGGGGTTGAGCTCGGTGATCTTTATCCTGGTGGTCCTGTGCATTTTGGAGCAGCGCCGCGGCGGATCCTCCCTGCAGGGAAACACCCGGGGCCCCCCTTAACGGCTGCTCCGTGCAAGGACGGGACCCCCAGGACCCGTTTCACCCTTTCACAAACAACTGCAGGGCAGGGTGGGGGGTGCCTGGTGCTCCCCATCACGCCACGCTTGGCCCTGGGAGCAGTGGGGCAGCCCCCGGGGCGGGGGGGTTGCACAAGCAGCACCCACACACCTCCCCACGCAGCCCCCGGCCCTGGGCACTGCCCAGCTCCCTCTGCCTCATGTCTGCGTCTTCCCGGGGGTCCCCAGGTGGGTCCCCACCATGCGGAGACACCTCTGAGAGGGGACAAATCACCCCCGTTAGCCAACCCCTCGCCCGCAGCCCCCTGGGCTGTGCACACACACACACACACACACACAGAGTGTATTTTTGTTTTGTTCGCTGGAAAAGGCATTTTCAGCCACTGCCTCGCAGTTTCTATAGAAACTCCCGAGTCCGGTGCTGGCCGCCTGCCCGCAGCCAGGATCACCCGCAGCACCTGCACGGGCGGGGGTACCTGGCCGGGTGTGCTCACGGGGCACGGGCAGCCTTCCCGGCGTGGGGAATCGCTGTCTGCCCGCTCCGGCACTTCCACGTTTACAATGGGAGACGGCAGAGCCGGGGCCCAAAATCACTGCAGTTTTATTGTTTCCATGGCAACCCCGATACTTGGAGAGGAGCCAGAATATTATTACAACCATCCAAGGCGAGGGGGAGAAGGGAGAAGAAACCCTGGGTGTGTGTAAATGAGCGTGGGCGCGATGGCAGAGCCTGGGTGCGCTGACAGCAACACCCGTACGCACCCACACCCCCTCCACAACACAGGGAGAGACAAACACACACACACACACACACACACATGTGTGTGTGTACACACATACGACACGTACACGCGCACAGGCAGAGTACCCCGGTACACACCCGCACCCCCGCGGTACTGGTGTTCGCACGGGGTCAGGTGTGGACGGTGTCGCTCGTTGCCCGCCTGACGCCTGAGAGCCGACAACCAGACAACAGCCGAGACAACCACCGAAGGCGCAACAGTGACCCGGCGAGGAGCAGGGAGCAAACAGGGTGCACACGTGTGTGTGTGTGTGTGTGTGTGTGTGTGTGTGCGTGTGCACGGGGGGGGGGGGGGGGACGTGCAGGGGTGGCTGCACCAGGTGGGTGTGCCCCGGGCTGGGTGTGCAAGGCTGGTTTTGGGGGGGGGTGTAAGGGGGGGTGTGCTTGGGGCTGCGGGTGTGTTTGCACGACACCGGGTCCGTGCCGGGCACCTGCCCTGGGGAAGCTGCTTGTGGTCCCGCTCCCCCCCCCTGCGGTGCCTCTCCCAGGCTCCAGTCTGGGTTTCTCCTCTCCTTTGGCCACCGTGGGGTCCCCAGAGACTGGGGACACCACGGGGATGGGGATGCTATGGGGATGGGGACACCATGAGGATGGGGACATCGCGGGGATGGGGATGCTATGGGGGTGGGGACATCGCGGAGAGGGGGATGCTGTGGGGATGGGGATGCTATGGGGATGGGGACATCATGAAGATGGGGACATCACGAGGATGGGGACACCATGGAGATGGGGACACCACAAGGATGGGGACATCGCGGGGAGGGGGATGCTGTGGGGATGGGGATGCTATGAGGATGGGGGCACCATGGAGATGGGGACATCACGAGGACAGGGACATCATGAGGATGGGGACATCACGAGGATGGGGACACCACGGGGATGGGAATGCTATGGGGATGGGGACACCATGGGGACAGGGACAAAGACACCACAGGGACCGGGACACCATGGGGACAGGGCCGGAGATGCTGCAGGGATGGGGCCACCACGGGGATGGGGACACAACAGGGATGGGGACACCACGGGGATGGGGACACAACAGGGATGGGGACACAACAGGGATGAAGATGCTGCAGGGATGGGGACACGACAGGGATGGGGACACCACAGAGATGGGGATGGAGATGCTATGGGGATGGGGACACCACGGGGACAGGGACACCACAGAGATGGGGACCTCAAGGACACCCCTGTGCCCCAAGGGTCTCCTCGCAGACAGGGGGTGAGGGGCACCAGGGTGTTTGAGAAGCCCCAGCACCGCCCCCCTCCCTCCCCAGCTCAGCTCTCACCCCTGGGCACCCCCTGGGTGGGCACCCCTGGGTGCCCTGCACCCTGCTGCCCTCGGATAGGTGCCCTCAGCCCTCCACAGCCCACTGGTGACAGGGGGGCCACTGCCAGGTGCCCCCCAGCCAGGAGAATGCCGGGAGGGGGGGGCACTGTCCCCAGCCCCAGGCTCCCACACCGACTCCAGCCAGGGCACCGGGCAGCTCCGCCGGGCACCGGCTGCCCACGCCGGGCCGCAGGACCCACGGCTGCATTTTGGGTGGATTTTGCCGCTTTTGGTGCTCGCCGCCTCCAATGGCGGCCCGGGTCTCCGCGGGAGGGGGGAGCCTGAGCCACCGGCGCAAACCGGTTCTAATAAACCGGGTGATAACAACCGCGATTTCCTGCCGCGGGGGTGAACAAAGCCCCGGACACCCCCACTCCTCCCACCCGGGAACCGGGACCGGCGGCAGCACCGGCCCCGCTGAAGCCCCCGGGGCCGCCCCGTCCCGCCAGCGGCTCCCCCCGCGCCCCCGGCCCCGACTTTTGGGGTGTTTTGTCTCCCTGGGCGGTGGTCCGGCACGGTACCTCCCTTCTCCCCGTTCCTCAAATCCCCCCCGCGGACCAGGCACGGGTGGGGAAGGACGTTTCAAAGTCACCCGGTAACTTGGAGCCGACCGGCTGCCCCCTCCCCGTGGGACCCACCGGCGGCGGCGAGCCCGGGAAATAAACCGCCTCCCCGCCACCCCGGCACTGTCCACTCCTCGCACGGCGGCCACGGGCCCCCACGCACCGGGAACACGACAAAAAGGCGGCAGAGCGTGAATCCGCGGCCCCCGACAGCGCCCGCAGCCGCGACGGGACCCCCCCGCCCCTCCCGGGGTGCGCGACGCGGGCACCGGCCGCCGCGAAGGCGCGGAACTGTGGGAAGGGGGGAAGAAGCACCGCGGGGAGGGCACGGACACGCGTGTCCACACGCCCGTGTACGCACAAGGAGATATCCACCCTCCCCAAAACACACCCCCCACACACACCCCCATTCCCCCGCCGTGTCCGCGGCGAGACGTGTCCGCGCGGTGCGTGACACCCGCCTGGCACAGGCGCGCGGGCACGGACACGCGATGGGGCGCGGACACGCGTGACCCCGCTCTGTGCCCCGGGGGAGCCCCGCGGGCAGCTCCCGCTTCATCTATTTTTTGGGGTCTTTTTTGTTGTTTTTGGGGGGGTGGGAAGGTGGTGGGGGGAAACACGACGATTTGGATCCGGGGGTGGGGCGCTCCCGGTGCCCCGCAGCCCTTTGTGCTCCGGTACCGGCTGACAGCCCGCCCCGGGGCCCGGCCCGGCCCCTCCGCCCGCCCCGGGGGGGGCTCCCGCCGCGGCCCCCCCCCCCCGGCCGTACCGCACCACCCCGCTCCTCTCCGCGCCGGGCCCGGCGGGGGGGCGGCGGGAGCCGGGGCTGTCAGGGCTCCGTAGCCCCTCGCCGGTGCCCACCGTGGGGGGGTCACAGCCGCCCCCCTCCCACCCTACCCGGGACAAGAGCGGGGCCGTGGCACAAAGCGGGGGGAGGCGGCGGCCATCGGCCATCTTGAACGCGGAGAGAAAAGGGCGCGGGGGGGCCCGGCGGCGGGGCCCGGCGGCGGGGGGGGGGCCCGGGGCCGCGTCCCTACCTGGTGGCGGCGGCAGCGGCGGCCCCGGGGCCGCCCCCTCCGCTCCCGCCGCTCGGCGCGACTCGGCTCGGCGCGGCGGCGGCGCTGCGGCCGGGGCCCTTTTTTCTCTCGCTCGGCTTTTTTTTTTTTTTTTTGCTTTTTTTTTTTTTTTCCCTTTTTTTTTTTTTTTTTTTCCCTCCTTCCTCCTCCTTTTTTTTTTTTTTTTAATTTTTTTTTCCTCCTTTTTTTTTTATTTTTTTTCCCTCCTCCAGCCGCCGCCAGGCCCCGCCCCGCTTCACGTGACCTCATTCCTTTGGGGTGTTGCGGAGGAGGGGAGTGAGGGGCCGAGATTGGGGGCCCCCCCCCCTTCACCGCTGCCCCGCCCCTCCAGGACACGGGTCCCCCCCACCCCCCCGGTGGACACCGCCGCGCCGGTGCCGCCCCCCACCCTCCGTGACCCCCCCGTTGTGCTCAGGGAGGAAAGGAGAGCGCCCTAAAAGCCGCTGGAATGGACCCAAAATCCGCTCCGCTCCCCGCTAACGGATCCCCGCACTCCCCCCAACACGGCGGGTGGTGCCCCGGAACCCCACCATGGTCAGAGCTGGAGCCATTTTCGGTCCCAAATCGGGAGATTTTCCACCCGGGAGGCGACGCGGAGCATCCCGGTCCCCGCGGGACCTTCCCCGGGACCCTCGGGCAGGGGGCCGGTGCCCGCCGGTGCTCGGGAGCCGCGGCGGGAGAGGAAAGCAAAGGGAAGAGGAAAAAAAAAGGAAGGGAAGAAAAATAGGGGGAAATTAGAGAAAGAAAGGGGAAAAGGAGGGAAGAAAAGGAAAAAAATGAGATAGGAGGAAAGGAAGGAAAGAAGGCAGGGAGAAGGAGAAAAAAGAGGGGGAAAAAAAGGAAAAAGCGGGAAAGAAATAAAAGAGGGGGAAAAGGAAAGGAAGGGAGTGGAACAGGCGCACTCGGCGCCGCTTTCCCCGCGGGATCCGTCACGGCGGGCCCTGCCCCGCTCGGAGGGAACGGGGAAACCTTGCGGAGGGGGCTCACGGGGGATTTCGGGGGGTGCGGGCAGCCGGAGCGCCCACGCGTGTCGGCTACCGCTCCTCCCCCCGACGCCTCGCAGCCCCACTCCAGAGCGGCGGGAGGCGCTAAACGGCCCCGCAGCGTCGCGCGTGTCCGCAGCTCCCGCGTGGGTCAGGTCCGAGATCGGTGCGACCGAGGGCGCTTCCGTACACCTGGTGCACCGGCTACTCGGCGGGGTACAGCACCCACGCGCGTTTCCCCTCGGCCCACTCAGTTGCGGCCCTGTGACTAATTCCCCATCCCACCCGGTGTCCCGGGGCCCGGTGTCAGCGCCGGTCCCGGTGTCCTGGTGCTGGTGCCAGTCCTGGTGTCCCGGTGCTGATGTCCCAGTGTCCCAGTACCGGTGTCCTGGTGCCGATGTCCCGGTGCCTGTCCCGGCGTCCCAGTGTCCCAGTGCCGGTGTCCTGGTGTCCCAGTGCCAGTGTCCCAGTCCCGGTGCCCCGGTGCCAGTCCCGGTGTTCGAGTGCCGAATTCCCGGTGCCGGTGTCCCGGTATCCCAGTCTTAGTGTCCCGGTGCCAGTCCCGGTGTTCCAGTCCCTTTGTTCGAGTGCCGAATTCCCGGTGTCGGTGTGCCGGTGCCGGTGTCCCAGTCCCGGTGTCCCATTCCCGGCGTCCCGGTGTCGGTGTCCCGGTGCCGGTGTCCCATTCCCGGCGTCCCGGTGCCGGTGTGCCGGTGTCGGTGTCCCATTCCCGGCGTCCTGGTGCCGGTGTCCCGGTGCCGGTGTCCCATTCCCGGTGTCCCAGTGCCGGTGTCCCAGTCCCGGCGTCCCGGTGCCGGTGTCCCATTCCCGGTGTCCCAGTCCCGGTGTCCCGGTGTCCCGGTGCCGGTACCGGCGGGCGCAGCCCCGCGCGCTCCCGGGACGCTCCCGCTGAGTGCGGCGGCCGCGGCCCCGGTGCCCAGCGCGGTCTCTGTGGCGCAATCGGTTAGCGCGTTCGGCTGTTAACCGAAAGGTTGGTGGTTCGAGCCCACCCAGGGACGGTGCTTCCCTTTTTCTATCGCGGTTTTCCCTTTTTATTTTCCCCTCCTTTTTTTTTTTTTTCCAGGGCCGGCCCGAAGGAAGCGGCCGAGGATGGACGCGGCGATGGGGCGGGAGGCGGAGGCGGCCGGTCCCGGCCCCCCTGGGGCGGCCAGCGTGGGTTTTCACAGTGCAAAGAGCTGCGCCGGGGCTTGGTGGGACTTTCAGCGCTCCCTTGGGCTGGTCCTCGCCCCCAGGACCGGGCTGACCTAGACGGGGAGAAGGTGCAAATGGGCAGGATGTGGCCCCGGTGCTCCCCGTGGGCTCACAGCTCCCTTCAAGGCACTGGACGGGAGGGAAACCAGCCCCTGGTGTGAACAAAACCATTTCTGCTCAGCCTGTGGTCCCCTCTGCACCACAGTTTACTCCCATAAGCAAATGGACAAGTTGGGAAATTAAAAACAGATCAGAGACTTGAAAGCCTGTTTCCATCCACAGTCCATATTTTGCCTTAAAAATAAGCTGAAGGGGGTCCAAACTCTGCACTGCTGAAGTTCGCCTTTCTTACAAATCCTTGTAAGATCTATTTATGTTCGCCGCTTGCCCTGATTTTATTTTCACACCAGAAATAATGAAGTTTGTGTTCTAATGCAGAGTATAAAGCCATGCCAGGCAGATCCTTGTTGTTTCAAAAGCCCAGAGCCACAAAATGCTCCCGCGGCTGAGCCCAGTGCTGCCGGGGCTGGGGAAGCACCCGGGGGTCTCCAGGCCCGGGAGAGGGATTGCTGCTGTCTTCCTGATCTGAGAGCATGAGTCTGATGGGAAAGCAAAGAAAGAAGCGGTGCCCAGCAGGGATCACCCCCCCACTGCCACTCGAGACAGCCGGGGCTGAGGAGGAACCAGGCGCTGCCAAAATCAGCCTGGGAAAATATTCCCGTCTGTCTCTGCTGCTCTTTCTTGCCTCAGTGCATGGTGTTCCCAGCAGACAGAACAAGGCCTTGGGCTTCATCCCTGCGAGAAACCTTTGACAATGGAAAACTCTTTAAAAATACAACTGCCATGGGACGGGCTGTGCCTCCGGGGCTCGGTCCTGGGGTGGATGAACAGTCCCTGCACAGGCTGGAGGTTTTCATTGAAACCAGGCGGGCTGATCTGTTGTGCATTTGGGAGCATTTCCCAACACATGGATCTCTTTCCCTTTGGCACAACATCACTCCCCTAAATTAAACACTTAATCCTGTCTCCTCCAGGAGAGGGGAGAGCTGGCGAGTGAGGATGGAGAAGGAAATCCAATACTTCTCAGAGTGCAAACCCCCCTTTCAGTTGCTATCTGAATAAAAAATACCCTCACAGCCACTTGCCAGGTCCCTTCCCCTCCCTGGGACGTGTCACGAATTGCTGCTTTGCAAGAGTGACTTTATTGCATCAACACTTTCCAAGATTTTCTTTTCCTCTGGGGAAACCTGCTGGCCCTGTCCCCACAGGGCGAGTTTTGGGTTTTGCCCCTGGGTCCCAGAGGGGCAAAAGCAGAGAGTGGGTGCACAAGGCCTGACACACACAGGGGCTCTGCGTGGAGAAGTGGTGCAGGATGGGTTTCCTGGAGTTTCTAGTTAAATTCAGCCAGGTTTGGTAAACTTTTCCCAGTGCCCAACAGAAGGTGCCAGGGCTGCAGAGGGCTGAGTTGGTGGGAGATGCCACTGGTCAGGTCCCAGCCCGGCCATGGGCACGTAGGGAGTGGGCAGGCGGGTGCCACACGGAGCAGGGACAGTGGCCACAGCCTTGGGGACCCCCTGGCCCCACCGAGTGACAGGATGACCCATCTGCCACCTCTGCAGGGCCCCTGCACAACCCTCCAGCTGTGCCATACCCCTGTGGGTCTATCCAGATGTGCCATGCCCCTGCCTGCACATCCAGCTGTGCCATGCCCCTGTGGGTCTATCCAGCTGTGCCGTAGTCCTGTCTGCACATCCAGCTGTGCCATGCCCCCGTGGGTCTATCCAGCTGTGCCATGCCCCCCGTGGGTCTATCCAGCTGTGCCACGCCCCTGCCTGCACATCCAGCTGTGCCATGCCCCCTCCTGCACGTCCAGCTGTGCCATGCCCCCGTGGGTCATTCCAGCTGTGCCATGCCCCTGTGGGTCTATCCAGCTGTGCCACGACCCTGCCTGCACATCCAGCTGTGCCATGCCCCCTTCTGCACATCCAGCTGTGCCATGCCCCCGTGCGTCTGTCCAGCTGTGCCATGCCCCCGTGGGTCTGTCCAGCTGTGCCACGCCCCTGCCTGCACATCCAGCTGTGCCATGCCCCCTCCTGCACATCCAGCTGTGCCATGCCCCCGTGGGTCTATCCAGCTGTGCCATGCCCCCCGTGGGTCTATCCAGCTGTGCCACGCCCCTGCCTGCACATCCAGCTGTGCCATGCCCCCTCCTGCACGTCCAGCTGTGCCATGCCCCCGTGGGTCATTCCAGCTGTGCCATGCCCCTGTGGGTCTATCCAGCTGTGCCACGACCCTGCCTGCACATCCAGCTGTGCCATGCCCCCTTCTGCACATCCAGCTGTGCCATGCCCCCGTGCGTCTGTCCAGCTGTGCCATGCCCCCGTGGGTCTGTCCAGCTGTGCCACGCCCCCGCCTGCACATCCAGCTGTGCACCCCGATGGCTCCAGCTGTGCGAGTCCCCCCCGCCCCGCCCGCTCGGTCCGCCTCCGTCCCGGCATGCCCCGCTCACTATGACTCTTCATTTTTCTCCCCCCTCTCTCCCTCCCCGCTGCCGCCGCAACCAACCAGCTCCGCCCCGCGGCGGGCAGAACCACCAATAGCGAGCGGCGCCTGGCCGGGCGGCCTCGGCGGGGGCCAATGGGAAAGGGGCGGGAGGCGGGAGCGGCGGCGCGGCGGGGCCGGGTGCGGGGCGGCGGCGCGGGGCCTGGCGGTGTCTGTGGAGCCGGCGCCATGGTGAGCGCCGGGCCGGGGCCGGCGGGGGACGCGGCGGGGGAGCTGGGACCTACGGGGCGAGGCCCGCGGGTGCCTGGAGGAGGCGGGTGGGGGCCTTCCCCATCCCCGCGGTGGTGTATCGCCGTGGGCCTTCCCTCAGGCCGGGCCGCGGCGGGAAGCAGCGGCCATGAGCAGCCCGCTGTGGGGTGGCCATTAACAACGGTAAAATTAAAGGCAAAAGGGTGAGGGGCAGCGGGGCTGGTTTCCCCACCATCACTGCCCCCGGGTGCCGGCGCTGTGCTGAGGATGCAGGGCCAGGGCAGGCGGGGGGGTGGTTTGAGGGGCGGGGGGGGGGGGGGGTCCCTTCAGCCTCGCCCAGGAACCGGTGGAGGACGAGCCCCCCAACCGCTGCCCACAGCCCCGGCCCTACCTGCTGCCCTTCTCTCTTCCAGTCTATTATGTCCTATAACGGTGGGGCCGTAATGGCCATGAAGGGGAAGGACTGCGTGGCCATCGCTGCGGACCGGCGGTTTGGGATTCAAGCGCAGATGGTGACCACAGACTTCCAGAAGATTTTCCCTATGGGAGAAAGACTGTATATTGGATTGGCAGGACTGGCCACGGATGTGCAGACGGTGTAAGTGAGGCGCCCTCCCGCCCGTGGGTTCCCATACTGAGCCTGTAAGAGGCATATTTACAGTAACCACCAGTGATAGCTTACGCTGAGCATAAATGTCTCTGTTTATTCACAGGAGAGAGTATAATAGATGGGTGCCAGCACTCCCTTTTCATGGTCTCCCTTCAGTGGGAATTTTTTTTTTTTTTTTTAAATAAAATTGCACGTGATTTAAAATAACATCACTACTAAGACTTAATAACTTGAGGTATAAAAGGAGCTGCATCTGGGATACCTACCTGCCTTAGGCATGCATCAGGAGCTGGTATCTGTCAGCTTGCAGTAGAACAGTTCAGGCCTGGGTGAAGACCAAATTAAAAGGAACGTGCTTCCACTTTAATGCCGATTCTCATCTCTTGCAGTGCCCAGAGACTGAAGTTCAGGCTGAATCTCTACGAGCTGAAGGAAGGCAGGCAGATCAAACCTCAGACATTTATGAGCATGGTTTCCAATCTGCTCTACGAGAGACGGTAACTGTCAAACAACGGAGTCACTGTTTACGGGCCAGTGAACGCTGTGGTTGGTGGAACTGATCTGATTCTAGAGAGGTGGGAAGTTGAGGAGGGCTCCTGTAAAGACTACTGGTGTGGCAAAATGAGACTTCAGTCTAGCGACAGTGTTCTCTTCAACTTCCTTGCAAAAGAATATTGAGTATTGTTAAAATAATCAGGTAGCAGTACAAGTTTGTTCTGTTTGCCATGCTAAAACTATTGCAGGATGCTTCTAGGTTGACCTGAAAGGTCCCCCCACCAAAAGCATCTGTGGGATGTTTGCCTTGTACGGAGATTTACGCGGGCTGCGGAACTGCTTCGAGGGGGTCGGACTGCTCCATGCCATGTTGTTCTTCACAGGTTTGGACCTTACTACACAGAACCCGTCATTGCCGGGCTGGACCCCATAACACACGAACCTTTCATCTGCTCCCTAGACCTGATCGGCTGCCCGATGATAACCGACGACTTTGTGGTCAGTGGCACCTGCTCCGAGCAGATGTACGGCATGTGCGAGTCCCTCTGGGAGCCTGACATGGTGAGTGAGAGGGCCGGGCTCAGATTCATGGATTCAGCCTCCTGCTGTTAACTGGAGAACCTGAGATAGGCAGGTTGGACGAAAAGCTCTGTCCCTTGGTACTTCCCGAAGGAGCTTTGAACAACAAAGAGGCTGTTAGTTTAGGTCAGCCTGCAGGAAAAAGCTTGCAGCATCTTGGATGGCATTTTGGGTTTTGAATGAAATCTGATGACTCAACATTCAATTTTTACACCCACTAAAGTAGCTGCTGTTCCTCAGGAACCTGATCACCTCTTCGAAACAATCTCGCAGGCCATGCTGAATGCCGTGGACAGAGATGCCATATCTGGAATGGGCGTGGTAGTACACATAATGTAAGTGCCGCTCGCTTCCCCTACGGAACAGAGGTAGAATTTAACAAGCTGTACGTTAAGGTCACTTAAGGGATTGCTTCCCAGGGTATCCCTAACCCTGCTCCCTTCCAGCAGTATCCTTAGTAACGTTTTGTCCATTCTACATGTTTCATTTCTCATGGCTGCTCTCTTTTGCAGTTCGTGGCTGTTGCTGGAACTGCAGGAGCCGTGGGAAATTAATCCTAGCCTTAGACTCTTGCTGCATAGGGCTTCCCTGGCTGCGTTCCCATCCGTACTCAGGAGTGTGACTCCAAGAGGATGCTCTTTGCCACACCTGGGCACGACCTTAACTTCCAGACTGCAATCAGACTGACCTCTGAAGCACTTTATTTTGCTCGTGGTGCCGTTTCCCTGCAGCGTCGCAGGCGCTGCTGCCTGCGGAACCCGCCGGAGCTCCCCTGGGGTGAAGCGGCAGGAGGATGGGGTCTGCTTAGTTCTAATGGGCACCTTCCAGTTCAGATGATCCTGCCTGCACTAGCAAACAACCCACCTGTGCACACTGCAATTTCCTAACAATCTGGAGGTATTAAATGCGGATTTACTAACAGTCTTCTCTCTTTCCCTCTCTAGTGAAAAAGACAAGATCACCACCAGGACCCTGAAAGCTCGCATGGACTAGCCCAGCACGTCTGCTCATGTACTTCACACCCAGTCTGCTTGGAACTTTTTTAAATAAAACTCTCTGTTGTAATGGACTTTCCTTTTCTTGGGTCTGAACACTAGGATTAAGTTCTCATCACTAAAGCTATCAGAAGGAGCTTGGGTTTTACACAGTAGCAGAGCTTACCTTTCTCTCTGAGCCACCTACACTAATCTCCCTCAGTACACGCGCGTGAGTGACTGGGCTGCAGCTGCACAGCATCTCCTTCAGACAGCACGGCAGCGTGAGCTTCTCCTGGCAAATCAAATTTGTTCTCACATCCAGGACTTGGTAGAGTCAGTTCTTAAAAATCCCATTTGACCTGCACGTATAAAAGCACTTTTCCAGTTGTAGCTAAGCAAGGACTGAAAATGACCACATACCTCATGGAGTAACAGTTGATCGTTAGAGGACTTTAAAGAGGACAGCAGTAACAGATGTACACAAAGTTTTAATTTTATTTTTCTCTGGTTGGAGACTCATCTCGTAACATGCATGCATTTCAAAACAGTAACAGTGTCTCAAACTGCTCCTAGCAAACAGACAAGCACAGAGGACTTAAAATTCCTATTTAAAAAACAGCAGTGAAAAAAACGAGAATGCCTTTTTTTTTTTTTTTTTTTTTTTAGTTTTAGATTAAAGTTAATTTATTCACATTTTTTTCAGTTGCACTGATTAGCCCTGCCCACCCTTGTGACCTGTGTGTAATACGCTCACTTGACACAACTCGATCCAGTTGCATTTAGCACTGTGCAGCTAAACAAAGACCAGCACAACTTCCAAGTGGTGAAAGCTGAAACCACTAAAAGAGATGGATGACCAGCCGTTGGTTCCCCGAGCTTTGCCATCGCTATTACACAAGATACTCATTCCAAAGAGCAAGGAAAATCAGTAGTGGCTAATACGGATACCAGAGGATGGCTCTGCAGAGTAGGGGAAGTCGACAGGCAAACCTGGAATGGGGCATTAAGACACAGACGGGGAGAGGAGAGCTGTTCTGGTTTTGGAGCTAGTGTAAGGGCGATCCGTCTCAGATGGGTTACGCAGTGTTGCGAACCCAGTTTAGGACACACACACTGACTTCGGAGAGGTTTGTACCGCCTCGAGGTTAAACACTTTGACCTCTGTGCAGCTTGAAGGGAGGCACCTAGAAAGACTGCATAGTAGTCACAGGACGGGGTGGGGGGGGGGCGTCCATCCCTCGAGGCTGACACGACCCCTGCCAAACCGAACGCGGCCGGTAACTACGACACAAACTTGCTGGTGCCTTTCCCGGGCTGAGGGGCGAGTCCCCAGCTGACGCCCCCACCGGCGGTAGCTGCGGCAGCGCTCTGGAGGGGAGAGCGGGAGTTTCCTCCCGGAAAAGGAAAGGAGACTCAAGTGTTTGCGGTTTTGCTTATTGTGATAATCCAATCCAAACCCTCGGATGCGGGAGCACAGCCTCGTTTATGCAGGAAAACTGGAGTCGCCTACTGCCCCAGAAGTCCTCCCCGTGACAAAAGTTCGTGATCATGGCTTTTGTAATTAAAACCCGGTCAATCAGAGGCGTGCACAAGACCGGAGGGAAGGATCCCACCGCTCCCGGCTGTGAGAAGTGAACTCCTGCTGCCGTTTCTCAGACACAGCAAATGCCAGGCCCTCTTCCCAGCGCTGACACCAAGGGCGGGCGCTGCCTGGTACCCCCAGAACACGTGGGTCCTATCGAAGGGCGACCCACCGTGGTCTCGAGTGGTTTTTTTTATTGCACTAGCCGAGCAGGACAGCACCCAAACTGTGACTCTGCACTCTGCCTTCCTTCTCCCACTCTCGTGGATGCTGTAGGAGCTATCTCAACGGGGAAGATCGAAGTTCTAGGTTCAAAGCAGTTTTTTAGTTCTTAAATTTTGACAGATCAGGCCCACGTGCAGAAAGAGAGACCCTCAGTACAGGCAGGACTACGGATCCTGAAGCTCGCTTCTCACACAAACTCACCCTGCCTTTGGGCACTGGAGAGAGACACTGCACATTAAGGTTTTGGGTTTGGTTTTTTTTTGTTTTTTTTTTTTTTTTTTCTTTTTGAAACTCCGGTTGAGAAAAAAAAAAAATTGCACTGCAATTTCTTGAAAAATCCTGCACTCTGACCAGGATCTGAGTGATCTGCCTATCTACTGCAATTCTTTCAGCTGAGGGTGGTTTTCAGTCAAATGCACTTCAGTGTAAAGTGTTCTGCAGGGTACATGCTACAGACAGAAATATCTACATTCAGCAAACTAGAACTAAATTCACACCAGAAACAGACAACAAACTAGCACAAGCAGTTGTAAAACCAGAATTGAAAGGGCTGGGTTTTCCTTTTAAATACTTGAGTTAAAAAAGTGACCTAAAACAAGATTAAAAAACCCAAAACAAAACAACGAAAACAAAAGAAAAAGTCCCTTTTAAAAACAAATCAAATATTTGCAGCTTCACTTCTTATTCTGGTAATAAAAATACTGTCTAGAAACAAAAATTAGCATTTTTAACGTAATGCTACCTCTCAAAATGTAAACAATATACAAAATGCTTATGTTAACAAAGTTACATACCTGGGTAATACATCATTAAGTGAGAAAATTGCATTTAATTACTTTAATACACACAGTATGGCAACTTGACAGAAGTGGCAGAATTGGGGAAGTGCTAAAGTGAATAGAGTTTACGGGGCTTTTCGTATCACTTGAGCCAGAGACAGCCAATTTAATTTGAGCAGGAGTTTGTTGGGAGTGGAATAAGAAAATAGAGTTAACTGCTCTTAAGCCCTTAGTATCATGACTTCTGTAAAAATTGCTGCAGGAACTAACTGCATTTTAATTTCATTCATGTTAATGAAACTCAGTGAATGAGACTGTTGCTCCTAGCTATGCAAGCTTCACTCTTCTACTTTCTTTGGGTTGTTTGTTTTGTAGTGTCTCAGTGCAGGATGCCTGCAGTTCACTAATTTCCTTCTCTCTTCCTCCCCCCCTTCTTCTCTTTTTTTTTTTTTTTTTAAATATACAATTTAAAGATAAACAGTTTAAAAGATACAAGCTAGTTTCTCAAAAGGAGAACAGCAAACTTACCAGGCCAAAGTTGCGGATTCAATGCAGATTTTTAAAACTGTCAAGAATAAAAAGTGATTGGTATTTAATTTCTAATTGATAGTAAACTTAAGTGCTTATTGTTTAAAAGAAAAGCAACCAATATAATGCCCACAAAACTAAGCTGACGATACCCTCTGTGTCCTCCCTTTTTTAAAGTGTTCTCATAGCTGCATTTGTTCTGTGGCTTTTCTAGCTACACACCTTAAGACATGAGACTCTTCAGCCTCCCAGATGACGGTGTGTTAGCCCCCACATCACACAGAACAGGGACTGGACTACAGTGGCAGAAGAAATTTGTCTCATGTCAAAGGGAATGACCCATGAGTGAATAAAGATTCATATCCCATTATGACCCCTAATATTAATTTTTGATTTCTTAAAGACTCTATTTACAGTACACTCTTATGGGCTGAAACTTTAGCCCCCGTTTGTCCCCTTCAAAGTTGAGACCTGTGGGGTTCACATTACGAATGTGGGTATGAACATAAAAAAACCCAAGCCCACATTCAGAATCCAGACCAGAGTTAGCGTTAGTCTAGGGAAATTACCAGGATGTGATGAGCACCAGTTATCTCTCAAAAGGACCAAATTCCACACAGCAAACTGTAGCACGCGTTACAGCACAGGACAGACATTCGAAACAGCTTATTCCCGAAACAAAGGCATATGTGAAAACAGTTTCAAGGCAGATAAGCAACATGTTTCAACCGCAAGAGGTTTGTTCAAAACGCTAAATCCTGCTTAAAAAGAAGAAGAAAATTAAAAAACAAACCAAAAGATCTGTAACTGTTGTGCAGCAGAGCTAACAAAACCCAAAGCAAGCCTGACAAGCTTGGCTGTGAAAAATATTACAAGCATTCTGGAGACAAAACAGGACGTTATTCAGTCACGCAAATCAGTTCCAATTCCTTAAGGGGGGAAAATAATCTGGCGCAAGTGTTCAAACATTTCCACTCCTTGACTGTCGCTCTAGAGAGGGGTATGGAGCAGAGAAGAGTAAAAACAATCACAGCTCAAGTCCTGAGTCCTCTTGAGCAGTGGAACTTGCTCCACAGTCACAGCTCCCAGCACTCCCCACTGGTAGCGAGTCCAATTCCTTCGTGTGCAAGTCACATTGCCATTTTAAAAATAAACCAACTAACCAAAGAACCTCTGTCAGGAAACAAATTCAAGTACCTGTTGCAGATTGGGCAAGTAAGGAAGACTGAACATTAGCTAGATTAACACTGGCAGAACTGCAATGTGAAGCTGTAACCTAAGAGACACGGCAATTCCTGACTGAGGTGAGACAGGGAAACGTTCCAGATAGTCAAATGCTATCCCATATCTACAGGTACAAAATTCCATCAAAATTCCTTTTTTTTTTTTCCATTTACGAAATCTTCATAGCTGGCCAATTTAAAGCACAATGGGTCCAAGCGAATTATTATCTGAGGTTGTTCAATCCCTCTACTACTTCTCACACTGTTTTTTTTTTTTAGGTTCTAGAAGTTACACCTTTTTAAGTCATCATCTTTGGTAGATGTTCATTTCCCTCATCTTTCTTGTAAATCAAGTGCAGTTACAAAAAAAGTTTTTGTTACTTAAATTAACCAAAAAATATAAAGTGTCCCAGTCTGAATTTACCTAAAGTTCAGCGACTCCTCCTTATCAGAATAATATTTTCTGTCCTTGAAATGGTGAGCTATTTTCCTTCCAATTCCTACCAAGAGGGAAATAAAAGGGCTTGTGTGTCTTTCTGGTAAAGACAGTCCAATAAAAAAAAAAAAAAAAGTAGTAGTTTGTGGAATCAGGCACTGCTTTACTCCCACTGAACGTGATCTAGAGCGACCCCTTTATACAGTGCCACATATCATATCCCTATGGGATTCTCTTGATCAGAGAGGAGAAAATGTCATTAGAAAGAGCAGTGCTGAAACAATGCACTTTTCTTGTTTTAAAAAGCCCTCAAATCTATGTCTGGGCACTTCTGTAACATAAAAACCCACTTTTCCGCCTGGGTCAAGTGGACTGTTGGAGGGTGCACCTAGAATTAGTTTTCTCTGAAGTCACACAGTGCCACACACTCACTCTTGCACACACACACGCACACACACATGCACACCCCACATGCTGCTACAGTGTCTGTTTTAGTGTCACAGGCTGCATTCTCTGTTTGGAAGTAGCCCCTCTTCATTTCTTGCTGAAGGCTGAAGACGACTATGTCAGGATATTGGAGATAAATTCATTGAAGCGTTTAGAGTACTGCTCTGGGTTCACGGTGGAGATCTCTGCCCCAGCCTGCAAGGCAGAGAGGAGAGACAAGTCACAACACCCTCCTCGAAGGGCAGACCCTGCAGCACTGCGAAGGGTGGAGGTGGGAGGACAGAAGGGAACGATCAGCACAGCCTGTCTCTGCCAGAAAAGACCCGTAACAACTTGCAAGTTCTAAGAAAAAAACAACATCCAGAGAAGACTAGAGAAATCCCCGAGGAAACTGATTTTAGCACCAGCTGGATTTTCTGCAGACCACTGAGTCAAAGCATTGGATCTATTCCCTCATGGTTTTGAAGAGATTTCGGAGGAGCATGAAAAACTCCATGTCCCACCAACCCGGGCTTTTTTCAAGCCCTTTTGCGAAGTTCAAGACTGCTGTCAGGGAATGGGACTGGCCCCAGGAAGGGGGCAGGGTAGTATGTCTCCCTGCAGCCAGTCCATTCCTGCCCAGTGAGGCCAAGAGCTGTCCTGGGGCATGGGATCACTGAAGAATTTCCATACTGGTAAAAAAAAATCAGCGTCAGGAGACATCACACACACATACGCAGGCATGCAGGCAAAGCAAAAGCCCCAAAGCCCATCCTCCCTCTGGGTGACAGGCTGCTTACCCCATGTTTCACTGTTTTGGCAGCATGTGCAGCTTTCTTCTTCGCATCATATGGCGTAAGAATGTCTATAATGGCCATGAAGTACACTTCCTTCTTGGGGGCACCTAGCAAGGCAAGAGAGTCGCTAGCACACCCTGAGCTGTGAGCAAAGCCCGGCTGCACCCCCCTCCTTAAGAAATATATGGCAGATCTGTTTTGATGCAACTAGCAGAGAAAGCAAGGCAGCTGGAGGCTGCAGAAGGGCAGAGAAGAATGACTGGAAACAGCCCACCAGAGGCCCACACGCTCTCTGAACATGCCACTACTCTCCAAGCACCATTTCTACCCATTCCAACTCACACCATCCACAACAAGGGACTGCACAGCAAAGGAGACACTTGGCAGGGTCTCTCTCTCTCTCTGTGGACAGTCCTCCCACTCCATTTAGCCCAGCCAGACCACAGGACACCTCCTCTGCCCTCCAGAACTTCTTCAGGGCAATATTCCATGAATACTCACTTTCGTGGCTTTTCATGGCATAGACGTCGACAGAAGGATCGAACTCTCCAGGCCCAAAGAAGCGAGGGTAGTTGAGGAGATTGCCAGGGCTGTCAGGGGGTGTGCCATAGGAGGAAATGGGGTTGCCTCCGAGACCATCATTCTCACACTCCTCATCCTCTGCCCGATCCTCCACTTCCATCTCTTCCTGCTCTGCTCGGTCAACATCGTGGATCCCAACCAGCAAGCTGTAGTCCATAATCTTCAGCTGAGCTAAAAACTGGGAGAAAGAGATGAGTGAGAACAACAGCATCCACGTGAAATCAGAAATCCTCAGGCCTACCCTGCTAGTATCTCCCTAAGAAAAGGCTGTAGTGAGAGCTAAGCCCTTATTAGACTCTGGAGAATCTACACATGAGGTCATATGCCCCCCTGCCATCAGCATAATCCTGACTGTATTTGCTTGTCTGATCCAGGAATCGCTTGCTTTTCAGTCACTGCTGCACCCCTTGAGCCAGAGGCCACAGCGAGGATGCAGTTATGGGAAACATAAGAGTAAAAGCTGTCCCCCAGGAAACTCTACCTCCACGTCCCGCTTCAGCTTTTCAAGAAAGTTCTTTTTACTCTCTTCTCCAACATGCAGCTTCTGACCCTCATTCAAGAAGTCGTTGTCCTTGAACGTTGGTAGATCCTTGGCCTGCAACAAAAAGTCTGTGTCAAATTCCCCAAGCCCCTACTTCTTGGGGGAGGAGTGGTACATTGATGCATTAGTGATATGTTAACTGCACAGAGCCTCTGATCGAATGTGGGGTTGCACCAGGATCTTCTGCCCATTTATAAGGTGAAACGGCTTATCCTGTCCACTATGTATGAAAATGGCATCAGGCAGAGCACAGTATTTGTCAATGAATCCATGTGCTGAGCTGTACACCTAGGGGGAAGCTGAAGGGAGACAGAGAGAGCAATTCAGCTTTACAGACTTCTGGGAAGATGTGCTGCAAGCTGAAAGCTGGACACCTAGGCTCCAGCCAGAGATGGTCCAACCAGCTCCCAGAAAAGAAATGCATTTTGTTGGCTTCTGACTGAGAGGAGGGGAAGAGGTGGGGGTGTGAAAAAAATTGCTTCTTTCCCTAAAGGCTTGAGGAAAAAATTATAAGCACTGCTTTCTGAGGAATCTGCTTGCAGCAGGCCCTGAGGATTTCTGAGGGATATGGAAGAAGACACAATCCCTTTGTGCAGCTGGGAATTAAATTATTTTCTTAGAATGCCATATGAGCGTGTGGTAGCTTTATATAGATCTAATATGAATGGTCTGAGACAAACTGCATAAGCAGAAAAAGCAAGAGAGTAAACAGCCAGCAAGCCAGGGACACTTGGGCACGATGAAGCCGTGCCTTGACGCCAGAGCATCCGGCGTAAATGGGAGTTCCTTGGCTCATGCCAAAGATCTAATTTTAGGGCAGGCTGGAGTAGACTTACTCTGCGGTCCCAAACCTGAAAATCCCATGTGCATGTGCAAAACATGTAACACCACAAGTTACCGCTGTGATTTCAACAGGTCTTTTCATGGCAGCATCACAGCCAAAATTCTACAGGGGCAGGATTCTGAGTCATAAATTTCCCTAATGGCACCAGAAGCCAAACTTACAAAGTTGCTGGGATATGCCAAGAATCTGAGAGGAGCTGGTCTGGTTTATAAAAGCACCTGTTGCAAAAGCTAACTGCTGACCTGACTCGGTTTGGTACACAGGGAGAACAATGAAGAAATCCTTCCATAAAGACACCATTGCACTAATGTGGGTTTTGATATTTGTGGCATTGCCCCCCCAAGAAGTTCCCCCAACTCCTGGTAGTGTCAACGTAACAGAGCAGGGCAGGGCAGCACCAGATCTGCACCATCTCTTCCTGAGCAGTTACTGGGTACAGCCTGAAAGGTGGGACAGAAACAGGTTATAACTCAGGGCCCATTCAATATCCCCTGCTCAATATCTCTTTGGAAAAGGGAAGTCAGTTGGATCCCATCTGATTCCAACCACCAGCAGGAAGTAAAGGCTAGCCAGGGATGGTCCATACCTTCTCTTTATCGCTTGCTTCCCTGGATACTGTTGAGCCCTGATAAAAGAATAAAGAAAAGAGCATTGTTGCACTATGTGCCATATTCCCAAAGAATTCACAGACACCATTAATTCCTCCATGCAGAAAAAGAACAAAAGTATTTTTTAAATCAATGCTTGAACACTTTTTCATGCCTGAGATAGGCTTACAGATCTATCTGGTGTAGTGTAGGCCACGTGGGATAGAGGAACGGAACACTACTTGAGCCTCAAGTGAAGCTCCACCCAGAGCCCCCAAAACCTAATCCCCTGAACAAAAAGCAAAACCCAGGACCTTGTCAAGCAGGTGTCACAAAGACTAACTTCCCCGCTCCTGGAAAAGGAGCTCTCGGCTCCATGTCTGCCCTCCAAACCCTCACCTTCAGGTCGTATTTCCGGTGCACAGTCAGCCTGTGACTAAATACGTTTCTGGTAACCACCATGTAAGTCTCTACTCCGTCCACGGTGAGCCGGTACATGCCAAGGAACTGGGGCAGGAGGGTGTTCCCATGACACTCCACTATGAACTGGAGGAGAGCAGGGAAGGGAGGGCAGAGACAGACAGTACTGTTACACAAAACCGATCTCTGACAGAACACAAGCTCAGCAAGGTGATAGTGAAACCTCCAGTTCCAGTCATCTGACACCGATGTGAAAGGAAAGGAGGCTTGCAAATGGCTCCTAGGGTCTCAAGAAAAGCAAGCTAGGGCATCATAAGAGTCTTCCAGCCCTGAGCTGAGAAAGAGCATCCCAATTCTGTATGCATGCCCAGCCTGCTGTAACAGGCTAGGTGTGAGTGTCCGTCAGTCTCAGTGGGGTGAGTCTGTTGGTGGCACTGGCTAACTTCATTTCTAGTGGTTACACGAGTGTATCTGAAAGTAAAGAACAGATGGACTGGCAGATAACGTGGACCAGGGTAGAACATTTCCAGTTGTCCCACTTTTCTGCCCCCCCCCCTTCCCTGCTGCATGTAACTGTCTCCTCCCTGGGCCCTCTGGAAAGTTTCATTCAAAGGATTGAATTAAGAGCATGTTTACAGATCTCAGGTACCAGCGATCCATAATTCATTGATGTAAGGAACAGGGTGAGCTGTGAAGGGGCTCAGCACTGCAAGAAACAGCCAGCTGTGCCATAATTGGCTTTCAGACTCTAAGGAATGCTGTTTTCTTCCGCAAAAGCTATTTGCAAGCTCTACCAGGCTGCACACTGTGAATCCAAGCTCCAGTTCCCCAGCAAATCACAAGATGCTCCCCAAGGTGTTTGCCACCTCCCTTCCCAGGGTTCCAGACTCACCGTACCTGATGGTACTTCTTTAAGATGTTGTGCATCTCTGCTACATCCTCACTCGACACTGCCTTAATGACAAACCTCCTGTCGTAGGTGGTGAGGAACCGGGCCCCGCATCGGCCCTGGCTGTCACTGTTCACCGGGGCACTTCGTGTCACTGAGTTCTGAGGGAACCAGAACAAAAGAAGTGGGGAGGAGAAGCAGAAGCTGCCACCTCCCTGGAGAAGAAAGAGCAGTCTTGGAAAGCAGATGAGATATGGGTGACCAGGGCCAGCTCCACAGCCTGGCTTCAAAACAATAGACATCCCAGGGACTCTGTGCTCCACCTTCGTAACTGTGAGAGTGTCCTGGCCAAGCTCCAGAGCACACTTGCAAACACACTCGAGTCGTGACCGTTAATAAGCAAGCATCCTTGAGTGTTCAGCACTACTGAGGTTAACCCAATTGTTTAGAAGTCTGGACACGGAGTTTAGAACTTTCATCTGGGCCTCCTATTTGTTTACATGTTTTATTCCAACACCTGGCATGCATTTTTGAAGATTTTTTTTTTTTTTTTTTTTTTACTAAGAGGTTTTTAAAGAATCAGTATACACAGGCCAAGACTTCTTAGCATTTCCTCCTGGAAATTTCAGAACAGTCAAGATATTTCCAAGGTTTAAGGAAAAACAGAACAAAATGAATGAAATGGCCTGCCTTCTTTTCCATCAAAATGCAGCCTAAACTGGCAAAAGTCTCATTGTTTGGGAATTCTTTACAGGTCATCCTGAAACCAAAAGCCACCCTCAGCCTCTGCTATTCTTAAAATTGGATGAAAAAGACTGTGAGTATAAATAGCTTGGGTTTTCTTCCGACAACCAGCAGCATCTGTCTTTATATCCCTGTCTCCACCCTTAGCAACGAAATATTGCAGCTTCTTTTCATACTTGCAGCACAATTGGAAAATCCCAAGCAAACTGCAGAGCAAGTATCTACCATGACCCCCGAAGCCCCAACACGAGCTCTTTGTTCTGATGCCTCTCCCCAGGCAGGGAGACTTGCTATGAGCCTCATCCCACTGTTAGAGCCACTGCTCTTCACACCTTCCAGACTAAGCCAAGAAGGTCACCAGTCTCCTGTTTGTTTCCTTCATCACTTCTGAGCAACCGCCTTCCGACGCCACCAGCCCAGTCACCCATGTTTGTTCAGAAGCCATTTTGTCAACCAACAGCACAGGCTCTCACGAGCACTTCCTTGCCACTGATGCAAGCAGATGGAAAGAGCTGAGAGTTGTGCCCTGAAATACAGTGGTACTGACACCTGGACAGTGGTCTTTAGCTCAAGGCAGATATGTCTTTCAGGATCTCAGGGCTGGAGAATGCATTTCATGATGAATTTTTGTAGCTGCTAGTTACACTTCTCTCCTTCCCTCAGCTCTCTGAAGAGCAGACAGCAGAGGGAGCCTGCTCTTCTGCAGACACAGACACGCAGGCAAGCAGAGCCTGCTGTGAAAGAGGGATTTACCATGTCACGCTGCAAGTGAGCCGAGAGGTTTCCTTTCAGAATGAAGCATTTAAAGCTTTTAAAACTTTAATGAAGCAGGGGAAAAACTCTACTCCTGCCAACGGCTTTAGAAATTGTCAAGAAAATAAAGGCAAACAAAAAAACCCCCTTGCTTCTTGCTGACATTTGCAAATGAGTCTGTGCTACAAGATTTAATCACCCCTCACCTCAAAACCACAGCACTTTTCTTCTAGAGAAGATGGGAAGCAGAAATTGTGACCACATGTGGACATTACCAAATTTACAGCCTTTAGGTTTACTTCATTCCCTTCCTGTTGCTCCCACCTCTCGCACAGTTCAGGTGTTATATTTAGCATTCTGGCTTGCTTCCCACTCAAGCCATCACATTTTACCCACCTGAATCTAGCTCAATTAGTGTTTTCTACTTTCTGTTCCAGGTGGACATTTTTAAAGAGCCAAACTGCTCTAGCCCAGAGATGGGAGAAGTAATCCTTCAGAGCAACAGGTAAAGTGTAAATTACAAACCAGGTACTGAGAACCAGCAAGATTGTGGGTGCTTCTATGTAAGTTACTTCACATAGTTCTCATCATTTCTTAAAAGAAACAGGAAAAACAGAATTCTAAAATATACTACAGTGGATGCACTGGAAGAAAAAGTAATTAGGAGCTAATGATTTCACTGCATGCAAGTACGTTGGAGGGTACAGAGGAAGCCAGCACACAGTTTCATTCCCTGGTACAGCCGGCCCCAGGGGCAGGGTGTTGCTGGCCAGGCAGTCTCCTCAAGAGCCATACACAGCCTGGCATGAGCTACTGTCAACAGACCAGGAGGCAATGGTGCTGCTTCTCCTGGCAAAACGCCACCGCTGCCTACAGAACAGGCCTGACGGTAGGAGGGAAAAAATAAAATTAATAATCTAACAGGCATGTGCTCACGAAAAGCATGGACTGAGCAGCCGTGTCCTGAAAAGGAAAGAGATCTTCCATCCCAAGCAGGAGAGATCTGTGTGCGCAGCTCATGGCTCACAGGTAACTGCAAGGCGCTGAGCACACACAGGCGTGATGAACACCACTTTCCTCCTAAGGCTGGGCCGAGCTCTATCTCCGACAGCAGACAGGCAGTCACCCTGACAGGAGCTGCGACAGGCAGCCGGGAGGCAGCAGCCGGCATTTACTATTCCTCCCGGGGATGGCCGGCCCCTTGCAGAAGAAAAGCAAAGACGGCTGTCAGTTCTGCTCAAAAAACGTGTCTCACTTCGAGCAAACACCCTCGGAGTGCCCAGCATGCCTGAGAACAGACAGCAGAGTAGGATGAGCCCTGGCAGCCAGGAGAGAGGCAACCGGCAGTTATACAAAGCAAAAAGCCCCAAATATCGATCCCGGTATCCTCAGAGGTCACGAGGGACCAGCGGGCTTCCCCCTGGTCTGGGAACAAAGGGAAGGGATGCAGGTGCTGCACATCTGCTCCTTGACTCATACCACACGAGACCAGAAACTGGATCAAGTAGATCCAGTGTCTCGCCAGTGCAATAAGCCACGCAGCTGGAGTAAGAAGACGGATCTTTTTGTTCTATTAACCTTGAAACAGGGCAAGATCAGGCAATAATCTAGATATAATCAGGGAGAATTCTGACACGTTTGGGGAGGGCGTATACACAGACATATGTGGAGATGGGCACACACACTACCAGAAGGAAGCAATTTGGTGGGATTAGAAGGAACAGCTCTCCTCCCACCTTCTCTCCCCACAACACAGGCAGCAGGGAGCGTGGCTGGGCTTGTACGTGAAGCAAAGAAGGGAGAGAGCAAGAAGCTTGCTCCACTCACCCACCGCTCCAGTGCTAACGTGCCTCTCCAGGCTGGCAGATTCCAGAGAGTATTTTAGTTGAAGCTCTTGACCAGTCAGTGCTGGCGCATCGCCAGCCTTTATCAACTGCAGCAGCGTGCCAAAGATACCGGGTTTAATTACCTGACACTCGGCCTGCTAAAGGCCACGCAGCTATCAAAGCCACCCGCTTTTTCTGCGCTGGCTTTTCCCTCATTTAAGAGGTCTCTAAGCAGCCTGGTACTACACATCCCTTGCACGCATGAGACTAAGAGCTGTGTGTGGAAGGGTGGCCCTGCTGTAGCAGTGAGAGTTGCGACATCTCTCTTTCGCCGGATTTAAGCCCAGCAGTATTAAGACAAGAAAACATCTCTCCCTTCCAAGGCAAGTCCAAGCCTTAGGGCACACGTCCCAAAGCCGCAGCCACCTTGATAAACCCAATTCAACAGCACCAAAGCCTGGCACAAGCATTTGGTTAAAGCAGCACCCAAATCTGTAAAAACAGGAGAGACTCATTTTTCTTGCAGATGTTCTGCACTAGATCATTGTTATCCCCCAGCTCCTGTCTGTTTGCAACCATCTGCTGCCTCTTGTTTTATGCCTAGACTGTAAGCTCGCTGGAGCAGGGACCATCTTTTCATTCTGCAGTTGTCCAGTGCTTGGCACAGCAAGATCTACTCCATTGCTGTGGGCCCTTAGGGTTATGGTAAAACCATTCAAACTATGATTATAAACCCATAAAAACTGACCACACAAGAATGTTGGCATCACAGTTTCTCCGCCAGCTTGGTTATTCTGTCCTAGGGAAAGGCGTTAGAAGGGCAGGGAGGGAAGAGACAGTACCTGGTAGTCCTGATCATCAATCCCAAATCTTTCTCGGAGGTTTCGGAACACCAGTGGACAATACTCCTTAAATTTAAAGCGACTTGGCAAGTTTTCCCTAGGGCAAAGCAGAACAGATATTCTTGTGCAATGATCAGCTCGTGAAATCAAACTCAATTCTTCTCCCACTTCACTGCTAGCCCTCCAGGATATCCAAGCCCCCTCCCACCTACAAGGGCACTATTCTGCAAGTATTTACCCTCATTAGTGTAGCTTGTTTCTTTGGATGCCCACAAGAGTAATCTGTTTATAGAAATGCTTGCAGGATCCAGCTTTTGGCTAACAGGCTCTTTGGATGAGGATGCCTGTCTTACAGAACAATCTCCCCTGTCACAAGCACAGATTTGACAGAATAATTTCTCTCTTTCCTTCTCCTTTGTTGCTTTGTTCTGTTCAGTAACACAGCTGCCCCCTGCAACACACTGTTACGGTTTAAGATGAAAAGCGTGAGGAAAGTGGCGGGGGGGGGGCTCTGATTTCAGATCAGATCAGATCACTCGCATGTCAAAAGAAAGGCCAACACACGACAAACCATCTCATCCAGAACGCAAAGGAGAGGGGAATCAGCTCCAGTCTGGCATGTTCCAGACCTGTCCCAACTGCTACAGAGGGAGCTGTGCTGCCAGGCCTTGCCAGCCAGGTATGGGGCCTCCCTGGAACACACCACAGCAGACAAGAGACGGCATTCCCCATCGCTGAGGGATGCTGCACCTACTCCCTGCCAGAGCTCTTATTCTGCCCAGTGGGAAGAAGCAGAGAGGATGGCCCTGCTTGGACACAGTGGGAGATTTTGTCAGCTCATTCTCAATGAGAATCCTTTGCACCAATACGTGGGAAACTAAAATCTATGTAGGATAAGAGGGAAGAGAAAATACTGCAAATTGTAGGTGCCAGAGAAGACAAACTTTTGAATCACACTCCCACTCTCAAAAGCTGATCCCTGTGAAACTTAGTGAAAACGAAGCATTAATCAGGGAGCACTGCAGACCTGCACGCACACAGAACCAGGGCAGAGAACACAGCTCTGAGCATCAGTCACAACCACAGCTTTGGAAGGGCTTCCAAAAATTGATCTTTTGGGAAAAGGAGAAGGGGGTAACTCCATGCAAACCCCATGGGTCAGGGCTATAATGTAGGTTCACAGCTGTCTCCTGCGAACAGTCTCAGAGAGACAAGGAACCTAGCAGGTCACAGAGAGAAATCTCCTGCCCTCTCCTCTGTGGTCTTGGGATTTGGGTTCTGCTGCTCAGGACAGGACAACCAGACAGGGCAGAGCAGAAGTCAAGGGACAGTCCTGCATCACTTTTGTGCACAACCACGATATGCAGCAAACTCCAGCCCTAGGGCTTTGGACAAGTTACACTTTGTGAACTCTAAAATACTGTCTTCTACCCAGGCCAGTGAATATCTGTGTGTAACTAGCTTTGCAGTAGTGCCACTTCTGAGCCTGGCATTCCAGACTTCTCATCGCTCAGAGGATATAAATTAAACCACAAGACAGCATCTCAGTGACAGACTGACCCCCCGCCATGTCCTGTTGAGTGGTCTGGGCAGGGTACAGACCTGAGGCATGTGTCCAATCATGCCAGATCCTCTTGGCATTACACCAGGGAACCAACCAAAAAGCGTTCACCATGCCAGTCTCCCCCACAGCAAAGAGCTCTAATTACAGATACAAACAAGTTGGGAAGTATCTACTTACTTGTTGAATAGATGATTGTCCACCTTAATCTTACTGTAGGCTTTAAAGTCATCAGGCATTAGCATGACAGGGACGGGAACATTGCTGAGTTCGTTGATCTAAAAGAGAAAGGAAACAGAGACTCAAAACCCAAGTTCCACTGCCCTGCAGTTACTGTCAATGGACTTATGGGGATGTCAAATATCCCAGAAGCTGCTTTTGAAGGAATATAACCCATCAGACTTTCAGAGCAACTTGCTGTGCTGAAGTAAACTGGAGAACACTGTGGTTACAAGCCACAGAGGCATCTCATTCAATCACGTGGTGAGTACTGCTGAGCCAGCCTCAGCTTTTTCATCTGTTCACTTTCCACTGATCATCCAAGATACAGATTAGAATCAAGACAAACCTACAGACCAAGAAATAACAGATTTTATGTTTTAAATAAATCACCTTTGCCTTTATTTAGGAAATGTTGCATCAGCCAGTTTCTTAACTAGTTCTCACTGTTACAAATCACAGATGACCAAAGTCTTTAACATGGCCAGTCGGAACAGACCCTGGGTAGCTTTGGTGCAGCACAGCACAGCTCCCCTGTGGATGCTGTTTCTATGCTTGCTGTCTCTTGTTGCTCTTATCCCACCTTCTCTAAAGGGATGAGTCACTCCACTAGATTGTTTTTGCTCCTTAGTCATGTGTGGCAGCCACAGGGATACAGGGAAGCAGAAGAATGAACGTTCAGCTACTATTGTACAGACAGGCTCATCCTATAGCACCCAGCAGCGAAATCATCAATAGTTAAAAAAAAAAAAAAAATCCACCTCCAGACTATATCTGGCTACCCTGCTCCAGACAAGCCCATGCACTGACAAGGCTGTGCCAGCGATCAAGAGCAGGTCAAGAGGCAGCACGTTTCTGAGCTGCCTTTTCTGAGGATGGCCCCAGTGTCATGCATTCACACGGACTTCACAGGAATCACACGAGTCCCATCTAATTGAACTGCTATTAACATGCTGGATTTAGGAAGCAATTTCATTACAACTCCATTCCCATAATTACTGTGCCAAGCAGGTAATGCTGGAGAGAAGCAAACAACACTGGCAACGGCAGCGTTTGGCTAGGAGTCAGGCCTGGGGTCTGTTCCCAACACCAAAACCTCAGGCAGGTCAAGTGACTTCCAGCACGCTTGGAAGGCACGCAGCAGCTCCCGGCTGACTGGGAGCAGGGTCCAAGCTGTGTCAGCCTGAGGAAATGGACTCCAGCTCCGGGATTCCCCGCTCCTTGCGTGCAACAGGACACACAATACTGTCCAAATCGCTGCTGCCACATCTCCAAGGAGGCGTGAGGGAGCTGTGCTGCAGTGGGATCTGTGGCACAGTTCAGCTCTGCAAGGACAACGGAGGCCTCGGCTCTGGAGATGTGCAGTGAGCTGTCTAATTATATGAGCAAGCCTTTGATGAAGTATGTATTTTTCACATCCTTTCTCCATCATTACCAATGAAAAAAACAGACCAGATTTAACAAACGTCAGACTGGAAGAAAGACACACACACACACACTGCAAAGAGAAAAGATGACTATTTTCAGAGACACTCATCCCACACAACAGATAAGCGGAAAGTAAACCGGCCACCGCTCCGTTAAGAGCGGAGATGCTGCTCTTTAAAGCCCTGCCCAGTATTTACTTTATAGCAGCACCCGAGGAGCATTAAGCACTCCCATAAAATGCTTTGGGATGTATGCAGAATACTGCACAGATGAATGAATAAATAATGTCACATGCCTCCCATCATTTGTGGAGCAGGGAGACCAATAAATACCCCCCAGCTTAAGTTAAAGGCTTGATCCTGCATTGAGCCACTCTTCAAGCCACAGCTGAAAGAGAGGAAAGGCCAGAGGACCACAGTGAGGAAAGGATCTCCCAGATCCTGGTGTCCAAGCTACTGCAGGGAGCTGTATCAGAGCCCCATGCAGTGATTTCCCCTCAGGGTGAAGTGGGGGGGCAGGGGAGAGAAAACAGCTAATTCTATATGAAGAAAGAGGCACTGCCTCCAGCCACTAATTATTGCTGTCTAACAGGAGGGGAAGCCCGACAGCACAGCTCCTTAGACACGCCTGTTCTCAGCCCTCTTCTCGATGGTGGGTAAGGCACAAACAAGCTATTATCAGCTTGTTCCAGAGCGGAGGAAGGGTGCTGACGGCTGAGAGGGAACAGCGATTTGGAGATTGTCTCCCCCCTGCCAGAAATTCAGACACAAACGTTCACAAAGTGAGATGTCAAGATGTCTCTGGTTGTCCTCATTTCTGCCAAAGCAGAAACCTCAAAGCAAATGTTGTACCTGTTGCGACTCTCCTGACTGGCAAAAATGGTGCACCAGGATACCTCGCCTCATTTAAACGATACCCTCACTCTTCCCAAGATACAACAGCCTGACAACAGCCCGAAAAATCACCCCCTGCGGAAGCCTTTCCCCACTTCCCGCTGCATACAGCAGAGTTTTCTGGATGTTTTGGGATTCCGGCACTGGAGGAGATGGGGAAAAGGAACGGGTTCGTGCAGGGGACCAGCACTGACAGCCTGCCCTCCACTGCACAAAGCAGCTCTTGGTCAGATGGCTACTGGGCCTTTGTTCCTGACACCAGTCTGAAAGCAAACGTGATTTTGGTTAGGTTTTCTCTTTGTTTGGTTTTTTTTTTTTAATTATGTGTTTCTTTTTTAAGCAAGAAGGACATGCACCGTGTACTCCCACAGTAATTCCTGTGCTTGACACTTCCCTCAGGATGCCAAAGGGAGAGGAATGAAAAGCCCCCTTGGAAAAGGGATATTCTAAGCCCTCCTGTCTCACAGTACCATCTTCAGCATCCAGTTCCCCTTCCTAAGGCTTATCGGGCCAGGTCCTGCAGCACGGTGCCAAGTGAAACAGTAGGAGACCTTGCCCAAACGAAAGCAGCAGACAGCACCACTCTATAGGGATCCTCTCCTGTGCTTATCATGGTGGAATCTGAGCAGCCTCCGAGAGCAACGTGACTAACGCCTGGCACATGTTTGCTCTCTCGCCTTCTCCCCAGGGAGAGGCGTGTAGCAGGAGATTATATATAGCAGAGTGTGTGTCTCTGTGTATTTATGCTACAGAAGGCAAGGTCACAGCAAGGTGCATAGCAATGAGGTGCCCAGCAACCCCTGGCTCCTAGGGAGCCCGTTCCCACGGGTCTGACCAGCCTGTCTCCCACAAAGAGATGTCACCCAGCTATAGAAAGTTTGCCTGTACGTGGAGCTTTGGAGATCTCTGGGGCTGGTGCTGGCCACAAGATGGGCAGGCGAGATCTTGGACTCGGTGCTTTGTTCTGGAAGAGGCAGCTGCAGGGAGCAGGGGTGCAGCAGCAGACAGCACCGCAGTCACACACCTCGGTCCCTCACCGCAGGGGCCAGGAGCTAATTTTGAGAAGCACAGCCACTGAGAAGAGCAGGTCCGTGCTGTACAGCAGTCTGTGCCTGGGGTACTTCCACACCTCCACTAAAAAGGCTTTAGAGGTCCCCAAAGTAGAAAAAGTTAAGAATGGCTAATATAGAGCACAAGCTCTTCAGCCCAGGGATCTGTCTCCAGACCCTGCATGATGCTGGTTTTCTGTAAGGCATCCAGCTTTTTAGACCTAATCTGCCTTTGAATCCTCTTGAAAATAAGCCCCTATTTTTGCACGGTCCTCTTATGATGTCAGTTTTCTATTCCCCCACTGGGTAGGAAGCACAGACAACCTGACAGGGACCAGTCCCGGCTGAAAGCACCATTAAGAAGTACATTTTGCCACTGCCACCTGCATTTTGGAGAAAGATGTAAGACACTGGTCCTGCCCCTCCCCAGGCCAGAGACAGCGTGAGTGCCGCACACCCGTCAGCCTCACAAAAGGCTCAGACACACACCAGGCTCAGAGGCTCTCAGTGGAGCTCAGAGGGTTTAAAACCAAGATACATTTTAGACAAACCAATGGACATCTTCACAAGGCAACAGCAGGGGCACTAAGGAAGAGATGCTTCACATTTCTCTGGTGGTTTCACCGTATTCTGAGAACAATGGAGCAATTTCCCAAGCAAGGCAAGCAGCCCAGTCTGTCCAGAGGTCACCCCAGCAAGGAGAGAGGTAAGGCAGCAGATTGCCCAGTGTGTCAAAACAGCGTGATCCCAGTCAATGCCGTAGAGGGAAAAGCAGCCAGATGCCACTGAAGGAGGGACCAGGGGTCAGGGCATCAGCAGTACGTGAGGGAGAGAAGATCCTCATCTCTCCAAAGCCGCAACCGTCACTCTCCTCTTCCATTTGCCCAGCAGCCAGAGGAACAGCAAGCTCAGCTCCGCGCTTTCTCCAGCTCCCCAGCCAGCAGCTCTCCCCTTCCCCCCCGCAGGAGCAGTGAGGCCCTTCGTCCTCAGTCAGCACAATTCATTTTTGCCTACGCCGCTGAGAAGTCTACAGCCACCCCTGCCCTTATAGGGCTGGAAAAATACCACCTCCTCTCTGTCCGTTCAGCTTTGATTTCCTGGTCACTTGAATTCTTGAGCAACACCAGTCAGTATGATTCTGGGTTTATTGGTAGTTGATAATTTGTCTTCCCAAGCAAAGCCAATTCCTTTTTCAATAAGACACATCAATATTCTGTGTCATTCAGGGACAGCTGTTAGAACGAATAGGCCAGGCATAATTCTGTTTCAAAACCTGACTGGAGCCTCGAAGTGGCAATTACCATTAGTAAATTGATGGGAAAATGCAATTTGTTTACTAACAAGATCCAGATGATGGAGTATGTGAGTCTACTCTCTAGGATTCTTTACAACAGGAATCTGCTCAGGAAAATAAAAATACTTTGTTCCTCTCAAAACCTTTCAATCAGGCATCTCAAAGTACTTTGTGAGCATTAGCTAAACTTCATAATACTCCAGGGAAGCAGGTAAAAGACACATAGCAAAATCACTTTAACTAGCATGGAGACAAATCCACATCTGCAGCAAAACTTTGCTTACCACAGTACAGCAACTGGGTAATGGTTTGAGAAAAAAAAAAAACAAAACTGTTTTCCATGAATTAGAGCATGATTAATCAGTATCCAAGCTAACAAAACCCCCATGCAATGCTATGGAAGCGTGAATCTTGTAGTCAATAATTTCTATCAGCGCTCTGGGGACACCGGCATGCTTTAAGAGGAAAAAAAAAAAAGCATCCCCTAGTGACAGTGAACCCACCTCTTCCCGACCAAAGTACTTCGAAGCCTGCTAGAAAGGACTCCTGTGTCCTGACAGAGCTGCAGCCCAACGCTGCATCCCAGGCAGAGGAATCAGTCAGTGCTCCCCTGCTGTCTTGCCAGCGCAGGGTGGCCTGTCGCCCATCGCGTCACCACGGCCTCAGGGCCACTGGAAAGCATCTGTCCTCCCAGTCCACTGGCAGGTAGGCAGAGCTGTCGCTTCCCTTGGCTCAGATAAAAGCTGAGGAATGGAAAAGTTCAACCACCTACCCACGGCCACACGAGTCAGTGGCAGAGCAGGCAACTGAGCCCCATTTTCCTCACTGAACTACCCAGGAAAACCTTTTCTTTTCATGCCCCAAGAAGGAAAAGGGCTCCTCGAATCTCTATTTTAACAGGAGGTCCTGGGAGAAGAAGGTTCAGAGCCACTGGCCTCGACCATTAACATGGGCTATCATGGCCATCGCCATATGCTGCACTCTCCAGAGGTCAATTAGAGCCACAGCAGACAGCAAGTACTGGAAAGGACAAATACATGCCATTTACCCTGTGCCAGGACCAATTTATAGGACTTCAACATCTGATATGTGGCAGATGCTGCTCTGGCTAGAATTAACATGGCAACACCAAAAACAACACTGCAGAGAAGGGAGAAGCGTGCTGCAAATCCCAATTTTGCTATTTCACTTGAATACTAAATAGCTGTGTTTTGTACTGGCTGGCACCACTCCTAAAGGTCCTAGGAGATCAGCTGGTGCTTCAGCCAGTAATGGGAGCCTCTGGAGCACAGGAGGCTGCCTCAGGCAAGATCCACACAGCCAACAGAAGAGATTTACCCATTTCCACAAAAACGGGATTTGTTTATGCCTACCCCCTGCCCCTGCCAACATCCACAGAGCCCCAGGGATCATTTCCAGTTGATGAACTGCCACCTAGAGAAGCACCATCCCAGCCCGTATGACTCGACTGTTCATTTAACAAACAGATACAAGAGTCACCTCTCCAACAACCCCCCAAACTCACTGGGATCCCAGTGCCTTGTATAATCAGCACCTTACAACCGTTTCTATGGTTTCCAGAGCATCACACAACACTGCCGTGTTCATCTTACTGTTCAGTGCGAGATGGCTTCTCCCTTCCAGAACCATCACAACTTTCCCTCTGCCGCTGGCAAGCTCCCATGCACACGCGTCCAGCCAGGGTGTGGAGAATGTGCACGGAGCAACACACACAGAACCAACACCGAGGAGCTGCATCTCCTCTTCCAACGCCATGACAACAGCAGTCACAAGCAAAGCCTCCCCGGGAACCATCTCCACGTCTGCTGAATTTTATATTGCCTTACAGAAAACTCAGAAATCAAGGATGAGCCTCTGTGACTCCACTTTCTTCTCCTATCTGAGTTCTCCCCTCCCCTCCATGGCTTTCTAGTTCAAAATTTAGCTGACGGACTAAAACCACCCACTTTTGGCCCTGCTTACACCAGCCCCACCCCGATCCTGATTCACTCAGTTTAAACACTGGCTGGGGACCGCCGGGACAGCCAAGACCCTGCTCGCTATTTAAACAGAAATGCTCAGAACTGGTGTTCCAGAAACCAGTTCCTGTTCTTGGTGTGCTAACATCCTTGCTCCTGATCCTCTCCAGACCCATCACTGCCTGTACTCACACCAGCTGCTAACAAGCTTGTTTAAACACAAGGCAGGGCCGAACTGTTGCCAGACTCAGTTAACGGACCCAAGGGAATTTCTTCAGTCAACAGAAATGGTGGATTGCATAAAATGGTTGTTTGTTTGATTTGTCCGTGAAAAAGTTCATCTCAAATTCAAGTATTTTTGACAGAATCTTCCTGGCACAGCCTCACGGTTGTGCTGATAGTTTTCTCCCCCTCCTACAGCAGGGATCCCAAGGCAGGGCTCCGCAGGCACAGCCAAGACACTCATCCCTCCTTGTACAACCGTGGTCCAAAAGCCAAATACTAAACAACTCCCCAAAAGATTTCTAACAAAATCCAAAGATACTCCTGCAAACATTCCTCAACTGTCCAAACCTGCGTGCTGGAAGCATATAATCAATCCCACTTCCCATATAACCAGGGCACCAACATCACCTCCCAAATGCAGCCCAGGATGAGCAGATGCTCATTTGATGAGCTAAAAAAGCCACCTGAGCTCGAGCCTGCTCTGCAGCATGGTCACACCAGCCACCAACCCACTCAGGCACTCACAACGCTCACCCAAACAGTGGCAGAGAGGTGGAGGAAGATGAACTAGCAAAAATTTGTTGGGAAATCCTGGATGCCTGTCCAAGGGCAAGAATGTCACAGATGAAATTTTCTACCCTCTCTCCCCAGCCCCTCAGAATACCCGTCCTCCTTTCTGGCAGCAATTTCTTCATAATATGCATCTGGTATAATCTCATTACTAGCTTAGTGTTCATACAGAACTGTCAGCATGCCTTCCTCCCTCTGCCTAAATATTTCACAGTCAAGTGCTCCAAAAGTTGCATTGTCCTGAACCAGTGCCTAAAAAAGTTGCCAGATTCCTAGTATCCAGACAGCTCCAAAAAAAAAGAAAAAAGAAAAAAAAAAAAAAAGCTAATTGCCACCAAGCAACTGTCCCTAAGAGGCCACAAATGAAACTCTGAAGAATCCCACCAATTTCCATTTCTTCAGGGCTCCCTAATAGCACCACTGATCAAAGCCTGATTAAATTCATTATGCTGCTTCCTGGGCAAGGCTCTGAGCTGCAAGCACTTGGAACATCCTTTGACTCAGAAAGACAGCGCTGTGTTGAACTACATTTGGAAGCTTTCACTCCATCATCAGGCAAGCTAGAAATGCAATTCTAATTTTATTTTTGATGTGTTATTTGTTTCTGCAAAAATTAAGCTTAAATCTCTTTCACTCTCTAGTAGACGTCCACTAATCCACTGAATAGGCGCCTTTGAGCCCTAAAAGCATATTAAAGAAGGGATGAGGTTTCTGAATTCTTTAGCCACCTGAATATTCTCCTACAACAGCATCCATTACCCACATCCAAGAGAAAGCAGTGGTAAATCAATCCTCCTTTCCAGCACAAGATTTGTGCCTGCCATCGCAGATGAAGAAGTTTCCAGAGAAAAACATAACGATGGCCATAGGAGCCTCCAAAAGAGATGGATTAAACAGCTGAGCCATCACTGACATTTCCAAGAGACCCTCTCCCAGCTCCATCCTAAGACATGTATCAAGCACTACCCAGAGAAACTGAGGCTGAGAGTCCAGGGGACATACGTGGCCTGAATTCTGGTAGCTGAAGCCTAAACTCAGAGAGAGGCAAGGCTGGACAGATGGGGCCAAAAGACCTTTTGTGTTTTGGGATGGAGATGAGAGACATATGCAACTGTCCTCATCCAGCCAACTGAGGAACAGGACTGTCACTGTGCGTGTGGGATCTCTGGGTTGTGACATGTGGGAGTCCCCTCACCATAACGGGGCCACAGGGGCTGCCCTGAGCGAGAAAGGCAGGGCTTGTGACGGGGACAGTGCTGTGGGTGTCAGATCAGTGTCCTCAGCGCCTCCGATGCCGGAGAGGGGGTGTACCAGAGCAACAACACCCTACACAAAGGGACGCAAACCAAAATGGCATCGCTCCCCCTCCCCAGTCCTGGGAAAAAGCGCTGGGGAAGAGGACACAGGCAGACGGGTGGGTGTGAGGGGGCAGGCATGCTCTGGCAGAGACACGTCTAGCAGCAAAAAAGCCTAAAGCCTCAGGCATGAGGAAGGTGATGTCCGGGAGGGACACCCTGACCCAGTGAGGGACTCAAACTGCCCGGAGATGGGGAGGCTCTGGGGAAGGAGCACCCACCCCAAGAGAAAGGCACCCCCAGGGACAGGGACACACGCGGGAAGGAGGAGAACACCCCAGAGGGCCGCCTCACAGGGTGGGCATCCAGCAGGCCAGGGGAATGAGCAGTTCTGCCGTGCCCTGGGAGTGGGAATCCAGGGAAGGACCCGGATTAGGGATCGGATGCCAGGGAGCGGGAAGGCTGCGATTTAGGGGGGAAGGGGACGTGGGAGGGGGGGAAGGGGGAACGCAGAGCCCGATCCGGGGATGAGGGGCGCTGGTCGGAGCGGGGCGGGAAAATGCCCTGTCTGAGGGAGAGAGGGAAGGGCCCGATCCGGGGGGTGGGCGAGAGTGCTCGCTGAGGGCCCCGTCCCGAGGGGCCGGGACCCGGGGGAGAAGGGCCGCGGCTGAGGGGGCAGGGAGGCCCCGCTGAGGGCCGCGCTCACCGTGTGGTTGGCCCCCCACATGAGGACGCTGAGCAGCGGCTCGGAGGCCCGGAACAGCTTCACCTTCTGGCACACGAAGTGTTTCTTCTTGGTTTTGGTCTTGCTGGCGCTGAGGGCCGAGCCCAACGCCGCCCCGACGCCCCCCGCCGACGAGCCCCCCGCGCAGTTCGAGGCCATGGCGGACCCGGACCGGCAGCGGCACCGGGAGCCGGACCGAACCCCTTCACCCGGGCTCCCCCCCCCTACCAGCGCCTCCGCATGGTTCCGCCCGGCCCGGCCCACGCCCCCCCCCCCCCCTCCTCCCCCAGTGGTACCGCCCGCCGCTGTCAGCCCCTGCCCCTTGGTCCTGCCCGGCCCGTTAGCTTCCCCCTTGCCGTCCCCCCGCCGCTGCCGCAGTGGTTCCGTCCCCACCTCCCCCCCCCCCCACCCCCGCCCCCGCGGTGGTTCGCTCCACCGCTGAGGAGGAGCCGCCACGGCCGAGCCCGCTCCGGCCCCGCTCTGAGGAGGCGCCAAGATGGCGGAGGGCTGAGGAGGTGGGGAGCGGGAAGTACCACGTCCTTGCCGAGGAGGGGGGAGCCCCGGGTGCTGAGGAGCGGGAGCGCGGCGCTGGCCGCTGGCTCTCCCCTCCTCAACCTGCGGCGGGAACGGGGAGAATCTCAGCACGGCTTGAGCCGGGAGAGGGAACAACGGAAAGGGTCGGACGAAGGGAGAGGGAATGGGGAAAGAAAGCGCCCCTCCCTCCTCCTCTTCCCAGAGATGGTTTCACCCAGTTGCCGTGACGTGCCCGCCCGAACCACGCCCCGTTCCGAGCGGGCCAATAAGCAGCGAGGCGCCTGGAATTATGAATGGGCTGCTAACAGACGTCACGGGCCGCTGTTTAAAGGGCGAGGAGAGGGGCCGGGGCTTCGCGGGGACACGCGTGGAGCCCACCCGGGGCCCGCGGGCTCGACAACCCCGCTACCGCCCCCCGCGCCCTCAAAGAACCTTCCCTTCGACAGAATGCCCCTCCCAAAAGCCACAAAGAACATTTAAAAATGACAGTAAAATTTCTTAAAAAAAAAAAAAAAATCTACGCTGCTGTACATATACACATTACTTACATTACAAAATCCCAGAGAAATATTTGCTGTGTCAGCTATGCTCTGCTCATTTCCTTTCCCTTCGAAGCAGCTTCCTTTGGGTCAAACATCATTCAAATCTGTGAGCAATCAAATAACGGCTACAGATATTGTGCAGACTCGTCTAACATCACCCTCCAAACCCAAACCTGCAACGGTGACAGTACTGAACAGGATTTTGGCTGTTACTTGTGTAGCTTTATCAAATTCCATGAAATGAATTCACATGTGAATTTGTTCTGCTCTGACTGTTAAGGACTAACAAAAATAGGTGTTTTGCTCTGTCATATAAAGAGCTCGGACAATCTGCCCGATGTAGAAAGCAGTTTCCACCTGGCATAATTTGGTAACGGCAATATACAACAGTGATACCAGTCAAGGTGGAGAGAGAAGGAAAAGCTCTGTCAATACATTAAAAAGAGAATACAAAGGCTCACGAGTTCTCCAGCAAAGGTTTGCTTGCAAGGTCCTACTCATTACAAATGTATTCACAACGCCAGGAGTCCAGAACGCGCTGCGGGCTGCAGCACAGAAATCCAGCGCCTCTTTGGGAGACGGCAGCTGTTCCTGGAGAGAGCAGTGAGGCTGTGCTGGAGGTCTCTCACCTTTGGGAATAAGCATCCGTTTAACTTCTGCACAGGAGCAGAGGGAGAACAAGTTTCATCTCTGCATAAAGTTTTTTTCCAAGGCAGCGGGAGTTCTCTGAAGGGAGTGGATGTTGCGTTTCACCCGATCTTCTAGCGTGGACGTAGATGCACTCTCTAGTTTTAAGCGACTGCGGGAAATTGAACCGAAGAGAGAAATCAGAATGTCTTTCCAACCATTACACTGTTTCTAGCAGGATTCACCATCCCCAACTCATCTACCTGAATTAATCTAACATAGAAAACAGCAAATTATTTCCTATTAAAGTATGCACTGAAAGAACTGAATACCTTTTAGTTTGGCTTGTAACAGATTCAATGCCTTATTTAAGGTCAGTGCTCAGAAATATATTTTCAGTAGCTCTCAAGTCTCCTCCGTCTTCCAAATATAACTAACCGTTAATTACAAACGCATCTGTCACGGGGGACTTGGTTGCTTTCTGTGAAGCAAACGAGGGAAAAGCAATGTGTTCCTGAACTGAGGGCAGCAGTCCTCTGGGAGCCCGAATGCCAGAGCTCGTGCTGTAAATGACTTCGTTAGCTACAGGAGAGAGGAGGGATCCTTGTGACCACTCGCTTTCTTCTACTGCTTCAGATCACACCGCTGTGCTTTTCTGAACCATCTCCTCTTGCCCACCTCCCTCTCCCAACAACATGGCAATAAATATGAAGTTTTTTAGCTCAACCAGTTGCTTCTGCACAGGGAAACACATAAAAATCTCTCACCACAAGATTTCTTCCTCATGGAGAGAATCTAGTGACTTTAAGCCACCCTTACATGACCCCAGCTCTGGGCAGCTTCAGAAATTAAACATACATTCTCCTCCAATTAATTCATGGAGCCTGAAGAATACTATGCTGCAGCAACTCTGAAACAGGTAACACTGCCATAGGATCTCTCTTACACACCACCGCACTTTCTGGAAGGCCTTGTGCCACTACAGCTTCCCTTGCCTGCCAGGTGCACAAGGGACTGTAAGGAACCACCTGTGTTTAGAAACGGTCTTATTTCTCTTTGAGCACAGGTTTCAGTCCCACAAGCTCTTGGCACACAGACTCCCAGTGGACTATGCAGGCCTAAAACTGCTGCAAGCTCCTAAAAATAGAGACCCCTTTAATATCTGCGTTACTAGGCATTTCTACAGGTTGGCAAAAAATAACTGGTTACCAGTTTCTGAGTCTGACTACCAAGTCCATTATAGAAATAGCTATCTTTTGGGTTAAGAAGAGAATTTGGGAACAGTAGATGTCATTAGTTCCACTGTAAAACACAGTAGAGATGGATCTTACACCATAACCCAAAACACCTCAAAGGTTGAGGCCATCCCTCCTCAGAAGCTGTGGCCTGTATTTCCCATGAATGAAAAAGCAGATAATAAAAAACACTCACTTGAAGAACTTCCCATCTCGGGAGTCGAGTTTCTCCAGTTCTCGCTCCAGCTCCTCCTCCTTTCGGTGTTTCCTGAGGTTGTTTGCTCTCTCCTCTTCGCGCCACTTGGCATTATCCACCATTTCCTGGCGTTTACGCTCTAGTTCCTCTGGAGAGATCTTTCTATTTGTGTAAAAAACAGCACTGCTGTGAATCAGTGGCACGCTGGGCCCCACCCCCCTCTTGCTTTCCATTCTTTAAGATGATTTACAATCCCCAGAATTAGGGGTGTTTAACACGTTTTTTTCTTTGGTAGCCAATCAGCAAAGCTCGTAAGTACATGTCTAAACATTCTGTTTTACCACGCCCCTAGCAAGAGTCCCTTTTCTCCCTCTTTTCAGCTTTCTTGTTTTTAATTTTCTGGTAAGATGATGCTGTCAAGGTCATATTTTCCTGATGACAGTGAAACAGAATGCTTCTAATTAACAGTCCATGGGACAAAGACTGACTTCACATTACTGCCTTGCACAGTGATGCATGACACATGGGAGAACCAGCAACCATGTGAATTGGTTTGGGAAGCTGTCCAAGGTGTTAACTAACAACCAGGCTCACGAGCACCAAACTGAGCACTTTAGGACCATCTGTGCAACTTTCTGGACATTCGATCCAATCTATTTTAGTTAATGTAATCAAATTTGGTTCACAGATTATACTCAGCTGTTTCACAATCACCAGGGCAACTTCTATCCAGAAGCACAGGAACAAGATCTTGCTTACCTTGTGTAGCCTGGAGCATGCTGTCGTCGATAGCTCTTTTTAGGGGAAGGGCTTCTAGCTTTCCCTTTCTCCTCCCGACTGCTATGTCTGTAACCCAGAAATACCCTTGTTAGGACGTATGAAGGTACATTATCACGCCTCTAAACAGTCCCCAGATTTTCTGTATACATTCTGAAACCAAGACGTCTCCCACAACTGCAGGACTGTTACCAGTCTACTTGGAAAAGAAATTCTAATGATTCTTAATATACCTCAAATTTCCATTTATTTTTACTCAGTTTTAATTATTTCACCAGTAAACAATAAAAACCTGGTACCTGACTTTATCAGCATTTAGTAAAGATAACGCAACAATCATAAATACCTTTTAAATAGAATCGATAGCCCAAATAAAGCATAGTCACAAGCAATACCTAAAAGGTGTATCTAGAAAGATGGTATCCCAGATGAAAAGTGCAATTGCAGACAGCATGTCCCCTCCAGCAGCTAACCTGGGTGCTTCTGCGCTCTTGCACAACTGCACAGCTCCTGCCTTTACACCCAGAACTGAGCAATGATGTGGCCAGAAGACCAAAGTGGTAGGAGAAGACTGAGTAAGAGGGATTTTGATTCTAGAGAATTCCCCCTGCAGCAGCCCTGGGCTTACATAATCCAGGTTAGCCACACTCACTGTTTACTGTGTCTAGGAGGAGATCGTGACCCCCTGCATCCAGATTGTTCTGAATTCTTCTTGCTAGAGCGTCTCTGAGGAGAGCGGGACTGGCTCCTGGACCTGGAGCGATCCCGGTGCTTGTGGGGGGCCCTCTCCTGGCCAGCAGCTGGAGAGCTCCGAGACCTGTGGCTCTGGTCAGAGTCTCTAAACTGGAATTCAAAAGCGTCTTTCAGGAGAGATGTTTTGTAAGAGCACAACAACAACATAAGGCCACAGAGGAGACTTCAGACTAGGCTAAGTGCAGGAAGGAGTGTACGCTATGGTTTGCGTTTACTTATCTCACTTCCTAGGTACTGATTAACACCCACGTCTAAAAAGAGTATTTCTGTATCACGTTCAGTCAACTAAACTGCCAAGACACTCAAGTGGAGTATCTGAACAAACGGGTAACTCCGTGAGGAGAAGCTAAAGCTGAACTTGAATTCAGAGCAGATAAAAGTCCTACCAGGATCTGAACAACTTCAGTTTCAAGGCTCAGATGGCTCCAAACTGAATATGAACTTTATTATAGCATGTCCCCCTCATAACCCTCTTCGAGCCCATGAGGCAGTCTCACAACAAACTGCCAAAACTCTTGCTCTTCCCTAACTCAGAGCACTTGCTACTGAAAGAGCTGTGCGAAGCACAGGTACATACTTGTAAGCCATATCCTGGGACTTTAGAAGATGCAGGTTTCCAGGAAGAACTGTTCATCCTCTTCTGAGACCTAAAGAGAGAACAAGAATAATTTTGAAGCAGATGAAATTCAAGAACAGAGTATTTTTTTAACATTAAAATGTAATAAAAGGAATGTAATGATGCAAAACCAATGAAGTAACATATAGAAACATTTAGGCAAATTAAGACCATTGATTAGAAAGATAAAACTCAGAGAGGATTAGAAAAAAGACATGAAAAAAAACAAAACAAAACAAATTAACCAGGAAACATGGTATTTTTACTACAAAACCTCAAAACATACTTATTTTTGCTCCGCTCCTCATCACTGCTGTCGCTTTCACTGCTAGAACTACGATGTCGATGTTTCTTGTGCTTCTTCTTCTTCTCTTTCTTCTTCTTCTTCTCTTTTTTATCTAAACTGTTTTGCAGCTATAAAGCAAAACACCACTTCGTTAGTAATGATTACTGTCTCTGTGCCTGGGCAGCCCATATCACAAGGCAAAGTAAGAGTTCTCTGTGGAAAGGCTCCTGGAACAAAACCCAAAAACCATTTCACAAGGTCCTCTCTCTCAAAACTAAAGAGCTCAATGGAATCTTCCCCAGTGCCAGTTTGGTAGAGGTGCACGTCAAATCCTATGTCTGTAATCACTCTGTAGTACCAAAGCAACCATTAATCACTAGCTACAAAAAAGCACACCAGAAAAAGCAAGAAGAGTAAAATAACACTGAATTTGAAATGAAGGTAAATTAATTCCTGCTGCAAGACTGATAAGGAACCTTGTTCTATTATATCAGGATTATAGAAAGCTGAATTTATTCTGCTTTTCTGTGGAAGAATCAGGAAACAGAACTCTGCTCCTGATCCTAAACAATACTAATTTTGTCCTATAATCCTCTCCTTGGTTCGGTGTATTCTGTGCTTTGAGTCTGTAAAGGAATACTGAGATACACCTACCAATTCTTTGATTTTCTTCATTTTAACAGGATTATTCAAGACTTCTCTCTTTTTTTCCTCCTCCCTCTTTCTAAAGCAGAAAAAAAAAAAGTAAATTAGTACTTTCAAATAACTGCAAATATCATATTTTCATGAAAGATAATAATCAAGTGCAAGCTCTTAAAACATATAAAGCAGGAAAATAGGCAAGTTTTGTATATTCAGAAAACTAGATCTAGGTAAGAGATTTGTCCTTTTCTTCTCCACTTCAGAGTGCAACTATCAGGGTAAACACAAATTTGTTCTGTTACCATCAGTCTGCCTACAACTCTACTAAATGCCTGAACTCTCAGAGCAGACCAGATATACATATCCGCGTACACGTAACAGGGTGAGCAAAGCTGGTAGAGACCAATCAATGGGGAATAACAATCCTTGCGTTTATATCTTTACCAACTTACAGCTAGATGATCTATCTGATGATCATCAGCTCATTCAGGTGACAAAAATCTCAGATTTGAAATCACGTTAGGGAAATTATCCAGAAGCAGCAAACTCACGCAACTTTGTTATTTGACATTGTGTTACTGTCTCTAAAACCCAACCAATATCCTGCCAGTCACGTAAGCGGCTGGTGACCTCTCTGCGGCCAGGACTGCCACCTACAGCCTAGAACTCACAAACAGGCAGACACAGCTTCGAGGAACAGGCACTACAGCAGTTTTTACAAATATAAATAAGACAGCTCTTGGCACGTTGCTAATGTTGATGCTTTGCCTCATCTACTACTGCTCTCAGCTCCACGTTTAGTACCTTATCATGAACAGTGGATCCTCCCGGATTTTGTTTGCCATATCTAGGACAGAATTGGCACCCGACTTGGCGAAGATGGAGCCTGGGAGAAGGCCTGTCTCATTGGAACAGCCTGCATCCTTGTCTTCTGTCTTCTCAAAGACATATTTGTCCACAGGGCGACCCATAAGATATTCCTCTCTGTTCACCATGCCTCCAGGACCCTGGTACATCCACTCCAACTTTTCTTCTCTTTTCCTATTGCAAACAAGTCCGTTTTATTTTCCTTCTCACAGTTTTAAAATTACAATTTAAGGCACTGGCTTACAAAGGTGAGTAGAAACGTTTTATCACCATATACGCCAAACCAACGGCGCTCTCAGGGGCACCAGGAGCAGCCACACCACCTCACCAGCACCAGCCTGAGAGAACGCCCAGGACCGGCTCCCAGGGAACCGGGGGGCAGCAGCACCCCCTCACCTGACAGTGCCCATGTCCTCAGCGTATCGCTGCATCTCCTCCCGCGCTCGCTCCTCCTGCAGCTCCCGCTGCAGCTCCTCGATCTTCTTCCTCTCGGCCTCATGTTTCTGTTCGGCTTTCCACACCTTCTCCACATTGCGCAGGGTCTGGGGGTGCCAGCTCTTCTTCAGGTTCTGTAGGAGCGGGGGGGGGGGGGACGGACACACCGGACCGGGACCGTTAACACCGGGCCGCCATCCCTCGCCGGTGACCACGGGGAACGGCCCGCTCAGCGCCGCGCTCGCCCGAAGCCCTTCCACCCACGGGGCCGAGGCCCGCAGAACGCGACCCGCTCGTCCCCCACACCCCACGTCGCGACCGGCGGCCACGGGCGGGGAACTGCCACAGGCCTCGCCGAAGCGGCGCGACCCGGGCCCTTCGCCCGCCTGCCCAAGCCCCGGCCGCTCCCCGCAGCCCCGGGGCAGACGCCCGGACCCCCTTGGACCCCCGATCCCCCCGTACCAGGTCGCCTCCCCCCATCGCGGCGGCCGGATGAACGCGCCCTTCCCCTCCGCCGCCGCTACCGGGCCTGGGGCTGCGTCATCACGGCGCGCCGGCGCGCTGCAGAGTCGTCACTTCCGCCGCGCCGCTGAGGGCCGGCGGCGGCAGAGCCGAGCAGGGCCTCCCCGGAAGGGAAAAGGGAGCGGTGGAAAGCAGCAGCGGGAGCTCCCCGGGTAGAGAAACAGGTTGAGCGGCGGAGGATTGGTGGGGCTGCCCTGTCGCTGCCCCAAGCGCCGCCGGTGCGCGCCGCTAGGCGGTCTCGCTCCTTCCCCGCACGCGCCGCCGGTGCCGCAGCGCCGGTTCCGGTGTCCGCGAGCGGGAGTTCTCCTGCGCGGGCCCACACGCGTGTTTAACAAAGGCTCAGGTTGGGGAGGGGGAAGTGTGCGGGGCGGGGGGGTGTCGGTTCCCTGTAAGGGGGTTAGAACCGGTGACCTGGCGGCTCCCAGCCCAGCGCGTTGTCTCTGAGCCATTGCTTCCCGCCCAAGACCCTCCCCCGCCCTCCCCGCGGCGGGGGCGCGGCGCAGGGGCAGAGCGGCCGACTGCGGGGCCGAGGGTGGAGAGTTCGAGCCCCGGGGGGAGCCCCGCAGCGATACCCCGTCACCTCAGCAACCCAACCACAGACTTGACTGTACGTCACGCTCCCTTCAGAAAACATTTCAGCAGGGATCCCCCACTTCTAGAAACGCCTCATTATACGCATTGTTTAATGTTTAAATTAACAGCAATTACTCAAACAGGAAAAACTAGACAAGTAGCAGCTCTGCTGAGCCAGCTTAGTTATGCATACGTGCAGCATTCCAGAGAAAATAGGGGGAAAATGTCAAAGTCTGACTTCAAGCTCAACAAAAGATCATCAAGAGGTTTCCAAGAGCCAGTAGGGATACAAAAATCTCTCCATAGTCAGCCTGTGTGGGGATTCTGGAAGAAGAAAGGGTTAAAAAGGAGCTAAAGAGGGGGCACCTGGAGTTGAACCAGGGACCTCTTGATCTGCAGTCAAATGCTCTACCACTGAGCTATACCCCCCTGCCCAGGGGCCTTGTAAAGACATTTTAAAAATATTTCTCCAAAGAGAACCAAGTTGCTGCGTCCACTGGGCACGTTTTACTTGACAGCCCACTGCGCACCTTAGTGTGCCTGCCAAAGCACATACAAAGAATTAAATAAGTTCAGTGTTGATAAATCTGTTGACTACAGAGAAAATCATGCCCAGACAGTCAGTAGTTACACAGTGCACAACCAACCCCTGCAGTTTCCTTCCTCAGAGTCGGGCTTAGGACCTTGAAGATTGGAACTCAGAAGCCATCGCTCACTGTGCAGCGCAAGCTCGCAAGACCCGAGAAGAGCTCTCCATCGTCCTTTTGGGAGAAATCCTGGCAAAAAGAAGGCTGAAGGAGAAGAAAAGAGGGGGCACCTGGAGTTGAACCAGGGACCTCTTGATCTGCAGTCAAATGCTCTACCACTGAGCTATACCCCCCTGCACAGGGGCCTTGCCGGGACAGTTTAAAAATATTTCTCTAAGAGAACCCAGTTTCTGTGTCCACTGGGTAGATTCATGTACTGGACAGCCCCCCTCACACCTTAACAGAACCATAAGCAGAGAGAAGTACACACACACACACACAGAGAGCTTTCTCACACAGCACACAACCCTCCAGTTTCCTTACAGTCGGGGGCTCAGGACCTTGAAGAATGGAGCTCGGAAACCACCGCTCACTGTGCAGCACAAGCTCTCAAGACCCTAGAAGAGCTCTCCATCGTCTTTTTGAGAGAAATCTTGTCAAAACGAAGGCTGAAGGTGAAGAAAAGAGGGGGCACCTGGAGTTGAACCAGGGACCTCTTGATCTGCAGTCAAATGCTCTGCCACTGAGCTATACCCCCCTGCTACAACTGCTTCTGGTTATATAGACACTTGTTTTTATGTCCTCTAGTTAGATTCCTTCACTTGACAGCCCTCTGTGCCCATTAGTGTCTGCCAAAGGGTGTAGGGGCTGTTAAATAGGATCAGTTATGATAAATAGAATGACTACAGAGAGAAATACACACAGTCACTGGGTAGCCCCTCACAGTGCACCAGCACTGCAGTTTCCTTATACTCAGGGGCTCAGGACCTTGAAGAATGGAGTGCAGAAACCAGCGCTCACTGCACAGCACAGGTTCACAAGATTCAAGAAGAGCTCTCCATCAACTTTTTGGGATAAACCTTGGCAAAAAGACTACTGAAGGAGAAAAAAAAGAAGGGGGCACCTGGAGTTGAACCAGGGACCTCTTGATCTGCAGTCAAATGCTCTGCCACTGAGCTATACCCCCCTGCCCAGGGGCCTTGTAAAGACATTTTAAAAATATTTCTCCAAGAGAACCAAGTCTCTGCGTCCACTGGGCACGTTTTACTTGACAGCCCACTGCGCACCTTAGTGTGCCTGCCAAAGCACATATAAAGAATTAAATAAGTTCAGTGTTGATAAATCTGTTGACTACAGAGAAAATCATGCCCAGACAGTCAGTAGTTACACAGTGCACAACCAACCCCTGCAGTTTCCTCAGTCGGGGGCTCAGGACCTTGAAGATTGGAGCTCGGAAACCACCGCTCACTGTGCAGCGCAAGCTCGCAAGACCCGAGAAGAGCTCTCCATCGTCTTTTTGGGAGAAATCCTGGCAAAAAGAAGGCTGAAGGAGAAGAAAAGAGGGGGCACCTGGAGTTGAACCAGGGACCTCTTGATCTGCAGTCAAATGCTCTACCACTGAGCTATACCCCCCTGCCCAGGGGTCTTGTAAAGACATTTAAAAAATATTTCTCCGAGAGAACCAAGTTTCTGTGTCCACTGGGTAGATTCATGTACTGGACAGCCCCCCTCACACCTTAACAGAATCATAAGCAGAGAGAAGTACACACACACACACACACACACACACACACACACAGAGCTTTCTCACGCAGCACACAACCCTCCAGTTTCCTTACAGTCGGGGGCTCAGGACCTTGAAGATTGGAGCTCGGAAACCACCGCTCACTGTGCAGCACAAGCTCTCAAGACCCTAGAAGAGCTCTCCATCGTCTTTTTGAGAGAAATCCTGGCAAAAAGAAGGCTGAAGGTGAAGAAAAGAGGGGGCACCTGGAGTTGAACCAGGGACCTCTTGATCTGCAGTCAAATGCTCTGCCACTGAGCTATACCCCCTGGCACAGGGACCTTGTAAAGACATTTTAAAAATATTTCTCTGAGAGAACCCAGTTTCTGTGTCCACTGGGTAGATTCATGTACTGGACAGCCCCCCTCACACCTTAACAGAATCATAAGCAGAGAGAAGTACACACACACACACACAGAGAGCTTTCTCACGCAGCACACAACCCTCCAGTTTCCTTACAGTCGGGGGCTCAGGACCTTGAAGATTGGAGCTCGGAAACCACCGCTCACTGTGCAGCACAAGCTCGCAAGACCCTGGAAGAGCTCTCCATCGTCTTTTTGAGAGAAATCTTGTCAAAACGAAGGCTGAAGGTGAAGAAAAGAGGGGGCACCTGGAGTTGAACCAGGGACCTCTTGATCTGCAGTCAAATGCTCTGCCACTGAGCTATACCCCCTGTGCACATGCTTTTCACCCCACAAACCAAACATGGAGAGCGTGTTCTCCCCCCAATCTCTGACCTCCCTCTTCCAAAGGACTCAAATCCTGTTCCAGACACTGCAAGACTGAAACAGAACAACAGCAAAGACTTTGCATCACTGCCCTTCAACACGCTGCCTCTGTTCCACGTACCGGTGACCTTGGCCCAGCTCCCCTCCAGCCATCTCTCCGGTTCCTCCCCCAGCTGCGGTCTCTTCTCCTTGAGTCGATTGTAACCTGACACAGCAACGGCCTCCGTGGCTTTCAACATTTCCCCCACTCTTCCCAGCTTTGACTGCAACGTGAAAAGGCATTATTAGGAGCGAAGTCAGAGCTGATCTTACCAGTTAGCCTTGCAGTGAAGCAGCACCCTGAAAATTCCAAGAAAAAAAGCAATTTTTGAGGGAGTACCTGGATTTGAGCCGGGGACCTCTTGATCTGCAGTCAAATGCTCTGCCCCTGAGCTACACACCCACACACACTAACCTACCCTGCACTCACCTCCCAGGACTCCGCTCTCACAGCAAACCCTGCAAATCATTCCAGGACAAAAAGCAGCTCCCTGTTCACTATTTCTCTCTCTCCTCACAAATACCTCAACAATATTCTGCTTCTCTTGTGGGAATACTGCTGCTTTACCTCTGGCCGGCGCCTGATCAACTGGAGGACGGAGCCTGCAGACAGGTGATGGGAAAGGGTTGGAATAAAGAGCTCCAAAGCAAGAATTTCCAGGGAAAAAGAAGGAAAAAAAGGGGAGGGGGCACCCGGATTTGAACCGGGGACCTCTTGATCTGCAGTCAAATGCTCTGCCCCTGAGCTATACCCCCACCTGAGTGCTGCTCCCACGTTTGGTTCCTTGTGGCCGCGGACAAGGCGGCTCAGCTGCATTCCACCCCCTGCACTCACCATCCCTGCAGCGCTGCCTCTCACACACAACAGCAGTCCCATTACCCCCCCCAAGTTTACCTCAAACCCCTCCCCATGTCTCTCACCACACTTCCAGCCAGGCCCCTGGCAGCCAGGCTCACGAATTCCAAGTTATCTTGCTCTAAATCATCCCATCGTGGAGAAGCAGCACGCTTTGAAACACTGACTTCAAAACACCGCTCAAGGCACTGGGCTGCACCTCTGTTTGGTCTTGGGGTGTGCCCTGCCATGAGAGAGCAGACCGGCCTCGCAGAGGAACTACCTGCCACGACACCTCCCACACTGTCCACAGCCTCTCTGTCTTCCCCAACTGGCAGCCCAGGAGCAAAGGATACCAAAACCGAAACACCCAAAGCGTTCCATCCAACTACCATACCATGCCCTGCCTCAGAAAGTGTCTTCACAAATCAAAAATCCGGTACGAGCTGTTAAAATAAATCAAGGGAGAACACCTTTATTTTAGTGTCAGTTCCTTACTCATAAGCAGGTCTCTGCACCTCTCCTCAGGCCTGAGGAACAGCTCCTTCATCACCAGTGGACTGAAAAGATGGTCACCGCTCAGAAAGAGAGAGATGGACTTCAGCCGCAGGTTTGGAGTGCTGCAGTGACAGCCAGAGCGTCTGCTGTACCCTTCTGGGGGTTCCAGGCTTGCTGGGAAGGAGCCACAACCACTCGCCTGGTCCGTGGAATGGCCTGCAGAAAAAAAAAAATAAAGTGGCCTTCAGTCTGTGGAGATCCCGCTCCAAGCTTCCCCTTCCCCAGCTGCTGCCAGTGCATGGCTCCTGATTATCCAGTTGAAATACCCGAGAAAAAATTTTTAGGCCACAGTATTTTGCAGAGTCATGTTGGCTAGGCCAACCAGCGGTTTTAAATACTTTAAAAACCACTGCAAGACCCTGGTGCTCTTGTCCATCATTACCTGTTTGTGCTACAAAACCCGCAGCTTCACTCCCTTCACCACTCTCCTTCCTCCACTACAACCTCTCTGCACAGAAAGCACCAGGAATAGCACAAAAGTATCAGAAATCTTTAAGCAGAGGAAAAAGTGAAGCACGCTGTGGGAAAAGCTTCACGCTGGGGTAGACGGAGACAAGGCCAACCACACCAGGGGCTGCCTGAGGCAGGAGTTGCAGCCAGTCCTGGGAGCAGCACCCCATTTCCTGCCCTGGGGCCCCCAGTAGCCCATGTGCTGGGGTCAGCCGGGCTCTTACAGAGCACCAGGGCCACGCTATCCAGTACAGTCCCTCCTGTTTTCACTCACCAGCCCAAGTACAAGGCAGCCTCCTCACCCCTCAGGCAGCCCTTGCCCAGGAGGGGCAGACAAGCTGCCCTGCAGTTCCCAACCGAACACATTCCTCTCTCTGCTTCAGCCAGAACATCAGGAAAATCACGAGGAATTTAACACAGCACAAGGGATTTTTGCATAGACGTACCTTCCAACTCTCATCTTCGAAGTCCAGTCACCCCTTCTCCTCGCAATTAGCGCTCTGTGACCTCAGGGCCTGTTTCACCACTGATGGGAGGGTTAGAGGCATGCTCTCCAGCCACCACCTCAGTTAGCAGCAGTGGGCTTCATGTGTCCTTGCAAGTCTTCAGCAAGGCCCAAGAAACGTTCTTCAGAGCCCACTGTCCACAGTGAACCCTGCAGCTGATGGTACATACCAGCTTCAGGCAGTATTTTTCCCCACGCGCAGAATCAGATCAGTAACTCTAAGAAGTTAAATTGCCCATTCTGGAAAAAAAATTCCAGACCTACAATTTTTGAGACCCCTTGTACAAAGGCTTCTTGTAGAAGGGTTTTTAAAGACACCTCCCAGTTTCTGTCCGTGCATACATAAATTGGATCGATTCAGTCAGTACTGCTAAGATTTAAGTCACTCCAGTGCAACCCCCTTCCAGATATTTTCCAGTAATATAGGAACCTGCCCGAAAAAGACTTATCAGGGGATACTAAAACACCAAATCCCATTTTCCTGCTGAAGTATACATCCACTCAAGGAGTTCCACAAAAAGGTTTCCCAGAACGAACTCCCTCATTCTAACATTGTCCTGCTCAGTGGAAGAGGGCGCTTTGGCAAGAAAGACACCACTTCTTTGGTACAAGGACTTTTATTTTATCTCTGCGAAGGTGAGCACATCTATGCAATGCTTCCCGCGTTGGAGGCTATCCTGGGCCACAGGTCCGCACACTCCTTAGCCACAGGGCCCGTGATTGCAGAGCCTGGAAAAGAGAAAAAGACAATTAGAGGCCTGAGTAGGTGCAGAGACTGTTCAGGGCAACATCTTACACAAACACTAGCTCAGCCCGATTGCGCTCTCCTGCATCTGAGGAGAATCTGGGTCCTTTTGCCTAGAACTCAGCTCTCTAACCAGCAATGCCGACCCACCACCCCTCCCCACGCTCCCCTTTTGCCCAGCACAACAGGGTTCTTGTCCGTACCTTTCATTTCACCTTTGTTATTTACTATCACTCCTGCGTTGTCTTCAAAATAGAGGAACACCCCATCTTTCCTCCTGTATGATTTCCGCTGCCGAATGACCACTGCTGGGTGGACTGCAAAGAAAAACGAGCAGCTCGGTAGCGCAAACATCCTGTTAAGCCACAGTCCAGCAACAGGTACCCCAGGGGAACTGTTCTGCTGCAGCATCTAGATGCACAGGTTTGGGGTGGATTTTTTTTTTTTTTCATCTCCTATTTGCAGTCCTTCGCTACAAGAAACTACAGTTAATAGGGCACTTAAAACTCACCATGTAACACTTAAGAGCTGCATCTACACTTGGACAGTTTCAGTGTTTTCTCCACTTCCCACCTTAATTCCTAAATATACCATCAGTTCACAGTCAACATTCAGCAGAAACTCCTCTGTTCACCCCCAGATCAAGGAAAAACCTTTTCCACGGCCGAATGTCACACCACCGATTGAAATAAACAGCACAGGCTGCCAATTCACCCAAGAGCGATGCCTTTGCTCTGCCCTTCCACGACAACTCGCTGAGCCACTGCGCACAGGCCCAACGTGTGCTTTTCAGAAGGGGGGGGGGAAAAGGTGACACTCCAAAGATTCAGCCCACTCTCTATGTCGGTTTAAGCAAGAACTCGCGCTCCCCTGCCTCTCCCCGCCTCGAAGGGGAGCGGGCAGCCTCTCAGCAGGGACTCGCCGCTCCTCCCCGCGCTCACCCTTCTTCCTCAGCTCCGGTTTGCCCTTCTTGACAGTCGCCATCACCATGTCACCCACGCCGGCCGCCGGCAGCCTGTTCAGGCGCCCCTTGATCCCCTTCACGGAGATGATGTACAAATTCTTGGCGCCTGCAGAGAGAAGCGTCAGCATTAACCGGGCTGCCGGGGAAGCCGCTTCCCTTGTCAAACCACCGACTGAAGCGAACAGCACGCGCTGCCGCTTCACCCAAGAGCGGTATCTTTGCTGTCTCCTTCCACGACATCTCACTGAGCCACAAGCACAGACCCAACGAGAGCTTTTTCAGAAGGAGAAGGGGTTTTTACGAACTCGTTCAACAGCCGGCTGCCTCGCAAAGGTGGGGGGGGGGGGGGTCCCAGGCCCGCTGGCAGCGCTCACCTGTGTTATCGGCGCAGTTGATCACCGCTCCCACCGGGAGCCCGAGGGAGATGCGGAACTTCGCACCGGAGGAACCTCCGCGTCCTGCAGGACGAGAAGGGGATTAAGGCCCCGGAGCAGAAACGGGCAGCGGGGAACCAGCCCAGCCTGCGCCTCCCCGGGAGGGGATCACCGACAGCGGCTGCGGCCTGGCCCCGCTCCCCAGCCCCAGCAGCGAACCGGACGCCCCCGGCCCCCCGATGGAGCCCGATGGAGCCCCCGGCCCCCCGATGGAGCCGGATGAAGCCACCGACACCCCCAACCCCATCACCGGCCTCACCTCGCTTCGACATCTTGGCGCCGGAAGAGAAAGGCGCCGGCGCAAGGCACGCCGGGATACGGGAGGGGGTTGCCCCGCCCCTCCCGGGCCGCCCGCGTCACGTGACGCCGGCGGCGGCACCTCCTCTGGCGCCCCCTGGAGGCGGCGGGGAGCGGCACCCCCGGTACCGGCGGCCGCCCTCGCCCCGTCCCCCCCACAGGGCTGCGCTCCCCGAGCGGGGCTCGGCGCGGAGCTGGGGGGGGGGGGGGGGGGGCGCCGCCACAGCGAGGAGGGGTTTTAGGGGCTGCTCCCCGCCTGGAAATAATTTGGGGCGAAGATCCAGCTTTTTAGCTTTTCGGTTTCGGGGAAGGGACGAAAGTAGGAGACGGGGAAAAAAAAAAAAAAAATGTGAATTAAAAATGAGGGGGCACCCGGATTTGAACCGGGGACCTCTTGATCTGCAGTCAAATGCTCTGCCACTGAGCTATACCCCCGCTCGGCCGCCGTCACCGCTCAGCGACACCTTCCGCGCGCCGCACCGGGGACACCCCACCCCACCCCCCCCACCCCCCCCCCCCGTGAACCGGCACCGGCGGGCGCGACACCCCCTGGCCCCCCCCCCCCCCGGTACCGCTCACACCACCGGGGCTGGGGGGGACGTTTGCCCGGAGCCGCCGAGCAGGAGGGTTCGGTGCACCAGGTACCCCCGGTGGGGACCCCAGGCTGGCGAGGAGCCTTGGGGACCGAGAGCGTGGGCAGAAAAGCGGGAGCGAGAGCTGTAATTAGTCCTTTTCCAAGCTTTTGTAATTAGTAATTAGTCCTTTTCCAAGCGAAAAACCTTTGCAGGCGGCCGGTTTATGCCCACGGCTGGTGGGAGCCGCTTTGGCAGGAGAGCGGCCGCAGCACGTGCATCCCTTGCCGGGCTCTTGACAGCAAGTCAAGAAATTATTTTTTTTCTGCGTTATCAGAAGGAATTGCCCTTGTCTGGGTTTTCCCTTCGCGTGAATTTCTCAGCCCTAGTGATTCTGCAAATTCCAGTGTAATTTAACGACAAAGTGAATGAGATTTTTGCCTAGTGGCAATAAATGATTTTTTTATTTCCTCAGGGATTGTCTAAATCTAATTTCAGGAGGAAAGCGCAAGCAATGCTGCTTGTAATTTTTCATTTACCTGGTCCTACGATCCCTCTGCACGGAGCTAAGAAAGCGTCTTGAGAGCTTGAAAGCAAATGATGGGAAATATATATTTAAGATAATAACTTCAGAAAGCAAAGAAGTATCCTGTAATTTCATGGCGATAAAATCAGCCACTGACACTAAACATGTGGCTTGTAGCTAATGAGGGTACAAGTATTGAAGCATCGTCCGGTGTAGCAACATAAATGTGCTGCGATGCAGCGCGACCCAGCACATCCCTCCGAGCGGGGTCCCGGGGCGTCAGCTCACGCCCGTCACCCCTGCGAAGTCACCGGAGGCCAGGCTGCAGCATCAACCCAGTCCCTCGATGCTTCAGACACCCGCTGGTGGTGCAGAAAAGAGGAAAAAAAAAAAAAAAATTAAAAAAATTAGAAAGAAAACCTGAAGCTGGAGCTGGGCCTTGGTGGGGCGAAGCCCAGGGAAGCAGCAGCAGCTCCCCTGCGCAGGGGAGAGGCTGAACCAGGGCCGTGCACCCAAAACGTCTGGGTGATGAAAAGCCTCCCTCACCCAGCAGCGTCTCCGGAGCCAAGAGAGGAAAAACCACCCACAACATCCCGAAGAGCTGGATAAGCAGAAAAGCACATCTTATTTTAAGCTGCGATGGGCCAGGAAAGGGTGGGAGGCTGGTTCGGGGGGCTGGGAAGCGTTGGGCGAGGTGATCAGAAAGGGAAGGAGTGGGCGCCTTTGAGAGAGGATCAGATAAGCTGCTTTTAAAACGAAGGAAACCAATTTTAAGCCGCATCCTGAAATGAATAAGGGGGAAGAGAGCTGAGCGCAGCCTCGTTTGATGTGGGTGTGCTTTATTAAAGCCTGCCTGCAAATAGCGATTGCCGAGGCTTGTTCTTTTGTAACAGGCTCCGGGGAAGGGGAATTAAGGTGTCGTTATCTCCTGATAGAAATTGAATTAATGTTCTTACCCAGGCTTTTGTAATGTAATAACCCAAATCCACTGGAGTTGACACTGCCCACCTGACTCGCTGCACGTCACTGTGGAAGGGCCCACGCAGGAAGAACCTGCACGACCCAGGGCTGTGCGTTCCCCCACGGGGCCGGCACCGGCCTTGCAGAGGTCAAGGTGCTTCTGCTCCCATTGGTGTCGATGTGTTTCAACAGAATTACGCTAAAAATTGAAACCTGCTTGGGAATTGGGTTTGGGGAACCACAAGCCAAGCGCTAGACCCCAAGGTGAGGGTGTTGCCGCTTGCCCACGCGGGTCTCTGCCCTCCTCTGTGGATCGTTTCCCGTTAAAAAAAAAAAAAACCAAACATGAGTTGTTATTTCCCGTAACTCCGCGGACGACCAAACGGCTGCCCGAAGGGACGGTGCTCACCGACACCGCTCTCCTCGCCCTCCACCAGCGTGAGGATGTCACGGCGTTTTCCGCCTGCGTCGCTAAAAGGAGGAAGTGGTGAATTCTCGTGCCCGTGCGCAGCCTGGTCTCGTGTGGGTGACGGAGCCAATCCCAGACGCCAACACGGTGTGCAGAAAGCGCTCGTTTATTAAGCGTCGGTGATACGAATTTATCTTACGTTATGTTCCGCACACGCGCCGAGCGTGCATCCTGCGCTGCAATTACAGGCTATTGTCTACTTGTGTTAGTTTGTGACTGGTGCTGCAGGCTGACCATTCCCTGTTCAGGCGCTTTAGCAGATCGGCTGCTGCTCGCCGGAGTCCGTTGCCAGCTTCTTCTTTAAGCGTTGAGCCATCACTTTTGTTTCCTTGTGTCCTTGGTGACTCTTACGATAGATCCTGATACGGCCGCCGGGCCACACAAACCCCCACAGAGGAATCACGCGTGGGTGTAGAAAAAAGGGGTGGGGAAAAAAAAAATTAAAATAAAAACAAGCCAAAACCTGAACTTTTAGGGGGCACCCGGATTTGAACCAGGGACCTCTTGATCTGCAGTCAAATGCTCTACCACTGAGCTATACCCCCGCCTGTCGCTGCAGCCGCCGGGCGCTCACTTACTCCACGCGTGCGCGGCCCCCCCCCGCCCCGTTCCACGCGCGAACACGCGTGGAACGGGGTCGGGGGGACGAGACGGGACGGGCGGACGCGCACGCGTGCAAAGTGCCACGGCGGGGGTGGGGGGGTAATGAAAACGGGGGCGGGGGAAGGAGTGGTAAGGGGAAGGAAGGGGGGGCGAGCGCGCCCGCCCTCCCGCCCACGCCGCGGCTTCGCGCAGCGGGGCGGCGTGGGGGAGGGTGTACGGGTGCGTGCACGCGCGCGTGGGTGGGCGCCCCGCCCCCGCGCGCCCCCGGTGCCCCTCCCCTTTCCCTCCCCCCCCCCCCCGCCTATTTAGGGTCGCGGCGGCGCGGGCGGAGACCCAGAAGCGGCGGCGGCGGGTGGGTGCGCGCCCCGCGTCTCGCAGCCATGAACCCCAGCTGTGCTCGCTGCAGCAAGATCGTCTACCCCACGGAGAAGGTGAACTGCCTCGACAAGGTGAGCGCCGCGCCCGTGGAGGGGTTCCCCCGTGGGGTGGGGTGGGGGGGGGATCAGGAAGCTGTGAGGTCTCCCGTGGGGCTGCCGCGGCGTGGGATAGGTATTTGTCTCCCCCTCCCCTGCGCCGTGGGGTGTCTCCACGCTGCCCATCCCGATCTCAGGGTGCTGGGGGTGCCCCGCTGCGGGACCCCCCCCACCCCTCCAGCCCCGGGGCACCGGCGGTGGCACCTCCCCGGGGACCGGAGCCCTTTGCCCGAGCGGTCGCGGCAGCGTCCGGGCTCTTTTCCTTATATATAATTAAAAAGCAGCTGCTGGGCGCCTGCGGGGGCCGGTGCAAAGCAACAGTTAACGCTTCCCCTGAAGCCGGGAACCTCATCTGGTTTGCATTAGCTGAGTTTTTTGGCTTTTTTTTTTTTTTTTTTTTTTTCTTTTTCAATCTTCCATCCCAATTGATATTTCTGCGTTCCAGCATTCAGTCTTCATAGCTTGTGCTGCCTGCCTTAACGTGGTGCGCAAGTGCTCTGGGCGTCTCTTTTTGAGTGGTTTCCCATCCAAACCAGTGCCCCAGTGAACCCTGGCTTTGCTGGGGCTGGAGGCGAGGTCCATCCCCAGTACCGCACGACTCCCGTGGGATTTGCCTCTGAAATAACCAACCCCTCCTGGAGAGCCGAGCCGCTCTCCTCCCCTTCCTCTTCCAGGCTTTTGGGACGACCGGTTTAGGGACTAAAAAAAGTAACTTGAAGAATGCGCGGATCTCGGCAGCGGCATTCCTCAGCTTCAGCAGACCCTGTTGCTCGCATTTTTAACAGATGATGTTTCTTCCTTAAGCTGGGAATGGCTTGAAGCTGAGCTCTCAGTCCAGGGACTGACCTGGTCCTTTGGAGCAGGGAGGTGGTTCTGTTTTCTGGAGCCTGGGCCGGCCTCGAGTTGCTGTGGGGTCATCCCAGTTGTGGATAATTGGAAGGGAAGGGGTGGGGGGGGAATGACCTGTTACTTCTTTCTCCCCAGCCAGTGTCTGGGCTTTGTGCTACTTCTGAGCTGGCAGTTGCATGTTGCCACGAGGGCATGGCTGATGTGCATCCCGTGGCCGTGTATTCCAGCTGTTTGGGAGCAGGCAGGAGGCTGCAGTCGTCATCTTGTACTTCTAGGGGGTCTTACAAGCTCCCTCTTACTACAAATCACTGCGTGGTTAGCCTTGGGATACAGCAGACCCCCAGCCAGAGAGCTGCCCCCCACTAACTCCCCCCCGGGTTAATTTTTCCTGGGGTTTCTGGGTGGAAGAGCCCACCCACTTCCCATAGAAACACAGGATAAGGACGGTGTTATTAGTAGTGGCTCTTGCCCTGTTTTCGCTCTACCCAGAGCAAAGTCGAAAGGGCAGCTCCGGTGGTGTTTGTGTAAGTGCTGCCAGTGCTGAAGTTGAACCCCGGGCAGCGATCGTGGCTTCTGAGAGGAGAAGCGTGCCTGTAGCTTCGTTTCAGCTTTCGGTGCTGGTGTGTTGACAATCAGACGTGCTTGCTTTTTCTCCTGGTCGTGAAATCAGGAAAGTCCGTTTCCTTTGTGAGATTTACAGCAAATGAGGGGAAACTTGCTGCTGTGTCAGGCTTTACAAATGCAGCGCAGGGGCGAGAGAAGTGAGACCGCCTGCTGACAGCTCCGGCTTGGGTGAAACTCCGCCTGCGGGTTCTGCCTCTGGACTTTTCACATCGTCACCTTGCGAAAGGTGAATACCCTGCTCGGGCTTGGGGAAATGGGTGTTGTTCCCTTCCCCCTCCGTCCCATCTGTAGATAAGGTGCTGTGCGACGTGCTTGGCTTCCGCTGGGGAAGTGACATCTCCTGAGCCGCCCGGCGCTGGAGCGGGTGCCACGGGGTTTGGTGGCTGCAGCTGCAACTGCTGAACCCACGAAAAGCTGATATCAGATGACTTTTTTTTCTAAAATGACTAGAGGTTAGAACCAGCTGTTACAGTGCATTAAACCCAACCAAGGATTTGCCTTCAGCCCCAGGAGTGTCTGTGTTGTCCTCTAAGCCTTGGGTCTCAAGTGACGCTCGCTCCCAGTGCAGAGCAATGGCTTGGCTTGATGGAGGGATGTTGGTGGGGCCGTAGCATGAGCTATAAATGGATACACGGACACGCGCCGTGGCTGTGAGCTCTGTCTGCAGGTCTAGTCTGCTGTGAGGGGCACAGTTGTTTAAAAGGCTCCATCACTCCACGAGCAGCCTGCGTGGACTGCAGCCAGCGTGCTTCTCGTCGAGTATGGCCGGCTGGGACGTGGGGTGAGCTGTGCTTTGCAGTCGGACCTGGGATCGCCTCCAGATGTTCCGAGCACTTCAGGCTTGGAATTGGAAAGCACAAACTCTAATGCTCCTCTTAAAAAAAAAAAAAAAAAAAATCTATTTGAAGCTTGTCCTCTTTCTCTGCAGCTCTGCTGGAGGATGAGCAGTAGCATTACTGGAAGCCTACATAATTGCTGTTCCCCTGTGTCAGTTCTGTTGCAGCGCTTCTTTTAATGCTGGCTTAGATTCGTGGATCCAGCATTAATACTGTCAACGGTAAGACAAAGTTTAGTGGCAGCAAAACTTTGAGACAGGGCTAGTGCTCTCTGGGTGGCTCATCTGCCTGCTCAGGCTGCAGAGTCCTTTGTAAGAGCCGCAGGACAGAAATACCTCTGCTGAACAATGCCTAATGCAAACTGAGGCAAGAATATGCATTAATTGCTCTCTGGCTGGGGGTAAAGGCCTCCTGAGTGCATCGCTTCTGCTGTCCTTATTGTGGAGGCTGCCACAGGCGGGGGGACAGCTGGCCTGGCCAGAGATTCCTTGGCTCCTGGGAGCCCGGGTATTCCTCGGAGGAAGAGGCTCTGAAGTCATGTTGGCTGTCAGTTCATCTCCACATATTTATAGAGGCATCTCTGGTATTTATGTGCCTCTTTTACAGCGCTGTGAATGGCTGACATGCTTGGGAGAGGTCTGTTAGTTCCCTCTAATGTGGCAATAGCTCAACTGAAAGGCTGTAACTGCTAAGATGTCTGAAGAATCTGGACCCTGCTGTTGATCTGCCTGTCCTTACAGAATCTGAAAGCTGTGAGGAGGGAAATAACCCTGTGCAGGCTGGATGTGAACACGGGTGCTGGTACAGAGCAGCGCGGGGTGCAGCAAGAAGCCCCTTCTCCCTGTTAGCGGCGAGCTCTGGAGGAACTTGTATAACTAGAGGGAAAGAACAAACATGTTGCTCTGAGCAACTGAAACGAGGCAAATTGTCCTTCTGGGCTGAGTCATAGTCTTGTAGAGCCACGGCTGTGTTTGTGCACCGGGGTGTGGTACCTGCGGGTAGGTGGCACCAGGGTTTAGGCTTGGCTCTTGCATCTCCTTGCAGGAACACAGACTGAGCCAGTAGTTGCGGTGGTGGAAATGACTTTTTAAAAGCTTAAGGGTGGAAATCATAGCAACAACCACCAGCTGTTCTCCCTGGGTTTGCTTGCTGCATATTAAATGTGTTCATGGCTCCAAGTCCTGGGTGTCACACTGCAGGCTTGTTGACTGTAATCTTCTTGGTATTATGAGCTGCTAATGTGGCTTTCCGGCTTGTTCTTTCCCTCATTTTTGCAGGGGAGTGCTGGGTGGTTTGTGTGCTGTGCAGGGGGGCTTGCTGAAGCTGGGGGGGGGGGAAATCAGCTGAGGAGGGAGGGCAACCTTAGGGCAGGCCTGCCTTACCTCCAGTGAGTAAAGACATTGCTTCTGGCTGTGTTTTCCCTGTTGCACTGCTCTTGGCGTGGCTCCTGCCTGGGCACTTTCCTTTCTGTGGTGCCTGGTCCGGTCCCTGGGAGGTCACACCATGGCTGGGGCTGCCCGAGGAAGCACAAAGTCACTTGGTGACTGGCAGGGCATCAGCCTTGGTCTGCGTGGGGTTGAGCAGCCTTGCAGAATTGCTTGGTGGCAACTCTGAGCTGTTCTTATCAGGCTCCTTCCAGCCTAGAAAGCCACCTTGGGCCAGTTAAATGCCAAGTGGAAATAATTTAAGAGTAGCCCTAAAAAAAATCTTTAAAGGCAGATAGATCAACAGCTGAGTCCCGAGTTCATTGGGTTTTGCAAGCCATAATGTAAGGTCATGATCTGAATTTCAGGGAGGGCATCTTTAGCCTTGAGTCCGAGCGTGCCTGGGTGGTTAAAAGGAGAGCTGTGCTGCTCTGTGGCTGTGTGCAGAGAACAGAACTCTGATGGGATGGGGGGGGCAGCTTGAGGCTTCTGGTGCAAGAGCTGTGGGCGAGAGGACGCAAAAACTAATTTCACCAAAATGTCAGGCTAGCAGCCCCTCTTCCCTGTTGCTGTCCCCCCCAGCCCTGCCCTGTGTCAGGCTGTAGCCCTGGCAGGAGCAGTCATAGCTCTTGACAGCCCCACCGTGAGGCAAGGGGGAGATGAGGCATGTTTGGGGTGACCCTGCATCCTCTGGAGCTGTAGGGTTTGTGAGGTTTGGGATGAACCACCCAAGTCACAGGCAGAAGGGTGGCATCTGGTGAGGACCTGTGAGCTGTCTGTCTCTGCTTCTCAAGAGAACTGTTTCTTCTGTCTTTGCTTCCTTGGTTTGGTGTCTGTGTGCAGCCTTACCTGACCAGCTCCTCTGGCTATCTCTTGGCCACCATCAGCAAAAAAAGCCTTAAAGCAGCAACTTCAAAGCCTGCAAACAACAGCTGTTAACTCTGCTGACAAGCCCCCTGCTCACAGGGGTTTGTGCCTCTGAGTAGGTTTTTCCTAACCCATTTTTGGCTGAGCTCATGAATTCCTGGTCTGGAGGTAAGGGAGCAAGATGCTGCTGTGATGCGAGTCATAAGTGTTGCTGCCCTGAGATACAAGATGCATCGGGAGGGATTTGCTTGTGTCTTAAACTTTGTGAGAACCTTGTCTGTCCTCTAGGTTTTGCAGGGGCCATGGATGCCATCACTGACATCTCTAGGCTGGAGGAGCTGCTGAGTTGGAGTTGTGTGATTCCAGTGGGACGTGGCCCTGTTTTGCAAGTCACCCGTGCTAATGATTCTCTTGTCTCTGTTTCCAGTTCTGGCATAAAGCATGTTTCCACTGCGAGACCTGCAAGATGACTCTAAACATGAAAAACTACAAGGGCTACGATAAGAAGCCGTATTGCAACGCGTAAGTCTCTGCTACTTGCTTTTGTTGCCACTGAGAAAGTGTTGGGCCTGGGAGATGCTGTAGGATTTGCTGGACCTTCTTCCCTCTTAAGCACTAGTCCTCACATCCTGAAATGAGGGGTGTGGGGGAGCCCTGACCTCTGCAGAAATCCTTTCCCTGCTGCTCTGCAGCATTTCTTGGGAGTGCACGTGAAGCCCTAGCTGAATGGGTCACACGAGCCAACACACGCTGGTATTAAAACGGTGTTTTCCAGGCTTAAATACCAGCTGCTGTTTGCTCTCCAGTGCCAGTTTGGGTGGACAAAAGGTGAATAAAATTCAAATACAGGTGGGCATTTACATGGAGTTGATCTTAATCTGCATCCCCTTAAAGGAGGGGAAGTGAAGGTGTTTATACCACCCCAATTCACTGTAGATGTTTGGGGAGAGAAGTGCCCTTTTGTGCAGGGGGTTTGGAATGGAGTTTGTGAAACAGCAAGGGACATGAGTGTCACCGCAGCCTGTGCTCTGCTGGGCTCAAGGCCAAGTACATTCACCCCAATCTACTGGCATTTGCCCTGGATGTTGAGAAGGCAAATGCATCTGAAGGTAAATAACAGCTTGAATGCAAAATCCTTCTCTCACAAACAGTGTGGGGGAGGTGGAGGCAGAGCAGGGTAGAACAAGAGCAGCTGCCTGTAGGGCACCTCAGTTTGCTTTCCTGCATCTCAAGCCGCTTCCAAGTGGTGGATGTTCACTGAGCCCCACTTTTTTCTTATCCAGCAGAACCCTTAATTGTGCACAGCTTTGAGCTCTGCTGTTGCCTGATGAGTGCTAGTGCCTACTGAGCCCACAGAGCACTGAGCTCTACATACCTGACATGTTTCTTAATGTCTATAAAGCAGCTGAGCAAAATATTTTTGTAGCTGCTTCTTATACCTTAACAGTTCTTAAAAATCTAGGTAACATTGCTACTTAGCACTTGTATAGCGTGGTCCATTCACAGAGTACTCTAAAAAACATTAATCCGGACAACATCCTTGTAAGATGGTTATTACCCTATTAATGCCTAAGACAAATAGAAAGGAGAAGCAGTAAGACCATCAGCCATATGGTGCCTTGGCAAAAACCTCCCACTTCTGCAGCTCTTTTGTAGGTTGGTTATTGCTGATATCAGGTGATGATGACTGACTTGTCCAAAGTCCAAAACTTCTGTTGAACTGAGAGGAGACTTACAGCCTTCAAGTCTTGGCTGGTAATAGTTGTGTCCTGGGATCTCACCTGGAATGCAGGGTGGCAGCTGTGTGAAAAGTAGCAAATAGCTCTTGGTTGTCTAGCTGTATGGGGGCCAACAGGACTATCAGAGCTGGGAAGAAATGGGGAACTTCCCTGGAGTAGTGTGAGGGGGAAGCCTGTGGTCTAAGGCAGGGTGAACTGTTGATCAGAGGGATGCTTGCTCTTGGGCTGTGCGGGTCCCTCAGCCTAATGTTTTGGTTCAACCAGCCTGGGATCTGTGAGCTTGAGACCTTGGTTTGCAGAGAGCTGCAGGAGATAAGACCCCTGAGCTTCTCCTTGGTGTCTTCTACCTAAGCTTTCCTCTCCGGATTGAGGGCACCCGGATACCCGCTCTGCAGAGAGCCCATCCCTGGTGCTTCTGCCCCTGGCCAAGGGATGGGCCGGGGGTCCTTGTTCTTGTGCTCTCTCCCTCCAAGCTGCTGGAAGGGAAGTGGGATAATAATGGGGAAATTCCTGAGATTCCAAGGAGTCTGCGCAACCTCGACCCATCTCAGTTTCTCAACCCCCTCTGCTCCACAGCTCCCTTTGATGCTGGCTTGCTGTCTTAACCCTTTAACAGACTTCCTGAAGAAGAGGCAGCTGTCTGTCTTGCTTCTAGCCCAGGAAGTTCAAAACTGTGCACAGAAACCCGCATTTAATGCTTTGTTCTTACTGCTTAGGCTGGCCGTGCCTTAAAGCAAAGGGAAGTGAGAGCAGCTGAAAACTGCTGGCAGATGAGGCTTTGCCTCTGGGAGCTGCCAGCCCCCCGTTTGCCGGGGTGGAGGCTGTACGGTTGCAATGCCCAGATGTGGCTTTGGCTCCTTCTCAGCTGCTGCCCCTGGAGTATCCAGGGGAGGAAGAAAAGTCCGGGCGAGGTGACTCTGTCTGGCAGAGGACAGCCCAGAAGGAGCCCACCCTTTCCAGACAGCTTTTGCTGATGTTGGAGTTGAGGGGCAACATCTTCTATCCCCTGAGAAGGGGGTGGAAAAGCAACGTTTATCCTGGCAGGGAGGAGGCTGCTTTTCTGAACATGCCTTAGCACAGGGTCTCCTCTGTTTGAGCGGTGGCCTTCTGCCAAATTCCTGAGTTTCTTTCTTCAAGAGAGCAGGAGGAAGAGGGCTGGGCTTCCTCTCTATCTGACATTACCCCAGCAATCAGTCTGTGTGAAGCCTTTCAAGAAGGTGGCTGGCTAACTCTGCCCTCTGCCCTCCCCGTCAGTGTTGGGAACTTGCTTGGTGGCAGATTTAACGGTGTCCACTCTCCTCACCATTCCTCTTTTGACTTCAGCTGGGTGCTGGGGTGACTGGTTGTTCACTGGAAGTGGCGTTCAAGGCTGGGCTCATCTTTTTACGTGAGCCCTTTGAACTAAGAGGTAGAAGTGGAGGAAGGGCAATATCCAGGTGAAGTTTGAGGCTTCTGCAGATGAAGGGTGTGGGAGAGCGTGTGGCTGCAAAGGACAGGCAAGGCTGCATGTGTGTTCAAGGGGACCAGCTGCTCCCAAATATGCATTATATACAGGCTTTAATTTCTTTTTGTTGTGCTGAAGGGATAACAGAGTTCTGTGCTGCAGCTGGCAAGGCTGAGTCTGGGGGGGTTGAGGCTGTGCCCCTTAGCTGTGAGTCCCAAATGGAGGGGGTACCTGCAGCAGCAGCGCTCTGGTCCCCTCCTTCCAGACAGCCCCGCTGACTGGCAGCTCCGTGCTCTGCCTCGGTGGTGGCTCAGCACAAATCTGTGCCTTGGAAATCCTGTCTGAGTTCAAAGCTGGGCAGTCAGCATCTTCAGAGACATCACTGGGCAGCGCTGCTGCTTGAAATGCAGAGAGGAGCTCACGTGTGCCTGGGCGTGGAGCAGTATCCTGGGCAAGAGGCTCCTTTTCTGCCTCTGTCTTGGCTGCAGGGTTGTTCTGCTCCTCTCCCTTGAGGACATCTAGACCAGACCTGAGGCTAGACTTTCACTGAGCCTGAATTTGTGCTGACGAGCAAGCAACTGCCCTGTTGGCTGCATCTCTGTTCGGAAAGCCCTGCCCTGGCTGAGCCCATGCATACCCTGCTGCTGGTGCATGGCTGATCAGAGGGGCTGTCTCTGCTGCCTCCACACCCCACAGTGCTGGATTGTCTATTTTTTTTTTTTTTTTTTTTATTTCCTTACTGCTGCAGACGAGCTGGCAGGAAGTTAATGGCCTACTTGCTCAGCAGTCCCTCCTCCCCCACCAAGGAGCGGCCGCCTGGCCTGACATGCAGCATCCTTTGTTTGAACGTGCACGGGGAGATGGTGCTACCAACCCAGACCCTCTGCTGTGGCCCTGGCTTGGGCTGCCCTGCCAGTGCAGAGCACGAGGAAATCACGCTACTGCTGCGTCTCCACATCCTCCTTGCTAAACTGCATTTTTATTTTTTTTTCCCCGCCCCCCCCCCCCCAAAAAGGGGCTAAAGGCTAAGCAAGGCTGCCAAATATATCTTACGTAGGTGTGTCGACAGGGTCCCCGCTCCCTCCATCTGCTGTACTTGCGTGACTTCAGCTTTCCTTCAAGGAGCTGACTTTCCTTGTGGAGAAACCACACCCGGCGCGGGCGGTGGCATGTGTGCTGATGTGTCCCGGGGGATCGGGATCTCGGGGCTGACATTCCTCTTCCCTGAGTCAGGGCAAGCGGCTCCGCAGCTGCCCTGCCCGCCTAACCTGCCCCTGGCACCTAGTGTTACCAGGGCACGGTGACTCAGAACAGGAGCTGTAAAACCTTTAATTCCTGGTGATGACCCGGAGAACCTCCCTGACGGATTTCTCACCGTTAAAATTTCCACGCAGAGCAAACGGCCCGATGCCTCTGGGCTAACTCCCTGCTTGGAAAAAGTTAGCGAGCGGCGCTGAGCTTCACAAGGAGCCAGTGATCTGTTCTTGGCATTCCTCTCCACTCCATCTGGTAGCAGCCTACTACATTAATAAAGTGATCTTCCAAGTTTGGGGCGGGGGGGGCAGGAAGGGAAAGAGGAACAACTGTGTTGCTGGGATGGCGTCCAGGTGTTTATCCCATGCTTTATTTGTGCCGAGTTTCTGGATGAGAAGAACTGCCTTTCTGCCTTGGTGTGCACACTTTGCGTGCCGCAGAGCTCTGAACGGACTCAGCTTTTTCTCTTGGCGTAAATGGAAACTGGCCTCCCCGTATGCTGCCGTGGGGAGGGGAAGGACCCCCCAACCTGTGGCTTTGAGGTGCTGGGGCGCTTCTGCTTCACCTCTGCTGTGTTTGGGGAAGCAAACACATGATGCCTCTTCTGTGGGGGAGAGGGGATATGGTATATGGGAAAGCTCCTGAGTAATGCTGTGATTTAACGGCTGGAAGACTGTGAGTGTTAGCAAAGCCTCTTTGGGGTGGAGCATCTTGTTTTCTGAAGGGCTTATCCCAAGTGCTGTCCGTACCACGGACCTCTCACAGCTGGCAACCCCAAACCCTCCCGTGGGGCTCTGCTGCCCTCCCTCCACCCACTCTGTGGCTGTTGCCTTCTCTCCACGGCAGGTTTCTCCCTGCGGCCGATGCTACTGGAGAGGAGTTTCAACCAGTGATTGCCCTGGTGTGCACATTCCAGAGCGTTTGTGGGTGAAGCCTCTGCAGGGGTGGGCGAGGGGAAATCTCACCATGGCTCTTTGCAGGTTATTCCTCTCCCTCTCGGGCTCACCCTTCATGCCATGTTGCTCCTTCCCAGTAGCCCCAGGCCTTCTCCACCCACCCAGTAGATGTTTCCCAACTGCTGCTTG